TGTGGGAGAGTCTTGGGAGGTAAAGGATATTGTGGACTCTAGAGTAAATAAGAGGTCAGGAAAGTTAGAGTACTTGGTGGAGTGGTTAGGTTACGAAGGAACAGACGATTCAGTATCATGGGAACCAGTGGAGAACGTCGATGGAGCTGATGACATATTGGCGAAGTTCCACGAACTTCACCCTACTAAGCCGAAGGAAGGGCGACTGCGAAGGGCTAGGAGATAGAACGTACTGCATACAACATAGGATTACAGCTACGTACCGCTCACTTGTCCTTACTCTTACCCTTACCTTTTCCTTTTCCTTTCTCCTTCGATCTACTCGGTCCCGCGGGATTGGTGTGGAGGCTACCGATGACCGAAGGTAGATCGAGAGTCTCAGACGGGAACGCAGTAGAGAGAGAAGCATTCCATGCCCGATTCATAGCCCCAAAGAAGTCACCGAAGTCCTGGACATCTCGAGCAGCTTGCATGCTCGGGGTCCTCCACAGAGAACGTATGGTCCGTAGACACTCGAAGGGAAGACTGAGGAGGTCGAGAGCAGTCTGGGCGGAAGCTGGGACACGAGAATTACTACGGCGACCTAGCCAGTCAAGGGACGGTGGTGGCTCATACGCCATAGGAGTGACTAGGAAGGGGGTGTCGAACAGTCTTCGGCGAACATCGGCTATCTCAGTAAGGCCTCGGCGAGAGACGTCCGCTAACCTTGTCCTTGCTTCGTCGTCCAGAGCCCCAGTGTTGACTACATCTACTAACGCCGCAGTAAGATTGTTTAAGGCGTTAGCTTGACGAGAAGAGAAGTCAAGCAGGAGAGATGTATCATTTCGGGCGGCCTCAAGCTGAGTAGTGAGACCGAGGACGAGAGAACGATAAGTGGCAAATTCCTTTTCGTCCTCAGGAATACGGACATCCAGGGAGATACGAGGGTGGACGAGGGACAACCGGGGAGCAGAGGGACCAGCACGCTGAGTATCTTCATTTTCCACATCACCATCATTGAAGGCAACCTCCTTCTCTTTAGATTTCCCTTTTGATTTCTTTAAAGAAGACTTCGGTGTCTTCTGGGAAGCAGAGGGAGGGGTGACGGGAGGGGCCGCCGAAGAGGCCGGAGGAACAGAAGGACGCCGACTTCGGGTGCTGTGAGCCGGAGGAGAAGCTACCACTGGAGAGGACGGACGTGGCGCCGAAGGACGAGAGGCCGAAGGACGAGAGGCCGAAGGACGGGAGGCCGAAGGAGCAGAGGCCGAAGGACGGCGAGAAGACGAAGGAGGAACAGCCGGGAGACGTGATGGGCCGGCCACAGGAGCGAAGGGCGACGGCGACGGAGGCGACGGGCGGAGGTCCGGCGAAGTACGGCGAACCGACCGGAGAGACGAAGACGGTACCCGCGAACGGGGGACAGACGCTGGAGTCTGGGGAGGGGGGAGAGGAGAAGCGTCGAAGGGACGGGGCGGGATGTCCCGGGCAGAGGAAACGGGACAGAAGGAGCAGGGGCCAGACGTGCATGAAGCACAACGGAGGGCCTTGTTGTGTGGCCTGACTGCCTTGAGGCAGGGCCAGTTTGGACGATTATACGTGATAATCTCACGTCTACTAATTAGCAGGAGTAACTTCGGCGTAGTACGAATAGGTGGACTCACCGGCAACGATCACACGCTTCGTCAACACCAACCGCGATCCAACGACCAGGCTCGGACTTCATCTTCTCCCACAAGTACTCTTCTTCCCGCAGTGATCTCTTCACCCGTTTGGGCGAAGGCTCCCCTCTGGGAGAAGGGGGGGGAGCAGCGACGGGGGCGGCGGGAGCAGGACCGGCGGCGGCAGCAGGAGCGATGGCGGCGGCAGGGCGGGCGGCGGCAGCAGCGGCGGCAGCGGCGATGGCGTTGGGGGGGGGGAGAAGAAGAGGAAGAAGAAGAAGAGGAAGAAGAAGAAGAGGAGAGGGAACGGCGTCGTTTCTGGCCCACAATTTGAGCAGGGGGAGGGGCAGGAGCGGCTGCGAGTTAGCAATGTCTTGGAGAGCTAAAGAACAGATAAACAAGGCCAAGTTCGGCGAAGGTGTGAGAGGTTGGACGAAGAACTCACGCTCAGGACTATCTACGTTGTTGTCCTCTACACTAACCGCCACCATATCATCATCCGAGTGTTCCTCTAACTCGGTTTCACCCTCCGACACGATTCTATCATCCTCATCACTATAATCACCCCCTTTTCCTTCGAAGTCTGACTGATCGTCCGACTCCGAACCACTGAGCGACTCCTGGTCGGAGGAGGACGGAGACTCACCAGGACGAAAGGCGGGCGTCCTGCGGCGAGGGCTGGCGGCAGGAGGGGAAGCAGAGCGAGAACCAGGAGGAGGAGAAGCAGAGGGAGAACCAGCGGGAGGACCGACGGGAGGAGAAGCGGAGCGAGGAGGCGGGACATCGCCAGACGGCTCCCCCAAAGAGAGGGTGCCGAGGCCGAGGGAGGAGACTTGGCGAGATCTGTCGCCGAAGGAAACTGAACATCAGCCAAGTCCGGCGAAGTAAGGTAAGTGTCGAGGAATAACTCACGAGCAGACGACACCATACCACCAAAGTTCCTCATGGCGGCGAAAGGGTTAGAGGTGGGAGTAGGAGGGGCCATGACGTTAAAAATACTTAAAGAAATAAAAGATGATTCAAGGTAACAAATCTGTTTTCTAGGTAAGAGAGATAGAAAGTTTTGAAAGCAGATGGGAAAAAGAGAGAAGCTCGACGAACTGCTCAGTATTTAGTATAATCAAACCTAAACCCTCGTCGTCAACATGCAGCAAACTTCGCGTTTCATCAACAAAAGGCATCGCAGGGACGATCAAAATTCCCACGCTATAGTGTCTCATCTCAATATAAGCGAGGGTTACTTCGACAAACAACGGTGTTGTTCGGCTGCCATTCAGGAAGCGTGTCTCACCTACAAAAGACACAGGGCTTCTTACGGCAAACCTCGACGAAGTTAGGGGAGTCTCATTGTCGGGTTTTGGAGTGAAAGGAGGCCCAACTACGAAGTGCGGCGCAAAGAGCAGAAGGGTGAAAGATGGTCATGGGAGGGAGAGAATGGGGGTACTACGCTGCTAAGTTCTCTTGACACGACAGAGGTGTAATCGCTCACGAGGACGTTCGCGGCTAAAGAAGGGGGCGACTGTCACGAACTACGTCGTGACACCTCGATTATTCCACCAACAATGACCCTCCTTTGACCATCAAAACCCCCATCACGTCTTAACCTCTTTACTCTACACGTAACTCAGGACTTCTGAGACCAAGTACGGCGAAGTTAGACGGAGTTAGGCTAGGTAGGGACAATGGGAGCAGAAGTACGGCGAAGTTAGACGGAGTTAGGCTAGGTAGGGACAATGGGAGCAGAAGTGCGGCGATGTTAGGCGGAGTTAGTCTAAGTAGGGACAATGGGAGCAGAAGTACGGCGAAGTTAGACGGAGTTAGGCTAAGTAGGGACAATGGGAGCAGAAGTGCGGCGATGTTAGGCGGAGTTAGTCGAAGGAGGAAGAGGATGGCCGAGGGCTCGGGGAAGTTGGACGAAGTGCGTTGAAGTACGTCAAAGCGCGAGAGGGTTGGATGAACGTCTAGGAGGAGTAGATAATATTAGCTGAGAAGATCGCTGAAGTTCTTCAGCGATCCTTGATTGTTGTCAGTAGTGAAAGACATAGAGATAGCTATATACAATTCGAGATACATCGCCATCAGTAGAACAAAACCCCAGGTAGAGTAACTACGCCGAAGTACGCCGTAGTTACACTCCTTTCGACGTCTGCGCCCTCCTGGTTGGGTGAGACATCGACTCAGAGCGTGAAGTTAGCCGAGGTTCGTCGACCGTCGGTCTATTAAGAAATAGTTGTTCGACGGCCGTGACACCTGAATTGCTCATCAAAGAGCTCTGGGTGGACGGCTCAAACCGTCCCCCTCTGGACCACGCAGTCTCACTCAGGAGCTGTCCGACGGTGCAAGCTGTAGAAGCTATGCTGATCGAACGTGGGTTGCCTGTGGATGCTGAGGGAAATTTGCTAAACAAGAGACTGTCAATGAATCCATCTCATTACCTTGGGGTCAATACTACTGACGGGGGTTCCTTGGAGTGGCAGAAGCGTGATAACGAACCTTGCTCTATCACTGTCAAGTGGGAGAAGTGGAGGTTTGTGTGGACCCCAATGTGGCAACAGGATGGAGGGGGGCAGAGTCCTGAAGAACAAGAACTGATCAGTGACGCAAACTACTTGAGCATGAAGCGATACGATTCATCGTGGCAAATTTTTCTGCGTGCAACCCAGTTACTGGAAGCAAACGACGACGAAATACCGGATTCCGAGGCTGTATTCACGGGAGAGCGTCGGCAACTTCCTGATGGAAGTTTCAAATTAACTTTGAAGCTCCCAGTCAGCTATGGCTCTGACACTGTAACTGATAACTACGAGTGGAATCTAGACAGTTTGTATCAACCGGTCGATCTGACGGAGAGGTCAAATATTCCTATAAGCGAGTGAGCAGCAGTCTCAGCAACGTGAGTGATGTTGGAAATGGTACAACCAGCACGGATGCAATTGGGGATTCCCACTTTTGCATAGCTGTTAACAGATTAACAGTCGGAGCCTACCTCTGTGTACGAGGAAGGGACAGCCAAGCAGGGGGAGTGATGCAGGAAAAAGTCCGGGGTTCGAGTCCACTCCGAGGTACTTAGCATCCGTACTGCTTGAGGGGGAGTGTTGGAAATGGTACAACCAGCACGGATGCAATTGGGGATTCCCACTTTTGCATAGCTGTTAACAAGTGATTCATGTGTACAGAATGAGGAAAGGACCGTAGGAATCATGATGATGAATGAAGCATCTGAGATGAGTGCATCTTTCGCCGCTAGATACTGATACAGGATCATACCGTACTGACAAAGCATGAAGATGCAATGCATATACAGTATCGATGTCGTTATCTCCATCATCAACCTCACTTGACAATATCGACACCACCTGCTTTTCAACCGACTATTCTGACCTGTCGCTTGGTGACTTGTTGCCATGCTCCATCACTCGCGGGAACACCATTGGCGATGGTCGTGGCCGATGGTTTTGGAGGGATGGCTGAGTTCGGTAACGGAACGGCGGACTGTGGTCGACGAACGGAAGGGGATGGGAGAGGAGAAGATCGAATGGTGTTGAATGCTCTCATGGCTTGTTCGGCATTACGAACGAAGAAGCCTGCGTAACGACGATGGGCTGTTGTTTCTTCCACGTGAACCATAGTCTGTCGTGTCAGCAGATATGCCGGAAAAGAGCACACAGACTTACCCCCTCAATCGTGAAATCCAGATTGTTCGTCACTACCTTCTCCCCATCTAAAACACCCATACCCTGCCCTCGAGCGTACGTCCGACTGGCAGCTTTGAGCATCATCAATTGCTCCAAAACTCGGTCCTCCCCATCTGTCTCATCAGGACTCATGAAAGCCGCTAATTTGGATGCGTCGATAGAGGTGTACAGTTTGAGCAGATTGCGGACCGTCGACACGCCGCTTACCGCCTGAGCTTCGGAGAGGAAAAGATCGAGATGTCTTCGGGTGGGGTCGACAGGAGGGTTCTGTGCGTATACTTCGAGCGCCGCAGGGTCTTCGTAAGGGGGTGGGTTGACGGTTAAGTATTTGGGACATGCACCGAGATAAAGTTCTTTGAAAGTGGCCAGGGCTTCTTCTCTGGCGGGGTCAGCCCCGCATCACATTTTACAATACGATGTTGAAGCACTCCTACCACCACTGTAGCATTTGTCGTATTGAATAGACGGGAGTGATGAGAAAAGCAAACATGAACTCACCCGCCTCGCTGTAACACCGACAATTGATCCCCATAATGTTCTTTGACGATAGCCATGATACTCTCATCCGAAGGCCCCGGTGATAAGGTCGTGCAGATGGCCAATAAAGCGTACATTCTTTCGCACTGCTTCGTGATCTACAAGTCAGACACATCACAAAACATTCTCACGACGAACTCGGGAGGTAAGAGACCTGAAAGGGGGTGACTCACGGCTCCATATTGGTAACTTCTGGTGTGATATTGCTTCATTCGGTTGATGAAGATCAATACTTGCACGAACGTCTTGACAGCGTCTGGCCATCTGCCGAGAGACATGTAAGCACATCCGATATGGTAGTAAGCCATAACCTGGGTGTCAGCCGCTGTCACGAACGAACCAATGCGAGACAGAGGAATTGAAGAAACCCACATGGCAGGCAGTGATACGGGTGATGAAGGCCGTGTTGCTGAGTTCAACATGCTCCACTGTTTGCAAAGCGAGAGTTGGGTCACCGAGGAGGACATGTACCCGGAGAAGACATATGAGAGAAAAATAGCCAAGATGTCTGTACAGTGGTTTGGATCCATATTCTCCGCCTAATTCACTGGTCGAGTCAGCCTCATGCCATTGTTCGCCGAGCTCAAGCTAAAGAGATCCGTCGTGACAAGTCCGATCGTGGACTGGAACGAGAAAGTGTAGAGCACTCACGCTACTTCCTCGGGACTCTTGCCCTCTTTCTCCGCTTTCAACTGATCGTCTATGTGACTCTTCTGTATCAAAGAATACAAAACATTCAAAACCGAATAACAGCTCCAAACTTGCTGAGCTTCCGCGAGTAGTTCTAATTCCTCTTCTGTCTTCTGCTTGGGATTCGCACGCCATTGAGCGAAGGACTGGAATTGGTAGACAAATTCGTCCAGCATGTCCCATATCCACTGAATGGGTAGTTCGAGAGATACGGGACCGTCAGAATCTAATCATCAGTCAGTCTTTCCGCTGTATCTTTTCTCGTCTCCTCACTCTACTCTTAGCCGAGAGTCTTGCAAAACAAAGTAATCCGGGGTGACCTGTTCACTCACTCAAAAGGTAATTGAACAACTCGCAGATATTCTCATAGGACTGAAATCGATCGTCGATGGTAGGTTGCAACCTCGCATAAACATGTCGAAAGTACAATTCGCGATATAAAGTCAAAAACACTTGATCGTTCTGAACCAAAGGCGATATGAGCTCTGCCTCTGGCCATTCCGAATTGGCATAATGAGCCGTTGTGAGTTTCGTCCATCCGCTCTCGTACATATTGGAAATGCTCGGTAAGTCGTTTTCGAGAATAGCTTGGTGAAAGAGGATGAGAAATCGTTTGACATCTTGTGGGATGGCTTCAAGAGCAGCTAGATGTTCTTCTTCTTGTTGGGCGACCGATGGAGGGTAGGCATGTTGTTCCAGCTCTTGGAGGTGTTGGAATTCGTCGTGGAAAGCATGAGCTGAGACGCCGTAGGCTGGCACGGCGAGGGAAGAGAGTAGTTCATCGTCCTCTGGCTCGTAGAAGGCTGTAGGGTCAGCCATTACTGTTAGACCGGCTGATATGGCAAAGGTGTCAAAGAAGGATGTGTATGAAACCGGCTGCACAAAAGTCAGAGAAGAGTTGGATATCGCCGAGTATCGCCGTAAACTGTGGCGATTGAATTTGGGTGGAGGTTGTCCCACCAGATCGCCCTTTACAACACCCATGAATCGTACTTTCTTTGATATATCGGGATGACCCTGCGACCGGTCCTACAGCTTTTCAGAGCAGCTACAACACCGTCAGCGCGTCCAATAATCTTTCCTTTTTCAATCCTCTCAATCTTGGAGCATCCAGGGCCGTCAACATGGCGGAGACGATACAGTCAAGCCAGACAAGATGTGATGGAGATTGGAACCTTGGAGGATGAAGAGCTCGATTCTATAACGACTCAGACAATCCAGCATGAGGAGATTGTTCTTCATGAAAATGGCCCCCTGGGGCATGTAGTTGTCAGCCTATCTTTGAGGTCAATATAATCATCGAGCTGAGATATAGACCTCGGAATTTCCCAAAACTAGCCGACCCCAACTCCCGACCAGTATAAAGAAGCTCAATAGGCTTCTGTCATACCAACGCAAAATGGAGATCCCCGAATCTGATTTGGAGGAGAGATTTGACAAAGGTGAGCGATTCTCACCTTCCCTAAGAGTACCAATATTGATATTTCAGGCAGAGGACCAGGTGGTCAAGCAATCAACAAAACCAATTCCGCCGTTTCTCTCATCCATCTTCCCACCGGTATCCGAGTGCAGGCACAACCTACACGATCACGCGAAGAAAATAGGAAAGCGGCACGACGTATTTTAGCTGAGAAGCTGGAACTTCTATCTGCTCAGAAAGCGTTCGAAGAGGCATCATCAGACAATATCAATATCGACGGAGAAAGCAGCCGAGATTTGAGCAGGAAGGACAAAGAGAGACAACTAGCGGGCGTTTGGTCGAAGCAGGAGATCAAGTGGGAGAAGGAAAGACGACGGAAAGCCAATCGAGCAAAGAAGAGCAAGAAGAAGAAAGAGTCGGGAAGCCTAACGGGAGAACAGGAAGTGGAGGAAGACAAAGAGATATGAAGATGCATTATATGGCACATTGTGTTCGTTGTGTGATACTGACTAGGAGAAGGTCGTACTGATCATGGATCGCTGGTCTCGAGGTTGATCTGTCTTCCAAACTTTGCGTATCTTCCTGTCAGCTGGAGAGGTCAATGAGGGGAAAGACTGACAAAAGTATTTTAAGCTCTTTCATACCGACCTCGCACTCAGATGCTCTCTTCTCTAAGTCACCAATCTCTTTATCGTATCGTTTTGTATCCTTTCGAAGTTGTTTTTTGGCCTCTGATAAAGAAAGACAGAAAAAAGCTTCTCCAAGTTTGTACAAGACTGGCTGGTCGTCATCGGCCAATTCGAGTTCTGTGGATAAATCATCGTAGTATTCCTTCTCGTCCTGAGACATCAGCTATGACGATCCGGTGTCTCGCTTGGTCGGACGTACTTGTTTCTTTTTCAACTGTTCGTTTATATCTGTTAGACGATTGTTGAGCTTTGAAAAGGTGTTGATGCGCTGTTGGTCCTCTAATCCATTAAACGATCGTTAGACAATACGATTCGAAGAGCTCACCCCAAGCGACTTCAATCCCGTCGGAATTTTCATCTTCTGGTGGTAGCTACTTGTCAGATTGACCGATACACGATGTCTTTCTTACTCACCAAGCTCATCCTGTCAGCCTGCTCACCGCTCTGTGCTGCCTGCTCTTCACTTTGAAGATGTTGTCGAGTAGGATAAGTGTGAGTAGTGATAAGGTGGAATGTTGAAACGACACGTGTAACCCAATTTGACCACGCGTCATCGGCGCGTCCACCCGATGGGATCTCTGACCTCTGAGCCTCCCTCCCCCATACAAACCACATACAAATCCCCCACTCGCTCATGTCTCGTATCCCAATTCCAGCTCACGGAGGTCTTCATCACACTTTCACTCATCAGCACGACGGTCAGACTCCTTCTTCTCCCTCCACGGATCTCGCTTACGGCAAGACGAGTGCGGGTGGTCTGAACGGGATGAACGGTTCACCGGCTACAGACACGAGGAGGAAGCAGACTCGGCGTGATGAGGTGAGTGGATTCTTCTGATTGACATGCTTGGTACATGTTGTGAGCTCCATGCTGGACTAGTGTCCCCATTCTGAGAAGGACCCCATCTCCCCGTTTGTACAAAAGTGACTGGTTGTAAAGTGCAATTGTAAAGGTCGTAGGGTCCGAGCGCGGGAGGAATCGGTTTTGCTCTTGTAGGGACGCGACCCGTCCATTGTGTTGATTCTTTCCTGCCTTACCTTCCTTCCCCCCCTCGCTTCCTTTCTTCTCAATCTTCACATCTTCTTCGCTTGACTTAGATTTCACATCTCTACAAATATCTTCTCGACCCCACTCTCTGCTCTCCTGTCCTACATTGAGCGATCTTTCCCTTTAAATTTCCCACCATGTCCAAGAACGTCGCTGACATCACTCCTTCTCCTTCGGGCTATTCTATACCCACTTCAACCAAATCCTTCGATCATCTCGCACCCCCTATGTCCACTCAAATCCCTCTTGCCACCCCGCCGTCTTCTATACACTCCCCTTCACCTAACTCGGAAGCTGTGCCTCTTCCCACTGCTGCGCCCCCATCCCCGTCTCGCAAACCCATCGATGGCTTGCCCAAAAACAAACATTCACGAACTCTGTCAAACCCATTCAAACCCTCTCGCACTGTGTCCTTTCCCAACACGAACGCCCCTGCGCCGTCTGTCGCTGCCAACGACCGTATTGCCGATGATCCCGCGCGTCCACGATATCATTCAACCATCTCCAAACACTCGGTGCCTAAAACCGAATCGAAAACGTTTGGTTCCAAATTGCAGTCATTGCGCAAGAAGATCGAGAATGAATTGTCCCGCAAGCGACAAGGACCTTCGGCGCCAGTCAGTCAAGGGGCAAAGCGCGGTGGTAAGAAGCCGCAAAAAGGTACCGTCGCTGGACTTCGACCTAGCCCCGCCTTGACTGTGCCGGAGAGCATGAGCGTAGCCGATGCTAGTCAATTGTGCGCCGCCAAGCGAACCGATTGTGTTTTGGTGGTGGATGAAGAGGAAGGCCTCAGTGGGATCTTCACCGCCAAAGATCTGGCTTTCCGTGTAAGCTAATAGCTCTCAGATATCACGTCGAGCTGACACTCAGGTGACCGCGGAGGGTCTTGATCCGCGTGTAACCTCTGTAGCGCAAATCATGACCAAGAACCCCATGGTCACGCGTGACACTACCAGCGCGACCGAAGCCCTGCAACTCATGGTCAGCCGCGGCTTCCGCCATCTGGTATGTGCCTGCTCTGTCAGTTAATGCAGGTTGCTGATCTACCAGCCGGTATGCAACGAAGATGGAGACGTGGCAGGACTGCTGGACATCACAAAAGTTTTCCATGAAGCCCTCGCTAAGGTAGAACGGGGCTCAAATGCGACATCTCAACTCTCCGCAGCTCTGGCAGGGGTGCAGACTGAGCTCGGCCCAGCCATTTCGGCCAATCCACAAGCAGCGGCCATGATGGCCTATGTCGATGCGTTACGAGAGAAGATGGCACAACCGGATCTGACCACCGTCATCGACACGAGTCTTCCCCCGCCGACCGTCTCTCCGCGGACGTCTGTGAGAGACGCGGCCAAACTTATGAAAGAGCGTCGAACCACCGCGGTGTGTGTGATGGAAACCAATCTTGGCACCAGTGCGGTCAGCGGTGCAAGTGGTCAGAACGGTCTACCCAGGATCGCCGGTATCTTCACAAGCAAAGATATCGTTCTGCGTGTCATAGCTGCTGGTCTGGACGCTCAGCGATGCAGCGTGGTCCGAGTCATGACCCCTCATCCGGACACTGCTCCACCTACGATGGTTGTGCAGGACGCACTGAAGAAGATGCACAGTGAGTCGATGCCACCAAGTCTGAGACCGAGCTGAAGTGTAGATGGTCACTATCTCAATTTGCCAGTCGTCGAGTCTGATGGTCGACTGATTGGTATCGTTGACGTGCTCAAACTTACTTATGCCACTTTGGAACAGGCGAGCTGTCTTTTTTTCCGCCGAGAACATAGCTTACGATAAGATCGAAAATATGAATGGAGAAAATCACAACGATGGTCCTGTTTGGGGCAAATTCTTCGACACGCTCGGTACGGCCGGTGGGGACGACGATACTGCCTCTGTCGTATCACACTCTGACCGTCCTGACACTCCCTCTCGACATTTGCATAATCGTGGCATGTCCAGTCTCACCTCTCCCATCTCGGAACTCATGCCGAATGATTCCGCTTCTGTGGTGGACGAGGGATCCTCAGAAGTCGGTAAACGTGGTGGGGCTCCCTCGTCTGTGGCAGCAGCGCCTCAGATCGTTGACGATGGCACTTATATCTTCAAGTTTCGCACGCCTTCTGGTCGAACACATCGTTTCCAAGCGCGCCACGACAGTTACGAACTCCTCCGCGACATTGTGTATGGTAAATTGGTCGTCGATCCATTCTTCTCTGGTGAAGGTGCTACGGAAGGTCAAACGATTCATATTCCCGACCCTAACGCCTTCATTTTATCTTATACGGATGACGAAGGTGACAGTGTTACCATGACCGCCGATGGGGACGTTGCGGATGCCGTACGAATCGCAAAGGGACAGAAGAGCGACCGCGTGGTTCTCATTGTCGATGGTGGTAAAGCGTGGGAACAAGCCGCAAGGGATCTGGGTGGGGACAAAGCTGTGGAGAAGTTGAAACAGGCTGAGGATGTAAAGAAGGTGGATGAGGAGGATCAGAAGCTGGAACAACCGACTGCGGATCCAGCTGTTAGTCCTACGTTTGGGAAAGCGGGGGTGGTACATAGCCACGGACCAAGTCCAGGGACACCAGGCGTGCCAGAATTGATCGGAGGAGTTTTACCAAAGGAAATGGCTTTACCTGCTGCAGTTGGATTTTTGGGGGTGGTGATATTGGGAGTGTTCATAGCTACACGTGGGAGCAAGTGAGACGGGTCGTGGTGGTCTGCAAAGTCGATCTGACGAGCGTCATGTTTGACATTTACATACAGTACAGTGCGGTGTTAGTACGAGGGCCAAGAGTTGGGACATGGGGATACGGGCGATGTCAATTTGATTTGGTAGAGCGACTCTGTCGAACATGCACACATCCCATTGTTTCATTTGATGATTACATGTCAACCTACTACTTGCGCTCCAACTTGTTGAGCTTGCGAGCTGTCATGGCGTTCTTCCGGGTGTTTTGACCTCGAACGGGAAGACCTTGTTGATGTCTGAGAGTCAACACGGGGTTCCAGATTCAGTGGCAGGCATCTCCAACACGAGTGGATAGCTACCACCCTTCTTTCATGGCAAGCGACGGCTCCTCCGCATACCACTTCTCGGTATGCTGACAGTCGGACGGTCGGAATCTCATCAAATACTGTCTGAGAGACTCAATACGTGAGAAGAGACGTATCGAAGACGAGGGCGCATACGAACAAGGATTAGTAAAAGATGAGAAATTTGATCGGGGCATAGGGTAATTGGGACTGACCTTTTACCACGATACGATCCCACCTGTCTCAAATGAGCGATATCGGCAGTGACACTCCTTCTGAGATCCGTCTCAATCTTCAGATCGTCCAATGGGTCCGGTCTTTCCGATCGCTTCTGATGAGGTCTCAAAGACATCCTAGCTATTTGAATTAACAAACTGGATTCGTCATTCCCAGATGTCTCTTTATGACTGTGATCCACGTTAATGGTCCCAAGTGTGGTGAGGTTAGACAAAGAAGAATGTGTCTGATCCGATGTTGAGGCAGATGTAGTCGGGTCGGAAGAAGAGGATGAAGTGGTTAGATCGGAAAAAGGGGACGAAAGTGGAGTAGGAGTAGGAGGTGTGGAAGTTGATGGTGAAGATAAATAAGAAGATAATGCTGTTATTTGAGACTCGGATAGATCTGATACACGTTGTTGAAGAGGGATTTGGAGTCTGGCGAGAAGACGGGAAGATGTTGAATGGGATATTCCGTAGAATGAAGTGAGAGCGATCTGGGGGTGTCAGTCAAGGCCTTCTCTAGCATCGTCGAGATTTTAAAGAATAAAGGGTGGTTTCTATCATTGTCTACCTTGGGTCTTCCGTTCATTCGTCGACTCCAAGGGGTTCAGTTTGAGTAGAGTTTATTTCCACAGCTCCACGGTCGAGGAAAATTATTCCCGTTCCTTCCCCAGAGACACGCCGCTTGCAAAGTCTACGAACTAGGTCATGTGTCGAAATTCATCAGAATGTCGATTCACAGGATGTGTGTTGGAAACATATTAGGTCAGGAAAGAAGATAAGATAGGGACAAGTTATGGACAAAGAGGAGAGAAAAGATTACTCACCCGGAGAAGTTTATGATCTGGAAGATGATGTCCTAGCAAGTGCATTTTATCTCTTCGCGTTGTTCTTACTCGTTTCTTATCCTATACTGATGTTTCCCCCGTGTATCGCGTGCAACTGTGCACCTGTGTGTTGGTCTGATGCGAGGGAAGATCCATAAGTTGTACGAAATCGACCAATTTCAGTGTTGGACTTTGGAAGGAATTTTTGATTCCGCTCATTCCTTCCAGCTTTGGAAATTTCCCTCTCCAACCCTTTCACCTATATTCACCTAACGACTTCCCTCACCACAGCTATAGTCAAGTCATCTTGAGCGAAAAGTGTAATCTGATATGCGTTGGACACCACTATCCCCTCCTACAGGTGAAGCATTCGCCATAGTTCGTAAACTACTCCTTGAACGTCCGAGAGGATTCCAAGATCTTCTCAGGAGTGGATTAGCTGAACATCCCTCTTCTCATAATCCTCGACCGGCACAGGAACCTAGAAATCCTAGAAGGTTATCTTCGGGAAGATGGGCGAAACAGGCGAATGTCACTTATGTACCGGAAGGACATCCGTTTGTCAGTTCCAAGTGAGTCTTTTCGAAAGGCATCTCCACCTCACAACCCACGCACGACCTCAGGTATTCTTCCAATGCCTAATAAGCTTATTATAACTTATCTTCGAATCAAAGTAGACCCACGCGAATTGCTACCAAGACTCGGGGTATATGAAGACATCATTTTCCACGATCTGAAAGAAGGGAGATCGTCAAGTGGGATAAGTGTGACGAAAGGGGTAAAAACAAAAGCTCATTGAAAGTTTCTTAAAACATCGTATCCTTCCTATCCTCCAAACACATGGGTTGGTACAGAAAAAAGCTCGTATCCGTATCCCATGGCCTGAAACCGTACCGGAAGAAGATCGTCCCGAATTCGCTTGGTTCATCACCCCTCCTCGTGAACCTCAATCCACCGATTCCTCCACTTTTATTCCTAACGAGTCTCTCTCCACTTCGTCTTCGGATACTACCCTTTCAGATCCCTCGTCCATCCCCTCGAAGTTAAGAAAGTCAAGAGAATCTTCGTCTATGGGTATCTCGGACGATCATGTTGACGGACCCACCAAACAAAAATGGGACGCGGAGGAACACTGGGATCGTCTGGTCAAGGGCGAACACCCCGCTATACTTGGTGGAGAAGTCAAGGAACTTGCTCGTGAAGGTTTACAAGCTGCGAAAGAAGAAAGGCTCTCCAAGATAGGTGAACGAAGGACTGAAGGGGAGGGACATAGGACAGAGAGGATGGAACCTATGACGGAAAGAGAAATGTGGGAGTGGAAGGATAGAGAGCCCGGTTTGACCACACGATTGGAGAGAGGTCATTTGAATACACGAAGACAGAATGCGAGACCAGCGAAGGAACGGAGGGAAAGAGAGGGATGGGGAGTATTGCAGGAACGGGTTCAGAGTTGGATGGGGAGAGGAAAACAGGGAGATTTTCAGACCAGGGCGGGATCGAGGGACGGGTCAGGTCACCGTTCAGGAAGAAAAACTTTCGGAATGAAATGATGGGGCTATCACAAGGTGAAGAGGCGTGTGGACGGATCGAGGTAAGAACCATGCATTTCTCCATTGTTCACTACTGATAGACTGACATGCAATTGAACACACAGGAAATTGTCGATGATCATGACGGGCAGGAATACTCGCTCCGAAGGATGATAAACGCACGGGCCCATTGCCCAGTGTACTTGCGGATGAAGTTGACTGCTTACACGTTCCCGTATTGTCTTTCTCATCCTGATCTCTTTCTTGTACTTTTAATTTTGTGTCCTCACTTGCCTACTCTTCATTCTGACTTTACTGTACTTGGTGATACACCATCTGACTGTCTTGCCCTGACCCACTGATCACCATCCAGCGAGATCTACGATCCCCCGTTTACGATCCCCCGTTTCCCAGAACCCTCTGCGACATCTCTTCCCCAAAGTGATTCTTCTCCAACGACACAAGTTTCATTTTCAAGCCCACTCGAGAGGTCTATGACTACCCAACAACCCTTTCCAACGTTTCTGCGATCGACGGACTCATCAAACCGTCATTCCTCTCGTTCACATGGCAGGAACCTATCGTTCAGAATGCCCCAAATGAGCTATGCCAAACTCACCCATTCTCTCATGACTTCACAAGCTGTGGTCAGGGTTCACAACTCTCAGTCCACTTCTCCACTCGTTCAATCCGGTATGCCCGATACCTCGGGTTTCTTCGCTCCTTCTCCTCTTTTTGCATCAGTGACACCGAGAACGTATCATCTCATTCTTCCGACTTCAGAACCCCCGACAGCCTCTTTGATCTCGATCACAGACGACACACCCAATCAGTCAGTCCAACGAAGTGGAGGAAGGTCGTCAATTCCTCTTCCTCTCAACCCTATCAACAAGACCGTCCCTCCTCTTTCCCTGCCAAACACTATCGACATTAACTTTTCTCGACGCACTTACACAACTGCACAACCCTCTCAGGGAAGTTCCACGAATGGACAGATCCCACGAAACCAGTATCCTAGTGCAAGAGCTACAGACGGGAGGATGAACTACCGCTCAGCAACGGCTCAGAAGGGACAGATAGATGATATGTTTGAAGGTACATGGATGAGGGAGTTGATAGTGGATCATATAAATGGTTGGAGGAGACCTTGTCCGGCTTTATGGAAAGCCAAATATCCCCAAGAGACGCGTAATACAGATGAGCTCAGTCCTTGGATCTCTTGCTCTGCAAGTTTAGATTGGGCCATTTGGAATATTGCCAAACAATTGTCTAGGATGAAGGGGAAGTCTGATAAGGTCTGGTTGACAATTGTGAGATTGGGTGAGGAGATCTTCTCTTCCTACTTGAACCATATAATCACCTTTCTATTCGGTGCGATTCTACTCACGTGGACTTCATGGTGATACTCCGGTAATTATTTTCTTACCAGATGCCAACAACCTGGATTGGAAAAGGGTAAAGGTGAGATAGAGTTACTGTAGCTGACTTGTAGACGGACCGGAAAAATGGCATCGTCCCTTCGCGCATCCGCGCTCGCCCCGTGTGGACGACCAAAGTCCATTCCGATACGACCCAGAATTCAAAGCTCGACGTAAGGCAGAGGATTGTAAAGAGGTTTTGGCATACGGTCGGATTTTCGGAAATAGCATTATAGCTGTTTTGCCATTTTCAATCAGTGTGAGTGTGTAAACTTTTGTTCATCATTCACCCTAAATGTTTTATGGGCAGGCGCGTAGATTATCACGCTTCCTGATGATGGTCGATTCGCCAGGACCCTCGCTGATTCCAGTCCACCCCTTTTCCCCTTCCGGACAAATTCTGGCGACATCCGTCCAACCCCTCTTCTGGACCAGGATGGGTAGGTCGTTTATGTTGGGATGCGGAACGAGACTACTGGGAAACGGCTAAGATGGCTTTGGGCCTACCTCTACAGCAGATGATCACTCCTACTTTTAGGGTACCTGTTCGTGGTACAGGAAGCTTTGGGGGATATATGAGGGCATGGGCTTGAGTTTTGGCGTCATAATACAGTGCGATACTGTTCAATTAGAGTATGTACTCCTGCCACTCGCCACAGGGCAGGTCCAACTTTCCTTTGTGCTACTTCATCGCTTGTTCTCATCACTACCGTTCATGCATCAATCTTACCACTTACTACTTTCTGCTTCCAATCACACTCGAGAAATAACTCATAGGGAACGAACAGATATTGCTCGACAAGATGAGTAAAGAAAGTGTCGTCATCGTCGGGGCTGGTGAGTTCCCCTAGATGTATGCCGAGAGTAAATTGACGAAATAGGTATATTCGGAATGTCTACAGCGTTATGGATGCTTCAGACTAACGAGTATGATGTGACTATCTTGGATAAATCTGAGATTCTACCTGCTCCAGATGCCGCTAGCTCAGGTGAGCTCATCACTACGCCAAAAGATCGTGAACTTGACCCTACCTGTTTCTCCTGATCATCTCTGTCCCCATATCCTTTGACTCGAAAATCAAAATGGAACCTGAGTAGATGAGCTTTGCTAAGTATCAGATCTGAACAAGGTATATTGTTTTGTACAAGAAGGACACTCTCAAGTCTGACGGGAAAGATCATCCGAGCTGGGGATTATGCCGACCCTCATTTAGCTTCCCTATCCTTGGAAGCTATAGGAGCATGGCGTCAACCAGAATGGGAAAATACATTTCATCAGTAAGTCTTGCGCGATGTTTGGAGACTTCTAACCCAATCGAACAGACAATGTACGCTGATATAAAAGGAGCGGTCAAGCTTTGGCTGCAAAAGTGTCCGATCCAAAAACTAGGGGATTCGTCATGTCGTCTCTTGCTCAATGTGAGCGAATGGGGGTAAAAGCTATACATGCTCAAACAAGTGACCAACTTCAAGGATTCTTTCCTGGTATCAGAACGGGTATGTTTATACCTCTTCTTGAAGTCTACTTCGTACATTATCTACTTTTCTCACTACTCAACAGAAAGAAGTCTGACATTTCTGACATGGTCATAGGAATGTGCAGTGATAATGACATATGACAACGAAAAAGCGAAGAAAAGTTGATGGCTAGGCAAGTTCGAAGGTCTCGAAGGGTATCTCAATACTTCAGGTGGATGGGCAGAAGCTACTCGCGCTATGAAATTAGGTCTTGAGAGGGTACGTCAACTTGGTGGTCGAGTCAGGTCAGGAGCGCAAGTTGTGGGTTTGATCAAAGATGGTATTAAAGTCAAAGGGGTAATTTTGAATGATGGAGAAGAAGTGTTATGTGATTTACTTGTGGTTTGTCTTCCCATCCTAGCTCCCCCCCCCCCCCCCCCCCCCCCCCCGGGCTCTCCTGTCCAATACACAAGAAAAGCCTCTTGTTGATATTTGGTAATGACAACTAATGGCAGATTGCGACTGGTGCTTGGACCCCTGGTCTCTTCGCCTCAACAGGCATCTCTTCCAGACTTCCGCCCATCATAGCTACTGGGTTAGTCCATCCCCCATCCCCCATCACGATCATCACCTAGAGTTTCGTTCAGTGGAATGTTTCATTGACGTCATAGACAAAGTGTAGCCACCATACAGTTGAACGAAGAAGAAGCACAGAGATATTTCAAGGTTCCAGTCGTACGTTGATTCCTTTTTAACAAGTCAAAAGAGAGCTGGAAAATAGGTGTTCTTGAATAACCAATTTTACGTTTTCCCACCTGATCCAAATGGCATTGTCAAGTTCGCTATACACAATCCTGGATATCTCAATCCGGCAGAAAATGGAGTTTCAATTCCACATACTATTCTCACTCCAGGTGCAGAGGATGGGATGATACCCCGAGAGATGATACTTGAATTGAGGGAAGGGTTAAGGAGTGTGTATCCTGAATTGGCAGGAAACAGTTTTGTTACAACTCGATTATGTTGGTATGTCCTCTTCCTGTTTCACCTCCTCTTCTCTCACTCTTTGACTTTACAAAAAGTGAGGCAGAGGGGGAATATAGAGATCATGGAAGTTGTTGCGGAAGATAAGCGATACAAAGATCAGATTGTCGGTTGTCAAGGGGACCTGACACTGGGACTGACTGAAAGGTATTGCGATACAGTCTCTGGTGATTGGTTAATCGACTATCATCCAGAATACGAAAATCTAGTTTTAGCTACAGGAGGTTCGGGTCAGTTCTACCCATCCCACTCATCCCATTCATATCCCCAGATTTTTAGCTAGATACGATACTCGTACTAAAGATCATAGGACATGCATTCAAGTTCGCACCTATCATAGGCAGAGAAATCCTCAAAGTCATCAAACGGATTCCATCACCCGAATGGGCTGATCGATGGGCGTTCCAAATGAACAAGGAAGATGTAGGTGCGGATATCAGACATGGTGAGAGGAAATTATTAGATTTGAATCAATTGGCCACGAAAGAAGATCTCGGGATCTTCCGAGTCGTTGAACGTATGACGATACAAGTTGGTCTAGCATCGCGTCTTGTAAAGCATTTGTAGATGTTAAAAATCATGCATAATCGTTCTATTGGCATATCTATCACTTTTCACTAAGCCCAAAAGTCTATGCATTCTACATATTCTTCGTTTCACATATTTATATTTCAGACACTTAGGCTAACTTCCACTTCGGTGACAGTGACATGGTCCAAACGTTACTATGATACTTCTCCAAGCTCATTCGGATGCACTGGACACCTTCAAGTATGTCACTCACCATCCGATCCCAGAGAGAAATCTCCACGGATCGATCGGACGAGACTAGTTGGAATGGAGGAGAAGCTCCAAGACGGACAGCGGATAGATAACCCGATATAAATCCGTCCTCGTGGAACCCATATCCCTGCCAAGCACCCGTGATTGTCAAACGGGGATGTAGGTGGATGGCGGGGTGATTCTACTTGTCAGTCCTCCTTCCAGGTACAATCTGAGAGCTAAACCTCCCTACCCATTTCATGGAATACGGGTTAACGTGGTGGTGACTCGAAAACTGGTCCGGGAGCGGGCTCCATGAGAAATACTCACCGTCTCTCGCCCTTCGTACACCTCTGCAAGCAGATCCGCCGCTCTTCTCTGAGCAAGCGACACCACAGGCATCTCATATGTCCTCCTGGCGATGATCTTCTTGGGGTCTATTTCGAACACCGGGTTGAGAGTACCTAGGACTGAGCCGTATCTATTCCTGGGTAGATTCTGCAAGCGGTTTAGGTCAAATGTGCTTTGATGTCAGCTTGATGAAACTACGGCAGCTTTTAGTGAGGTCACAACATCATCATAGCAACGACGTTGCGACATATTGAGACTGATCAGGAGAGTGAGTGAGACAAGTCAGACAATGTGGCTAGGCACTCACACGGGTGTACAAGAAGATGGGGTAATATCTTTGGGAGTGAGGTGAAACCCTGTGAACATATTCCATGCGGCCCATACTTTATGGTTCTTCGGACGAGCCTGTTGGTTAGTTCCATCCGAGCCAAATCTTCACCCAAGCTCAGTGGATCTGATGCTGGTCAGACGAAAGTGATGATCGTCCAAAGCTCAGAGGACTTGAAGCTGGTCAAACGAAAGTGATGCTGGTCAAAATCTTACCAGATGGTAGAGTGGATGGAAGATGGTATATGCGACGAGAAGGTCGACCGGATCTGAAAGGGTTATGAAAGACTGTGTAACTCACCGAATCATCGTAGTGCAGCCAGATATCGAACTTGGAATACTCAATCCCATTCAGTGCGTTTCTCAACTTCACGCTCATCCCCTCGGTCAGAAGTCGCGTGACAACATGAGGGTGAATTCTGTCCGTCAGCTTCCGAAAGACTTCAGCAACTGGATTAAAAGACTCACGCAAATATGACATGGTCGAAATGTTTCTGTTGTCCAGTGATAAGTGTGAGGATCACTCCATTTTCCGTTGGGTTGACTGAAATCACGGTGGTGTTCGAGTGAACTGCGGAGGAAGGAACACTCTGGGTAATCTTGTCAATGTACTTTTTTCTGCTTATCAGCGGTTTTTGTATCGAAATGCTCCTCAGGAGATTGGGATTGGAAAGGAAAGGGACAAACTCACGATCCACCCTCAATGGTCAAATATTCATCTTTATCAAATAACTGTAAAAGCTTCTGATTATGCCAAGCTTGTATCAGAATACCTATGGGGAAGTCGGATGATACTTTGTCCGGAGGAACCGACCATAAAGCGCCGACAAAAGGCTTCTCTTTCAGCTTCCAACATCCCACTCCAGGAGCTTACAAGTAGATAATCGTCCCTGAATGCATCCCCATATCTCTCTTCAGCGAGCCATTTCCCAACTGTCATATTCGCTTTTGGACTTCCTAGTACTTGTAAAGCGGAATAATGGAATCGAAAGATATCAAATATCATACTCCATGTTCTCCATTTGAATCTATATGTCAATATCATTCCTCTCTCTCTCACATGAATCACCCTTTAGAAACCGATTGAACCAAGGATGAATCTTCTCTTGTATCCATGAAGTGAGGTCCTAGAAAAGGGGAGTATCACAGCAGATTAAAGCAGTGGAAGGAGCGTTGAGATGGGCACAGAGAACGTACATATTGCTCCATGTTGAGAATAAAGCTCCGAGATTGGTAGAACCCCATGAATATCCAGTTTGGTCCGTGATGGATATACTTTTAGCTGATTTCACCACGGAGACTGATAAATGATCTAGAAATCGAACGAAGTTTGGCCATCCAGATCGATTGAAGACTAGCTATAACATTGATCAATCCCTCAATACCCTCTGTACTGAAGAAAAAACATACGAAGGCTCTGCACAGTCAGCATTGCACATAGAGGGAACAACAGTGGATATAGAGATATGAGATGGAAAGAAGAGACTAACGTATCTGTCCAACATTCTTCATAGCCCGGTTCTGGGGATCAGCTGAGAGGGCAGGGTCAGGTTGAGGTCATCGAGTGGTGTTAAATAATCTCCAAAGTCCGACTTTTGGCGATTGCCAAGGTCGAGTGATAGACGATTGGAAAGAATTCATAGTCCAGAAAATGATCATGCCAGCGAATGTAGACATGGGACAGATCATGGTAAAGGCAATTGACTCAAGATAAAATTCATGTAGAAACCTCTCCTCTTTTTGTTCCTACCCCAGGTGAAGGAGAAGTGGGAGGTGTATGATGTGAAAAGACTTACGCTGAAAAAGAACAGTATGAGCATCCCCACCAAAAGTATCTTGCTTTTCGAGAATCTCAACTTGATGTGATGAATGATGATGCAATAACTATCCGTCAGCACTTCTTTCTCAATCCTCGACGTACATGGAATGACCCAAAAAGAGCATCTCATACTTGATCGTCGAATGAAGTAGAGTAGTCATGAAGAGGAGATTGCGCTTGATTATGGGAGAGAAGAAGTAAGAAAGATTGAAGATCTCACACTCAGGTGACTGATGAAGGGGAGAAGAGGGTTGTGTTCACACTCAAGTGAAGTATGGAAGAGGGAAGAACTCACATATAAAGAAGTCAGACCTGAAATCCCCCCTCCCACAACGGCGATCTTCATAGTCCTCCCACTTTCTTCTTTGTGCCCAGCTGGGAGCTAAGTCAGTGGATCAATCCACCGAAAAACGGTTCTCGCTCGTGGGTTGAGAGAAGGTGTAGGTATGCCCGTATACATCACTTAGTGAGAGCAGTCTTCATCTGAATTCTGACCAAAGTTTTGGGGACGGAATTCCATGTTCGACTCAATGTGCCTGGTCCCTGACGGCGTCGGATTCAGACCGTGGGCGGAGCGCCGACGGCGAATGGCAGCCCATGACTGTGGACTGTGTAGACTGGGACGTATAGAGGGCGAAGAGGAAGACTTGAGGAGGCAGCGACGTGAAAAGGTGTGGGTATCGGCTATTGGAATAATCACACGGGTCGAACAAGAACTACAACGATGAGTCTCTAAAACCGAACCGAATTGGTTACATCGCTCATGAGCTAGCTATAGAAACACTGTCCACAAAACATGATTGTCCAAACCATCTTAAACCCTACCGTCTTTCCATGACTATGCATCGATCTACCCAAACATGCATTCATTCGTCCTCGAACTGTTTTCCTCGGCGCTAAACCTCATACACTTTCACATCCTCGTCGACCCCTAACCGTTCATTCTTGTGAGACCGTAACCTTGTGAGACCGTTGTGGAGATGTCATGGATGCATGAAAGTGTGGAGTCGTGGGTGAGATATTATAACATTTTTTATGGATTGTGGGAACTGCATTGATCATCGTTTGATTGGGGCGGGAGTCGGGGTGGGAAGAATAGCACGACGAGTGGGTTGGATAAGACCTGCACCACATGCTCCTTTGGTGGGTGTGAGGTCGGCAGCGCTGTATTCGGATGGGTAGGAGCAGCTGGGGATCAGCAAGTGTCCAAATTCAATCAGTCTTCCTCTCGGGGATTCCCACTCCACAAGAATATTTACAAGGACATGGGATAGAAGTTCCGAGTGTAGGGGACATGCTTTCCCGAGCCAGTGATGTGTTTCACGAAGATCAGGGCAAAGGAGGAACAGGCGACAATATGATTATGAGGAAACAACTCGTACTCACTCCGCAACGGCCACGTAGGCCTGTCGACCATCGGCATTGGCATTTGCCCATCCATTACCCGAATCAATCGTTGCGCTACTTCCTGGACTGGTGAATGTAGGACCGGGCATGCTGATCGGTGTCCCTGTCTGTGTGTACTGAGGGAGCAAATCGATGGTAGCTTCGTCGATATTGGTCAAAGACGATACTGGCCAAGGGTAGGAAGCAGACATTGCGGCTGGGATCGTCCCTGCACCACTTCCACCGGTCATATAAGGCGAAGCGAACGTTCCATCAAATTGATCGACAGAGATTCCAGCTGCGGCACATGCTCCGAAATGTGAACGGGGATCTTTTGGAAGCCAACCGTTGTTGTATCCCAATTGATAATGCCAGAACGGGTTGACTTGCTGGATGGTGCCGGTGGAATTACCGATTTTCCAGGTCCAGAAGAACCAGTTCTGGATGTGTCAACATCTGAGAATTGATCTGAACAGTTCAACTTACCTGAAGAGCGTCCATAGAATTGGTGGTCAAATCGAGTAAGCTGTCGATAGTCGACTGATCCCATTGCGTCCAATCGTTCCATTGATCACATGAACCAGGTTTAGGACCAGTGTATCCAGCATACGATCCGTCGTATCTTGAACCAGCGCCGACATTATTGATCCAAAGACCACAACTGTTGCAATCAGATGGCCGTCACATTTTTTCCAATAGAACAAAACTCACTCGTTAGGCGCAGCCGACCATTCACCAGCAACTATCATGCCGTACTGCTGCAGAGTATCGTTTGTCGAAGCTCCCCAGTTGGAACAAGGTTGCTTGGCAATCGAAGCAAGAGTGCCGGTGGGTTGATCACCAAAGATCTACATCGTTAGCCGACATTCCGAGACATGAAGACTTTGTTATGACTCACAAGGTAAGGGTGGTTGTCGAAACCCAAACGATCCGCGCCAGGAAGGAAACCGTACCACTGGGAGATTCCGAGGAAACCATCGTGGAAGGAGAGGAAAGGTCCTTTGCCGGTGCCGATGCCAGTAATGTCCCTAATGGTTTTGTAGGCTTCGTAGTAGAAACTGCCTATTGCTGATTGTCCGACACCTCCAGCGTTGGGTTCGTTGATAAAGCCAAAGAGTTGGACAACTGGTGCGTATTCCTCTTGTGAGATAAACTGGGCCAGAGTGCGGATGTACTCAAGAGCACGTTGAGCATTGGCAAGGCCCATAACACCGTTCATCCAGTTGATCTGACCCAAGTGGCCGGAGTGATTCCAACCGTTCTGACTACCTGGGACAGTATGGAGATCGAGGTTGATACGGATACCGTACTTGCGAGCCCACTGAATAGCCTTTAAGAAGTATGTCCAAGCGACGCGTTCGAGATATGGTTCACCGTCCAAAGTTTCGATAGCCCAGTGAGGAATAGGTATACGAACCCAATTAAGACCAGCACGGGCGATGTCTGCAAAGTCACGTTCGGTGATGAAGGTCTCGTAGTGTTCCGTCATAGCAGCAGTCAAGTTGCTACCCATGTTGAGAGAAAGAGTATATTCGTCGACAGCAGTGCCACCTGGACCAGTGGCATACTTTTCGTACATTGCTGGAACGATGAAAGGTTCTGAGAGTCAGTGTGACACAGTATGAGTCAATCAAGGGAAGAAATGATGTGATGAACCCTGTGAGATCGACGTACCGGTAACCAACCACCCGCCAAGATTGACACCGTAAATTTTATCGATACCCCAATTCCAGGTACTATTGAGAGAGGGCGTCCAAGAATTTGCTTGAGCATCATTGTTGAATGGGTTGGAAGGATCCCAAACCCATTGACCGCCAAAGGGGTTTTCATAAGTGAAGGTGGAACCGTCTTCAAGGGTGATCAAAGAGCCTGTTCCTCCTGAAGTGGGTGTCGGGGTAGGAGCGGTGCTAGATGCAGTCCCAGTGGCGGATTTAGAGGAGGAAGGATCGCTGTTTCCACCATTCTTGTCATCAGAAGTGGTGGTGGAAGCATTGGTAGAGTGATTTCGTGTTAAACTACTTGTATCAGCTCATGCATCATATAGCTGAGAAGAAGGACTGACCCGACACCCAAACCGATGGCAGCTGCAGCAATGATGACAACGGCACCTACACCCAAACCAATCCAAAGGGGTTTCCGGCTTTTTTTAGGTATGTACCCGTCCTGTGCCCAACGAGGTTTCTCACTCATATCCACGCCACCAGCTCCGAGAGCAGGAGCTACATGACCTTGTTCCTCATCCTCCGACGTTCTCTCAGAACCTGAACTTACTTGTCTGTTTAGGGCGGAAGGTCCTCTTCTTCCTACATGCTGACGATGTCAGCATCCAATCTCCATGTGAATTGTGATCATCAAAGGGGTTTGGCGATCAAAGTGAAAACAAAGGGTGAAGCAGATAGGAATGACTTACCTCTGCCCCAGCAATAGCCGCTGGATCAGCAGCGAAGCCAACACCTGAACCCCAGCTCTGACGATTTTCCGCACCCATCGGAGGAGTACCAGGAAGACTGGTGTGTGTTGAATCCCTAGATATGATGGAGGGAGCAGGTAGATATGCCGAACTGCTTCTACCAAACAAAGTGGTGGATTCGTTCAAGTCAGGGGAGAGGAGAGATGGTGAAATGGAAGGACCGGAGAGGGAGGAATAACGTGCAGAAGCCATGTTGCTATCGGCTATATCGCTCGTGTTGGGGTCGGTGGGTACGGAAGTGTACACTGGGTCGGATGGGGGGTTGGGAAAGGGGCGTTTGATGGGAGTGACCATGGTGTGTTATTTTTATTACCACGAATGGGTACAGGTAATGAGGTGGTTTGTAACGACACGATGAGGTAAATAGTAAATGGAAATGACACTTGATATATTATCAGCTTGTTGTGGTATGTTTATATGAAGTGAAAACTAGAAAGAGGAGAGAATTCAAGTTGGCCACTGCGGAGGGAGGGTGTATTGAGGATGATCGGCGGTGTGTCTAGTGGGCTAGTGTGGACCGGTAGCCGAGTGGGATAAAGCTAGCGGGGGACACGATGCGGAGCGGTGACTAAATTGCGACGCCCGATCCAGCGAGAGGACGACGATCAAGCCGTCGGCCGTTGTAGCGAGGATGGATGTAAGTGGATGTGAAGTAAAAGGATGAAAGATGGCACCATAGCACAACGATGCACACTCATGTTTGCCTCGTTCCCCTTGTCCCCCCTGCGCTTCTTCTCCCTGCATATTGCAAGCATGCCACAAATCACAGAGCCACGGTGTCCCCGGATGAACGGACCGTGTGGCTGTTAGGCCCAAACGCAATAGGGGTAAAGGAGGTGATGAAACGTCACATCGGTACCAGTGACATAGTGGCACTCATCATCACATCTTTTTTTCTCGTCATGTCCGCATCTCATGAGAACAAAGGAATATGTTGATGGTGAGGGGGGGGAAACAAAATTGAGATGCTCACCTCTATTCTAACCTCTCAGTCCACTACACACCTGTCCCACGATGTCCACGCCGAGGGGAAGAGAAGAGAGGACGAGAAAGAAGGATAAAAGAGCGAAGGAAAGAAGGGAGAGATTTCCTTGACGAAACCCCTCCGAATGAAAAGTGGAAAGAAATGTGAGGATGAGAGAAGATGACGGGGGCCGGAGATCGGAGAAGAGAAGAAAGCCAGGGTAAAAATGTATGTAAAGAGGACCTTAGGGGTGATATGTTGTTTGTGGCGATGCGGACCTTGATGGCTTGACAAAACGACGGCGGCTTGACCGGCTTAAACCCTCCCCCTCCCGAACCCCACTTTTTACCCCACGTGCCTGGAAAATGACGGAGGGTGTACGTGTGCCCATGAAGGCTTTCGACTTATTAGCTTGGCATACTTTCTTTCTGTCGCATACTGCATCCTACTAAGAGGTTTGCATGATACACAAGCTTTTATTGAGAAATTTGGGAATACGGAAAGAGGGACAAACTTGATTCGTCACCGAAGGCCCTGACCCCGCCCTGAATATCTTGTCCTGAACTACTACCAGGATAGCTAGGGTGTGGAACGGATGTCCGCACATGTGGCATGTGGCAGATCCCTCTCTCACGTGTCCTTTCCGAACAAACACCGGCGCTAACTTCTTACATACTTACCTCGGCTTTCCACATTGCTAGAGTACAATCACGGTTGTATTTAAAGGCTAGATCGATTCCGCAGAGGATGTCTACGTAGATGCATACACAGATGTCTCTCAACAGTCATTCCTTCACTCCCAATCCATCTTAGCGACATACGCCATGATATCCGATTCTATCCTCTCCCGGACCAGATCACCGCGACCGGCCGCAATCTGCAGTACAGCTCGATTTAACGGTGAAGATCCTAGTATATCCACATGATCCGCGCTGTGTCCATCAGCAATGTCTTAGTTGTGTTCCAGATGTAACATACGTCAAAGCACCACCCCGAAGGTCGAGTGTCTGCGGTGAATGGCGATATTCTGTCACAAGTCAGTTTTGGCTCATCTATCATACCCCATTCCTCCCTCCTACACACATCTTAATACGAGTAATCGAACGATATTGTCTTCACTCGAGTAACAGATCTTCCTGTCGCGTGGGGACAGCCGGAATTCTTGGTCTCAAGGGTACGATCTAAACTGGTGATGTGATCGGGCCGTTGCGGCGAAACAAAGTCTCACCTTGGGTAATCACTTCAATCCCAGATGGGTTCCACTTTGTCTTCCCTTTCCACCCTTTAACACACATGGAACCCAGGGACAAGACCGATATGGTACCGTCCCCATCTCCGAATTTCACTCCACTTCGCACCTCCGGTCTAGAGCCTTTCACATTCACCGCAGCATCAATCCAATTCTTCCTCGCCATGGGGAAATTGACGGTGGAGCCTGTGGTGGAGGCGTTGTCGCACGAGTTGGAAGGGTCTGATGCATCGCACTGGTCAAGTCAATGCTGCTTCACCGGTCATTACCAAAGTCCCAAATGTGTCATTCATATGCAAATTCTGAGACTCACCATGGCGTCAGAATTTTCCGCATCCGATCGTGTGTCGTCATATTCGTAGTCTCCCTGCATGTACCAGTATGACCGCTGTTCTTCAGCTATCACCTGACAGTAGGATAAAGGGGAATACCTCAGTTTGCTTGCCGTGTCCGTAAAGACAGTAAATCTTCATCGACGGTGCATCTGGAAGTCTGTCATCAACCCAGCATCCTCCTCCTAGAGGAAGCCAAGACCTACCGAACCTCAAGGGGATTAGACCACTGATGGTAAGCACTGCCGAGTAGGGTGGATTCACTCACCTTTCTATGATCCTCATCGTTGGCTTTCAGTCGGGCTTCATTAGTCTCAAAACCGTAAGAATAATTACTCTCCATCATCCGTTGAAACGTCGCTGGCGTGTGCATCAACACATATGCCGAAGCTTCCTCGATCGTCAAGTTCGGCCAGACGGTACCTCGGTCAAGGTGATGTTCGTCGGGCGGGACCTCTGGATGGCGGAAAGAAAGGAATCTCCCATGGGTATCTGTGGCATTTTCGGGGTCATCCTAAACGTCAGATGATGCTTGTCCACGGGCGAGACGGGAGAAGTTACAGGAGCCGACTCATTCGTGCCCCAGATGCGATTGCCACCCTGGGAGTAGTTAGCAACGTTGGGGCACCTGCACCGATGAGATACTCACCTTGACCCACATCGAGCTAGACCCCGGCCAACGACGAAACAACTTTGCGCGCTCTTTCCTCGAGAAGAACTGAAAGGGTCAATGACATCTCGAGAATAGAGGTTACAGAGAAGAGGGGGCCCTGATGGACAGACCTTTTCCAACACCCAAGATCCTGCAGGATGCTATTCGGTCAGATGAAACAGCCGTACAAGGAATAGATTGTACTGACAAGTTCAACAGTATCCCTCATCTCACCTGAGAGAAAAGCAGTCATTGCTTTTGAGACACCTAGGATCGTCAGTGCCAGCCCACAGAAACGACGAACGAAGAAGACCGACCCAAGAGAGTTCCAGCGACGTTGGCCCAGGCTTCTATATGCTCCTCGACCCACTTTGGTCCGGCTCCACCACCAAACCCGTGTTTATCAGGTTGTGCTTCCACCCATTTGAGGCTGATTGTTTAGCTGATGCCTGAGGTGCATTGATTGAAAGACCCACAAGTACTGATGAGGGGGAAGACTGCTTCAGCGCTCATCTCATAATTAATGACCAACCTACGAGGACGACCGTGCCACCCATTCTATTCGTCAGTCACTGTACACACGAGATATAGGCGGACGGACGAGTGAGAACACAAAACCACTTTCTTCCCACTATGTCGCTTGTAAAGTTCAATCTTCGACTTCAGTCTACTGAAGAAGGAATCTCTTATCTCAAGATTATAATAAGCCAATCGCCTCGTACGTCAACAACACCAGTCAGGTGGACTACGGGTTAGTCACCCACCAGTCATAAGCCGCCATGTCCATAGAATTCGTGTCATATCCCAAGGTAGCAAGGTTTTCAACTATCTTCTGCCAGATCCAATATCCCTGTATAAACTCGGACTGTTGCTCAGCTCATCTACCCCAGCTACCAGTTGGACTGACAGCTGCATCCAATCCTTGAGCCGCGCGGACTTTATATCCGGGTGGATCTAAGCCTGTCTCGGGATCTATGCTTAAAGCTTGTAACCATCGCTCCCTTCAATCAGCACATTAATCAAGCTGTGAGATAAAAAAGGAAGAAATGCGGATAACTCACTTATTCGATACCACAGCCTTCATTGTGAGTAGATCATAAGCTAGCAAGAGCGATAGCTCACCCTGATCATAGTGGTCGTGCCCTATCACATCAGCTGACGTCGTCGCAAAGATTAGAGACAAACTAACCCATAGTCTCTTCCTGAAGAAACCCCTAGCGACGGATTCCGTGCTCCAACTTTCCAAGCCGGTCGATACAATTCCAGGTATCAAAATGACCGGGTGTTCTTTACGCAGATCATAGACCGCTGCGAGTTCGTCTCCGACTGTGAAGTCGCGACTTTCCAACGCTTTTCTGGCATCTTCCCATCAGCCCTTCTATATTGCACTGATATCAGAGGCAGGGATGAAGTGTTGCAAAAATCTCACTCTCAATTACTGTAAGGTTTGATACCAGTTCTCGTACGTCGTATGGATTTGGAACGGACGCCCATAATTCTGCGATATCTCCTCTGCGATCTCAGTTGATCCAGCTGACACAGATATAGAAAAGAACTTACTGAATTTCAGACAACTTCATATCTCTCATCACCCATACAACTGCAATCGCTCCGAACAAAACTCCTCTGACATGTCTCAGCAATTCTCTTATTTTGATCGAGGAGGCATCTCACAGAGGGAAGAAGAACTAAGAAGAGTTAGCTCGACATAGTGCATTCGTTATCCAAGGGATGACTACCCACCTTTCGACCGAACACCCATGACGCCCAAGTCCGAGGTGCGGCACCATCGGAGTGTTGAAAAAAACTCGATTCGCTCAAATCTAATCTTCAGCTCCTTCGATCATAGCGTTGAGAACCACGAACCTATCTCGTCTAATGGTGTTCCAGGTGCTACTGGTCAGTTTGAAATGAGTGACAATGTTGATCAGACCTAGTATCTGGTACGTCAGGAGCACGCTTCGCTGCTCTGGATTTTGTACTTACTTTATACAACCCGTCTCTCTATACATCAGTTCTTCCCTTGGTAAAAGAATAGGAAAACATGCCTTCTTCTTGAGCTTGACGCTCACTTCTTCGGGTACGCCCTTGAAACTGATCTTCCTGTTCATGCGCTGCCGAAGACGCTTCGAACCCTTCGGGCTTCCTCTCTCTGATCTTGCAGACGATTCAGCGTCGACTTTCATGTCTACATCGCTCGTTTCGTGCTCTTTGTGCTTGCCTTTAGTCATGTTATTCGAGACAAAGCATGAGTGATACATCAAAAAGTCCCAGTGTTGTGAGAGACAAGTGTCGGGTGATGACGTCGAGAGTGGCACTTGGAATTCGTGGCACTTTTTCTGCTTTTGTCACGGACCACGAAAGAGTCGGTGCGAGCCTGACGAAACGCCAAGGGATGGTACATGAATGATGCCAAGCGGCCTGAACGACCAGTGGTGATGAAGAAAAGTATCAGCCATCAGAAGAGACTCAAACAGTTATGACATGTACCTTTTTATCATATTGGGGTTGCATGTGGTCAGGACTATTTTAGGTCGCTAATCCCCTAGAAATCCGCGTCATTATCTTCCTCAGAGTTCAGATAAGTCTCCCTATGTCGCGTTGGTGAGCTTATGGATATCATGCTACCTCTTTCCAACCTGTCTCAATCCTCAGACCCATTCTTGCTCTCATCTTCATGGTTGGTAAGGTCTGCTTCCCGCTTCTCATCATTGTACTCATCTTCCACAGTATCTGAATGCCGGTCCCAATACTTTCTTTGGGGCAATAGGATTTCCCAGATTCGTTGGTACTCCTCATCCTCTTCTTTATCCCCATAGCCCACATGTTTCATGCTGATCTGAATCTCTGTACTAGTATCGACATCTCCCCCTCCATTTGTCTGCACCTGTCACGAACTACGTCGCGACACCTCGATTACTCCACCAACAATGACCCTCCTTTGGCCATCAAAACCCCATCACGCCTTAACCTCTTTACTCTACACGTAACTCAGGACTTCTGACACCAAGTACGGCGAAGTTAGACGGAGTTAGGCTAAGTAGGGACAATGGGAGCAGAAGTGCGGCGATGTTAGGCGGAGTTAGTCTAAGTAGGGACAATGGGAGCAGAAGTACGGCGATGTTAGACGGAGTTAGGCTAAGTAGGGACAATGGGAGCAGAAGTGCGGCGATGTTAGGCGGAGTTAGTCTAAGTAGGGACAATGGGAGCAGAAGTACGGCGATGTTAGGCGGAGTTAGGCTAAGTAGGGACAATGGGAGCAGAAGTGCGGCGATGTTAGGCGGAGTTAGTCGAAGGAGGAAGAGGATGGCCGAGGGCTCGGGGAAGTTGGACGAAGTGCGTTGAAGTACGTCAAAGCGCGAGAGGGTTGGATGAACGTCTAGGAGGAGTAGATAATATTAGCTGAGAAGATCGCTGAAGTTCTTCAGCGATCCTTGATTGTTGTCAGTAGTGAAAGACAGATAGAGATAGCTATAAATCAAGATACATCGTCATCAGTAGAACAAAACCCTAGTTAGAGTAACTACGCCGAAGTACGCCGTAGTTACACCCCTTTCGACGTCTGCGCCCTCCTGGTTGGGTGAGACATCGACTCAGAGCGTGAAGTTAGCCGAGGTTCGTCGACCGTCGGTCTATTAAGAAATAGTTGTTCGACGGCCGTGACAGTATCAAGGATCGCTCTTACCGACGACCCGTGCGAACCTCGGAGAAGTACAAAGATAATATGGAACCAGAAAGAAGAATTACACGAGGGATGAGTAGGGATGGAGACAGGATGGAGGAGAACGAGAGGAGAGCATTGGAGGAGCTTAGCAGAGCAATGGGACAGGACCTTGGAGTGGAGGATAGTGTGGGGGGATCAATTCAAGGAGATGAGTTCGTTCCACCGGTGCCTTCTAACCCTCCTTCTCCTCCGCCTAATGCTCTCCCACCTGCGGGATCCCCACTTGGATCAGACCAAACCCCACGCCCAAGAGAAAACACTGGAAGTACGGCGAACTTGGGAGAAGAAGGAACACAAGGGGTGGTGTTGGCCCTGATGCAGATGGTGGCGAATATGAACAAAGACATGATGGAGGAGAGAAGGCGTAGGGAGGAATGGGAACAGAGAAGAGAAAGGGATACAGTGGGCGGGATTGCAGAAGGGATATCAGAAGGAGTGAGGTACGCCATGGGACGGCAAACTTCGGCGACCCCAAGCGTAGTGGGCGAACAACGGAAGGGGATAAAGCTACCTAACCCAGACCTCTGGAGAGGAGATCGGAACAAGTTAACCGCCTTTCTGTCTGAGTGCGACGTACATTTCGAATTGAACTCTCATCTTTTCCCCGACGACACTAAGAGAGTCTTTTTCATGATCTCTCATCTACGCGAAACACCTCTTCTTGCAGTGCAGCCCGATCTATCCAAAAGACCTCTTCCTGAGTACCTCACGACACACGATCAGTTCATTAAGTACCTCAAGACTAACTTTGGTGATCCAGACGAAGAAGGAACTGCGGCCCGACAACTTAACGACCTCAAGCAAACCGGGTCTGCTTCGGACTACTTCTCCGCCTTCCAGCGACATGTTGCGATTCTTAAGTGGTCTGATGATGGAAACCTAGTTGACCGAGCCAAGAAAGGACTAAAATCGCACCTTCTAGATGAAATTGCAAGACACGGTAGATCGTTTGGGACTGTGAAAGAGCTATTGGAGTTTGTGATTCCCTTGGACAACCGCCTGTGGAGGAGACAAGTGGAGAAGGAGGCAGAGAGGAAAAGGGAAGGAGGGATAAGGACAACGACAGTGGTGGAAAGTCAGAGGACGGAGAAGAAAGAAGAGAAGAAATGGGAAAAGGGGCAACCTTCGGCGCAGGGTGGTGTCCAGGCGGCTATGATGTCGACGGTGGTAAAGAGTACACCACCAAACATCGACGAAGTAAGATGGCCTAGGCCGAGCTCCGATCTGAGGGAGACAAGGAGGAAGGAGGGGAAGTGTACCGAGTGTGGTGAAGCAGGACATTGGCTGAAGGAATGCCCTGTAAGGGAGGCTAAGGTTAAGGTTGGACTGTTGCCTCCATGGGGGGGGAAGTTCGGAGAACGTGGTGGAGGATCGGGAGGGAACGCAGTACCTCTCGGACAGAGGAGGAACTTGAATGCGGTTGGAGGAGAAGTAGATTTGGAAGAGGACCAGGGAAAAGAAGAGGACCTGTCGCAGTAGGCGAGGCTCGGCGGGTCCGCCATATTCTCTCGGCCACCATTCCCAAACCCATAAAAGAAACACAGCTGATGGAGCCAGAGGATTGTGAATACAAAAATACACCACTCAGTACCCCTTGTTCATGCAATGTCGATAATCATCTCCTCATCCCTTCCGTTTCCAGAGATCAACCTAAATCGGACATTTTCATTAATGGAATAAAGCTAACTACGCTCTGGGACACTGGAGCTACTTGTTCATATATAAGCCCTAGGGCGGCAGCGAAGATAGGTGTAGAAAAGAGGCGATATCAGGTGAGCGTACCCGTTCACATGTTCGACGGCTCGGTGAGTGTCGCTGGACCCATCACCGAGTTTGTCGAAGTCGGATTTAGTTTGACGAAGGACGCCGAAGTGCGATCTGTTTGTCTCGATGTAACAACGCTCTGCGACGCAGATGTTGTGATAGGGTGGGATTGGATGAGGAAGGAAGGGGTTGTCCTTGATGGAAGAGACAACTCGGTGAAATTTCCCATCCCAACCCCACCAAGTGCGGCGAAGTTAGCGGCCATAGGGCTGCCGACTCCGACGGACGCGATAGACCTCCGCGGCGAAGATGAGCTTGAAGAGCTGAGCCCGGAGGAACAAGACGAGTTGTTCCAGGTAGTTCCTGAACAATACCACCAGTACATTGACGTTTTTAATCCGAAGAAGGGAGGAGAGACCCTTCCCCCTTCAAGGTCCTACGATTTGAAGTTTGAGCTTAAGGAGGGGGCGAACCTTAAGGTCGCCTCCCTCTATGCTCAAGGAGAAGATCAGAGACGCGCGCTGAGAGACATACTAGATCGCGAAATCGCCGCTGGCCGAATTCGGGCAAGTAACTCGCCATACGGCTCACCAATGTTTATGATACCGAAGAAAGCCGAAGGACAATGGCGAATGGTCATCGACTATCGAAAACTGAACGAAGCGACCATACCAGATGCCTACCCTCTCCCTCTAATAGGTCAAATTACTGAGGAACTTGGAAAAGCAAGGTATTTCAGCAAACTAGATCTAATTGGAGCATACCAATTGTTGAGGGTGACAGAGGGACATGAACACCTGACGGCGTTCAGGACACAGTATGGTATGTTTGAATCTCTGGTTGTTCGTGATGGGCTGCGAAACGCCCCCGCGGTCTTCCAACACTTCCTAAATGAGGTGTTTAGAGAGCTACTAGGGAATGGAGTCGTGGTCTACATTGACGATATCCTCATTTATGGGAATACGTTGGAGGAATTACGAGGAACTACGGCGAAGGTCTTTGAGGTACTGCGGAAGGCGAGCCTGTACGTGAAAGCTAGTAAGTGCGAGTTCGAAAGAGATTCGGTGGTGTTTCTGGGTTTCGTGGTATCCTCTAAAGGTGTATCGGTGAACCCAGAATACATTGATGCCATCACTTCCTTCCCACGTCCTAAGAATCTACGAGAGTCAAGGGGATTCATTGGAGTTGTAAGCTACTACAGGCGCTTTGTCCCCAACTTCTCGAAGATTGCTAGACCTATCAATGACTTGACAAGGAAGGAGGTACCATTTGTATGGGGAGTCGAACAGGAGTCAGCCTTCAAAGAGTTGAAGGCTAGGATGTGTACTGCGCCGGTGTTAGCCCATTTTGACCCTACATTGAAGACGATATTACAGACAGATGCGTCGTTCTTCGGCTGGGGGTTCATAATTTCGCAGATCAACACGGCTGGTCAAGAACACCCGGTAGCTATTGAGTCTGGTGCTTTCAACACAGCTCAACTGAATTATACGGTAGGAGAAAAGGAGTTCCTCGCTGTAGTGGAGGGTTTCAGAAGAAGGAGACACTTATTATTGCAGGTAGAAACCACAGTACTTACCGACCATCTAAACCTTACCTACTGGATGGAACCGAAACAACTCAGTCCTCGGCAAGGTAGGTGGGTAGAGGAGCTAGCTAACTTCAGGTTTAAAATGGTTTATCGACCAGGAACCCAGGCAAGTCTTCCAGATGGATTATCTAGACGGGCGGACTATCATTCCGGGAAAGGAAGTACCATGGTACAAGAGAGCAACCTTATCCAAGGTCTGCCGAAGTTCGACGAAGTTGACGCCACCACGTCGGAGTTGCGTCACCTCCTTCGAGCATTGCAAGGGACAAGGGAGGTAAAGGAAAATGATCTTGTGGACCCTATGGATCTAGTACTTGGAGTTCAGGAGGACGAAGACATAGAAGGGGTCAGAGAAGAATTATTAGGAGTCGTTTGCGCTGAGTGTTCTCATCCTACGTGTAACGATAACGTGCAGGAACCAGGATCAATCACCGAACTACGCCGTAGTTCGCGGTCTCCTCTAATCCTTCGTGGGGGGTGGAACTCAAGAGGTTTCCTCACATTCGACGATCGCATTTATGTGCCGAACTACGCCGATGCTAGGCTGAAGATCATGAAGATGCGACATGACTCAGCCTTGGCCGGTCATCCAGGTTCGGCGAAGACCCTTGAACTAGTCCTGAGGGATTATGTCTGGATTGGAGTAAGGAAGGATGTCGAAGATTATGTTGCTGGATGCGCGGTATGTCAGAGAGCGAAGACTAACAGGCAGAAACCTCATGGGGAGCTTAAACCACTGGAGGTAGCTACGAAACCTTGGTCTAGCATCTCGATGGATTTTATCGAGGAGCTGCCAAATTCCCATGGATATAATTCCATCCTGGTAGTGGTGGATCGGTTGACCAAATGGGCCATTTTTATCCCGACTACGACGAAGTTAACCGCAGCCGGCCTATCAGAGTTGATATTGGACTATGTGGTGGCCCAGCATGGGTTGCCAGAGAATATAGTATCGGACAGGGGATCGAAGTTTACCTCCAAGTTCTGGAAGAATTTGACCGATAGTCTCGGAATAAGACTACATCTCTCTACTGCATATCATCCACAGACTGACGGACAGACCGAACGAACCAACCAGTCTTTGGAACTGTATCTTCGAATCTTCACCTCCTATCAGCAGAACGACTGGTCAAAGCTACTCGCTCGAGCTAGCTTTGCTTACAACAACACCCAGCACTCTGCGATAAACAAAACCCCATTCTATGCGAACTATGGATATCACCCTCGTTGGGCTGAAGAGATAAAGGCTAGCGAGGTCGAAGTGCCCGCTGCTACGGTGGTGGTAAAAGACTTGACTGAAATACACAAAGATTGTATCGAAGGAATTGAGAAAGCTAATGAGAGGTACGCCGAAGGATACAATAGGAAACACCGGGCTACGCCGAACTTCGTGGAAGGAGACCTAGTGATGCTGTCGTTAGAGAATATTAAGACGAAGAGACCAATGAAGAAGTTAGATGTTAAGCAAAGTGGGCCGTACAAAGTAGTACGGCAGGTGGGTTCTCATGCTTGTAAATTGGAACTACCAGGAACGATGGCAGGTATCCATGACGTATTCCATGTCTCCTTGCTCCGTCCTTATCATCCTCCAGTATTCCCTGGTCAGCAAGCTGAACCACCTGGCCCAGTAGAGGTAGACAATGTGGGAGAGTCTTGGGAGGTAAAGGATATTGTGGACTCTAGAGTAAATAAGAGGTCAGGAAAGTTAGAGTACTTGGTGGAGTGGTTAGGTTACGAAGGAACAGACGATTCAGTATCATGGGAACCAGTGGAGAACGTCGATGGAGCTGATGACATATTGGCGAAGTTCCACGAACTTCACCCTACTAAGCCGAAGGAAGGGCGACTGCGAAGGGCTAGGAGATAGAACGTACTGCATACAACATAGGATTACAGCTACGTACCGCTCACTTGTCCTTACTCTTACCCTTACCTTTTCCTTTTCCTTTCTCCTTCGATCTACTCGGTCCCGCGGGATTGGTGTGGAGGCTACCGATGACCGAAGGTAGATCGAGAGTCTCAGACGGGAACGCAGTAGAGAGAGAAGCATTCCATGCCCGATTCATAGCCCCGAAGAAGTCACCGAAGTCCTGGACATCTCGAGCAGCTTGCATGCTTGGAGTCCTCCACAGAGAACGTATGGTCCGTAGACACTCGAAGGGAAGACTGAGGAGGTCGAGAGCAGTCTGGGCGGAAGCTGGGACACGAGAACTACTACGGCGACCTAACCAGTCAAGGGACGGTGGTGGCTCATACGCCATAGGAGTGACTAGGAAGGGGGTGTCGAACAGTCTTCGGCGAACATCGGCTATCTCAGTAAGGCTTCGGCGAGAGACGTCCGCTAACCTCGTCCTTGCTCCGTCGTCCAGAGCCCCAGTGTTGACTGCATCTACTAACGCCGCAGTGAGATTGTTTAAAGCGTTAGCTTGACGAGAAGAGAAGTCAAGCAGGAGAGATGTATCATTTCGGGCGGCCTCGAGCTGAGTAGTGAGACCGAGGACGAGAGAACGATAAGTGGCGAATTCCTTTTCGTCCTCAGGAATACGGACGTCCAGGGAGATACGAGGGTGGACGAGGGACAACCGGGGAGCAGAGGGACCAGCACGCTGAGTATCTTCACCTTCCACATCACCATCATTGAAGGCAACCTCCTTCTCTTTAGATTTCCCTTTTGATTTCTTTAAAGAAGACTTCGGTGTCTTCTGGGAAGCAGAGGGAGGGGTGACGGGAGGGGCCGCCGAAGTGGCCGGAGGAACAGAAGGACGCCGACTTCGGGTGCTGTGAGCCGGAGGAGAAGCTACCACTGGAGAGGACGGACGTGGCGCCGAAGGACGAGAGGCCGAAGGAGCAGAGGCCGAAGGACGGCGAGAAGACGAAGGAGGAACAGCCGGGAGACGTGATGGGCCGGCCACAGGAGCGAAGGGCGACGGCGACGGAGGCGACGGGCGGAGGTCCGGCGAAGTACGGCGAACCGACCGGAGAGACGAAGACGGTACCCGCGAACGGGGGACAGACGCTGGAGTCTGGGGAGGGGGGAGAGGAGAAGCGTCGAAGGGACGGGGCGGGATGTCCCGGGCAGAGGAAACGGGACAGAAGGAGCAGGGGCCAGACGTGCATGAAGCACAACGGAGGGCCTTGTTGTGTGGCCTGACTGCCTTGAGGCAGGGCCAGTTTGGACGATTATACGTGATAATCTCACGTCTACTAATTAGCAGGAGTAACTTCGGCGTAGTACGAATAGGTGGACTCACCGGCAACGATCACACGCTTCGTCAACACCAACCGCGATCCAACGACCAGGCTCGGACTTCATCTTCTCCCACAAGTACTCTTCTTCCCGCAGTGATCTCTTCACCCGTTTGGGCGAAGGCTCCCCTCTGGGAGAAGGGGGGGGAGCAGCGACGGGGGCGGCGGCAGCAGGACCGGCGGCGGCAGCAGGAGCGATGGCGGCGGCAGGGCGGGCGGCGGCAGCAGCGGCGGCAGCGGCGATGGCGTTGGGGGGGGGGAGAACCCCGGAAGAGGAAGAAGCAGAGGAAGAAGAAGAAGAGGAAGAAGAAGAAGAGGAGAGGGAACGGCGTCGTTTCTGGCCCACAATTTGAGCAGGGGGAGGGGCAGGAGCGGCTGCGAGTTAGCAATGTCTTGAAGAGCCAAAGAACAGATAAACAAGGCCAAGTTCGGCGAAGGTGTGAGAGGTTGGACGAAGAACTCACGCTCAGGACTATCTACGTTGTTGTCCTCTACACTAACCGCCACCATATCATCATCCGAGTGTTCCTCTAACTCGGTTTCACCCTCCGACACGATTCTATCATCCTCATCACTATAATCACCCCCTTTTCCTTCGAAGTCTGACTGATCGTCCGACTCCAAACCACTGAGCGACTCCTGGTCGGAGGAGGACGGAGACTCACCAGGACGAAAGGCGGGCGTCCTGCGGCGAGGACTGGCGGCAGGAGGGGAAGCAGAGCGAGGACCAGGAGGAGGAGAAGCAGAGGGAGAACCAGCGGGAGGACCGGCGGGAGGAGAAGCGGAGCGAGGAGGCGGGACATCGCCAGACGGCTCCCCCAAAGAGAGGGTGCCGAGGCCGAGGGAGGAGACTTGGCGAGATCTGTCGCCGAAGGAAACTGAACATCAGCCAAGTCCGGCGAAGTAAGGTAAGTGTCGAGGAATAACTCACGAGCAGACGACACCATACCACCAAAGTTCCTCATGGCGGCGAAAGGGTTAGAGGTGGGAGTAGGAGGGGCCATGACGTTAAAAATACTTAAAGAAATAAAAGATGATTCAAGGTAACAAATCTGTTTTCTAGGTAAGAGAGATAGAAAGTTTTGAAAGCAGATGGGAAAAAGAGAGAAGCTCGACGAACTGCTCAGTATTTAGTATAATCAAACCTAAACCCTCGTCGTCAACATGCAGCAAACTTCGCGTTTCATCAACAAAAGGCATCGCAGGGACGATCAAAATTCCCACGCTATAGTGTCTCATCTCAATATAAGCGAGGGTTACTTCGACAAACAACGGTGTTGTTCGGCTGCCATTCAGGAAGCGTGTCTCACCTACAAAAGACACAGGGCTTCTTACGGCAAACCTCGACGAAGTTAGGGGAGTCTCATTGTCGGGTTTTGGAGTGAAAGGAGGCCCAACTACGAAGTGCGGCGCAAAGAGCAGAAGGGTGAAGGATGGTCATGGGGAGGGAGAGAATGGGGGTACTACGCTGCTAAGTTCTCTTGACACGACAGAGGTGTAATCGCTCACGAGGACGTTCGCGGCTAAAGAAGGGGGCGACTGTCACGAACTACGTCGCGACACCTCGATTACTCCACCAACAATGACCCTCCTTTGGCCATCAAAACCCCATCACGCCTTAACCTCTTTACTCTACACGTAACTCAGGACTTCTGACACCAAGTACGGCGAAGTTAGACGGAGTTAGGCTAAGTAGGGACAATGGGAGCAGAAGTGCGGCGATGTTAGGCGGAGTTAGTCTAAGTAGGGACAATGGGAGCAGAAGTACGGCGATGTTAGACGGAGTTAGGCTAAGTAGGGACAATGGGAGCAGAAGTGCGGCGATGTTAGGCGGAGTTAGTCTAAGTAGGGACAATGGGAGCAGAAGTACGGCGATGTTAGGCGGAGTTAGGCTAAGTAGGGACAATGGGAGCAGAAGTGCGGCGATGTTAGGCGGAGTTAGTCGAAGGAGGAAGAGGATGGCCGAGGGCTCGGGGAAGTTGGACGAAGTGCGTTGAAGTACGTCAAAGCGCGAGAGGGTTGGATGAACGTCTAGGAGGAGTAGATAATATTAGCTGAGAAGATCGCTGAAGTTCTTCAGCGATCCTTGATTGTTGTCAGTAGTGAAAGACAGATAGAGATAGCTATAAATCAAGATACATCGTCATCAGTAGAACAAAACCCTAGTTAGAGTAACTACGCCGAAGTACGCCGTAGTTACACCCCTTTCGACGTCTGCGCCCTCCTGGTTGGGTGAGACATCGACTCAGAGCGTGAAGTTAGCCGAGGTTCGTCGACCGTCGGTCTATTAAGAAATAGTTGTTCGACGGCCGTGACAGCACCCCCTGCAGATCCTATTTCATTGCTTCAAGAAGGCTACATTTTTGGAACACGGCACTATGAAAGTCCTTGGCGGGTCTTTTAGAAAGGTTACTCTTGAGACCTTCCTGTTCTATTAATAATGTGCAGTAACTGAGCTGCTCATTGCACCATCCCACTATCTCGACATACTTTCCAACTAATCTTGTCTCCGGTGAGTTAGAACTTTGCGGGAGCTTGCTGAGGATCATTAGTGCCTTCTGACCTTCTACCAGGTAGTGGGTGGCTTGGAATCGCAAGATAGTGAGATCGGTGCACACAGTCTGAATGTGTATTTTGGAAGTGGAAGACGTAGCTTCTTCCGTTGTTTCACCTTTTTGGTAGGAATGTTGAGACATAGTTGATATCAGTGTAAAAGCCTTGAGCTCGATTGTGGATCAGAATGGTAGATGATGGAAGATGAGAGAGTGAGTTGTGGTCTTTTGTAGTCACAAAACTGTTCGGAGTTCTAAATTATTTCGATTACCTCACCCTGTCAGCGAAGGGTGTGCCAGATGGTCCGATGAAGGATGACGGATGAAAGGATGGATAGAGCTATTCACGTCATTCCCCTTCCGACAGGGTCTCTCTTCCTTTGTATTTCATTCAAACGGAGTGCGGAGAGGCGTCATATTCTTCATGATCAGTACAGTCACCGAAACGAAAATCAGGACAAATAGATAGTCATTTGTCGCCTAGGGCGTCCAAGTAAGTCTCTCAGTGACTGTACTTACCTCATTAGAAGGAGGAGCTCACCTTGGAGTCTCAAGGTGGATATCTCACCTATCTAAATGGAAAAGAAGAAGATCAGTCATTGGATCATGAGGATAAGTACGTAATCTACCTTCTCATCGAATGCTATATGACGATTGTAAGTGTCCTTCAAATATGACGGACAGACTTGATGACTAACGACCTACATTGGCGGAAGGGGTCATAATCATACTGTAGTGACGCTTCGGTCGTCGCGGGCCGGTCCTATCGGCTAACAAAGCAGATGGACTCGCTCCAGCGTCACTGGGCAGCTTTCTTGATTGTAGTCATCAACAAGTCAAGTGTGCAATGAAGCAAATGGACAATGTTTCATCAGGGTTATCAAGGACGAAAATCATCACTCGTATCCCAGCTCCCATTTCCCCGTCCTCTTCCTCCTAGTAGCCTGTATGACTCTCCCGATATTCTCGTGTAGTTATCAGCTCCAAAAAAGCTCCTTCATCAGTAAAGTGATCCTCATAATCATCCCGCTCATCATCTGAGTGATCCACGTACTCTACGTGTTCTACCACTATGATCTCCTCCGTAGTGTTGTTACCCCCTTCTATAGCTCTACCCTTTGCCTCCCTCATCTTCACTCTTCTGTCTTGTAGTTGACTGGACAGTTCAGACAGAGCAGTACGGAGCTCCTTGGCATGCTTCCCAGGGAATATGACGCCAAAACCTTCACTTTGAATGAGGCCCAGGCACCAATCACACTCCTCTTCGCACCATGTAATAATGTCCGTTGACGTAGTATTCAATTCCGTGACAGTTTCAATAAAGTCTTCGGGCTCAAAATTTGTTGGGAATTGACGAATAGTAATTTCCGCGTCTTGACCTTCTCGTAGGCAAGAGTCAGCTTGAGCTTTTAGTGTGTGAAGATGTTCAAGCAAAGTGTTCACAGAGATGCTGGAGCCAGAGGAACCACCTTTCCCCATTGAACCGTCTTCTTCGTACGTATGGTCAAACATGCTAAATGTCTGTGTGAATGTTAAGGCTGTCTTTTGAGTTGGAGATGGGAAAGTAGAGATGTGAAAAACTCGCCGTCTTAAGTAGTTGCCAAGTCGGTCGAAGATCAGAGACATGCGACCGTAAGCGAAGTTCGCTTCAGATGGTCATAAGCGAGGAATAATGAAAGGATCAACAGGACCTCACCTCCTGTCCCTTTTGTCAGAAGTTGTGAAAATTCACAGCCCGACCAAGCGATCAAGCAAGGTTCTCGCACGTATCAGGTATCTCCTGTTTCGTCCTTAAATGACACACTTCAATCTGCTGAGAGATGGGATGAATGAAGTGGACGGCTGATCCAAGCGAAATTGTCAACTGCTCGATTGACTATCTCTCGCCTGATACTCTTCAGTTGAGCAGAATGATATGATCGCAACGAGAACAATTGGAGACAGTAAGTGATTTGATTTGGTGAGCGATCATCATGGTCGATCCCCATTCTCCAGGATGATCATGATCTTGATAGCAACGACTATTGTATGCACCAACATGTCTGGGCCTGTCACCTTTGGTTACTTTATGTCCTCCAATCCTCCACTCATTCCGGATCGTTAACCAAGCGTTTCCCCATCTTCAGTTTCACCTTCCTCATTTAAATTGGTGGAATCAAATACCGTGATCAACCTGTCCACTGTCGTTGCTGCCGCTTCCAAAGCCTGTAATTTGCTCCTTTGATAAGCCCTGTATCGTTGTTGGAGTGTAGTATTGAAATGAGTGAGAGAAGCTTGGATCTGTGGGATGACCGACGATATGATGATGCCCTCGGCATCTCTTTCAAAAAGGTCAGTGCCGCTCGCGGACCTTTCGTCACACCATTTGTTAACCTCGGTGATAGTATGTTGTAACTCTTGTGATGATTCCTGAAAGTTTGTGTACAGTTGAGAATCGATCATGAGCATTTGGGTTGGGATCGTGAAGAGGGCTCGAGCTATTTCTGGAGTACGCATCACCTCTCGTTGATACTGAGCGGCAAGTGCAATTAACTGTCTAATTGAATTGACGTATTCTGGGATGGTCATGGTGATTGGGTTGATTTCTCCTGTATTTGATGATGACATGTTGTTATGATACGTTGGATACTTGGCTGTTTGTTTGTCTTGCAAGGAGTAGGTGTCAAGTAGCAGGCAGACGGGTGGGCTTGGACGTTGAGAGAAGTCGTGCATGTAAGCAAAACAAATTGCATGTTTTCTGATGGGGAAAGTGAAATCGGAAGTTGAGAGACGCTTGTTTAGTAAGCGAAGTCGCAATCAATGGATCAACAGGTCTGGAACGCTTTCTGTCGGAGGTCGGGGATCGCTTCATTGGGTTCAAGCGACAAACGAGACATGAGACTGCACATGATGAGTGTCAGTTCCTCCTTTATTGTAGGAACAGGTATCAGACAAACTGTCTCAATGAGCTATGGCAGTGGTGGCATCGAAAAGAAACCTAGTGATGTATGTAATCAATGAGATCTAGTGGGTCATTGAGATCAAGTGATAAAGAAGATGAAAAGAGCACACAAAACATGGTACGTTTGACAAAGTGTCATGGAAGCCGGACTACGTCTATAACGAGAAAACAGAGCCATGTGAGACCGTGGTGATGAGACAGAACTGAAACCAGTGATGGTGGAAGAGCAAAGTAGAATGGATTTGGGAAAGTGATCATGTGGTACGGTACATGGAAATTTGATAGGGGTACTAAGTAGGAGAGCCAGTTGTGACCGTAACGACAATGGCGCACGGAGATGGGAACAAGAAAAGGTACTCTTACTGCACATAGATTCCACTAAGTGAATTGACTCGGAGACCAGCAAAACTGAGCATCACTTCACATGAGTCACAAAACAATCATACCCTTGGTGATATTTCCATCATCAACATCTGTATAAGCAAGGACTGACAAAATCCATCAGAACTCCTACTTTCATCTCTATCATTCAGCTTTTTCCACCCCCGACTCTTTATAAGCCGTCCACGGACTAGATCAGTGACCGGTACTCTCCTCCGGAATCCCCACCATCTATCCAAAAATCCCATCACTGTAATTCAATAAGTACCATTTGAGCATGCTAGTTGTAACGCCGCTTGATAAGCGTCATGTTGTTGTCCGAGAGTGATAAAACGATTGGTGATCTCAGTCCGACAATCATCGGCGAAGGGCGATTGGAAGACTGTTTCTGTTGTTCTTTGAAGTAAAAAAGTGCATGTGTTTTCTTCTTCTTCACACCATTCTCGAACTTCAGTGATCATGTCTTGTAGATGCTTGATCTCTTGATCCAAAATCTGGTGATTGTGAGAAGTCGTGATGACAGTGCTCGAATCGGCCAGAAAAGCCGTACTTTCATGTATTGCCAGAGTTCTAGAGTCTTGTTCTCCTTGTGTGACGTCGTGTTGACATTCAGTGGCATAGTCACTCAAGTCTTTTATGAACCCAATGTAGGATTGAATGGGTAAAACAAATGACTCATCATTGCTCGCCTCTGTTATTGACATGTTGTGGGTGTGACGTTGATAGATATGTTGTAGGTGTGACTTTAATAGATTTGTTGTTGGTTTGACTTTGACGAACGTGTTGTTGTTGTTGTTGTTACTTTGATATGTGTTGTGAAATTGATAGATGTGTCTTTGGCTTATGGTAAGTAAGGGTATTTATCAGTAGGAAGGGTGTTATCAGTAGGCGATTTTAATCATCAGGCCAAGTCGGGATGTAAGGATGAACGGATCAGCAGGCCTAGAACGTCTCCCGTCGGAGGTCTGGGATCAGGGAACCTTTCACAAGAGTTTCAAGCGAGATATGAGATATGACGATCCGCGAAACGATAGTACGGATATAACGAATGAACGGATCAATAGGCCTAGAACGTGTTTTGTCGGAGGTCGAGGATCGGTTAGCCCCTTTCATTAGAACCTCAAGCGATTTACGAGATGTGAAGATCAACGACATGGAACAGCCTGTGTCAATGAGCTATGGCAAAAATAGACGCCATGAGAAATAGACCTAGTGGAAGAGAACTTGTAGGTCACTGGTATCGAATTGAAAAGCATATGCAAATCATGTCATACAACCTACGAGATAATCATGAATCTTCATCATCAACACACCATCAGCATGTACAAGCCGGAAGTGACCAACCTATCAGACCTCCTAAGTTCATCCTCTCCGACGGTGCTGCCTCCTGCCTGCTTGACTGTCACTACGAGTAGTCTGTTCGAGGACCGGTTCAGTGACATCATTCTCCTCCCGAATCTCACCCTCTTCTAAATTTTCCGTCTCCACTATTTCGATCAAAGCATCGACAGTGGCCTCTGCTTCATCCAATGTCTGCCGTTGACACCTCCGGTAATTTCTATTTTGTTGTCGTAGAGTACCAGTCCGAATGGTGAGTTCTCTTTGGAAATTAGTGGAGATTGGTGGTGTGAGAAACGTATTTCCTTCTCTTTCACATAGTTCAATGCACATATCAGTTTCTTCCTCACACCATATGTTGACTTCATCAATTGTGTCTTTTAAGTTGTCCAGGGCTTGGGCGAAATTTGCGTATGTGCGTGATCTGATGGAACGCACCAGGCTAGGCAGAGTCAGTAGATGTTGATATACTTGTTCCCCTTGTGCCAGGTCTTCTTGACATTGAGCGGCACATTCACTCAAAAACGCGATCGAACTGATGTAGTTTCGAACAGGCAAAACGACCGAGTGATTCTCTCCTGTATTTGTACTTGACATGTTCTAGGTATGATTCTGTCAGATATGTATTCATCTTGTGGTGAGCGGGCATATTTATAAACAGAGCGGGTGTGACCAGAAAGCGAATCAAGTCCGATGGATAAGCGAGGTCGTGTCGTATGTATGGAAAGATAGATCAGCAGGGCTAGAACGTCGCCCGGTCAAAGGCTAAGATCCTTTTATCAGTCTCAAGCGAGATACGAAACCCGATTTAAACGAGCGTGTTTTCTCCTCCTTTCCACCTTTGATACTCACCCATGTTAGAGAGGTTCCACGCGAACCGTGTAAGCGATGAAAGATTCAAACCACGTACCCATGCAATGCAATTCATGCCATTCCTCCTACCATTTGCTCGAATATTTCTCTCTCTCCTCTCTTCCTCTCCCACCATCTTCTCCCTTCATGTAAACCCATACTTGTAGCTGCTAGACCGAGGAGCATGAGCAAATCTCTCATACTGAGAGCTTCGGTCTGAAAGATGTGTTGTAAAAGCGGAACGTAGATCAAGGCGAGTTGACAGAGGAAGGAGATGGAGACGGTTATGAAAAGCATGCGGTTTCGAAACATGGGACAAGTGAGGCCTCGATTTTGTAAAGCTGAGACGAGGTCGAGGAGGACAAAACAAGTGAACGTCTTTGTGTGTCAGCTTTGAGCTCTTCTTTCACACATGCCCGCAGGAGACCTATACAGTTGACAACAAAAAGATGAATCGAGGCTTCATGAACTCAACCTCTGTAACACATTCCGAGGTGCAGCGAGGAGGTATCATCGAGTGAAGAGAGACGCGAAGACAGAGAAGATCGGGAAATATCAGAAAAGAAGACCCACCATGGTCTGATCCCTCCTTGACATACTCCCATCGCTCATCTCATGAGCATAAATGAACAGAGTCCCACAGACGATCATAGTCGCACTAAAAGCCACCCTTCCCATTAACCTCCCACTCAAAACAGGTGTCCCCTTTTTTCTCGGAGGTCTACGCATGACCTCTTTATCCACTGGATCCACCCCTAAAGCCTGAGCAGGCGGACCATCCATCAAGATGTTGATAAACAAAATTTGCATAGCGTTCAAGGGATTCGCAAGTCTGAAGAAAGTTGATAAAGTTATCAATGTCAAAGCTGCTACAGCAGTGGAGAGTTGAAAAGAAAGGAAGTTTTGAATATTGTAGAATATACTTTTACCCTCTTCGACAGCAGGAAGGATAGAAGAGAAATCGTCATCAACCAGAATGACATCGGCGGCTTCTTTAGCGACGTCTGTTCCTGATTTTCCCATGGAAATACCTATGTCGGCCATTTTCAAAGCGGGAGAATCATTCACGCCATCTCCTGTCATGGCTACTACTGCTCCTCTCATTTGCCACGCTTTGACAATGGCCATTTTGTGTCGTGGAGTGGTTCGAGCGTAGACGGTGACGGACGGTACACGTTCGATGAGTTCTCTTTCGGAGAGTTGTTCAATTTGTGTACCTAACATACATGAAGAACCAGGACTGTGAGGATTGAGTTCGGAAGAAGAGTTGACTTTGAGACCTAATTGTCGAGCGATGGCGAGTGCTGTGGGTTCTGAATCACCGGTTATCATGATTACCTGTACTCCCGCTGAGTGTAGAGCAGAGATAGCATGAGCGACTCCTCGACGAGGAGGGTCCATCATAGCTTGAAACCCAGTGAAGATGAGGTCGGCATCGGGTTCAGATGTGGTGCTAGAACGGGAGAAACCATAAGCCATGGCAATGACTCGTAGTCCTCTACTTGAGGCTTCGTGAGCGCGATTAAGGATGATCTGTCGAGTGGAATCATCTAATGAGGGTGTGGACGAGTCGGTAACGTAGTAATATCGACATCGAGAGAGAACAACCTCCATGGCACCTTTGAGATATATCATCTCTGATCCACCGGCAGTAGATCCGATGACGGTCATTGACTTGCTTTCCGAGCTGAAAGGGATTTCCATCTTGCGTGTAAAGTTCTGCACTGGTAAGTCAAACTCTCTTTGCCTGTTGTCCCACCGGGAGAAGGTGAAGAAGCATCACTGACCCTACGCTCATCCTGCTGACCAAGAACCGGAAGGACATTTAACAAAGCGGCCTCTGTGGATTGTCCCACGTTCACCCCACTGTCATTCATGAAAGCGTTGTTACATATCGAACCGATTTGGGCGACTTTGACAAGAGCTTGAGATGGAGAAAAAGTATGTTGGTCGGGATGAGTGGGTGCGAACTGATCCCGTCGATTATCGAGTAGTGGTGTGAGATCAACAAGATCATCCACGGCGTAAATATGCGTTACGGTCATTTCATTCTTCGTTAAAGTCCCTTCCATTCAGCTCTGTTTCTTCGTGATGAGTGAACTGACCAGTCTTATCAGAACAGATAACGGAAACACTGCCTAGAGCCTCGACACTGGGCAACTTTTTGATAATGGCTTTGCGCTTGGACATACGAAGCACTCCAAGGGCAAGGGTGACGGTGGTCACGATGGGCAATCCTTCTGGAATAGCAGCTACCGCCAGGGAAACTATTGTATCAGCGGATTAGTGGCAAAAATACGTTCCGTACTCACCGCCAATCGTGAACATTTCAAGCCAATCTCGTTTTTGCCAGATCCCAACGAGCACAATGACTCCAATCACTCCAAATGAGAATATTGAAAGTCGTTTGGCCAGGTCATCCATCAGCATCTGGAGTGGAGTTTTCTTATCCTCGACCTGCGCCATTCAGCATAAAAGTAACAACCAACCTGTTGAGCTCACGTCTTGCATCATGGAGAAAATAACACCAAATTCAGTGTCGGTACCTGTCCCGACAACGATGCCCGAACCTCTACCTGATGGTCAGCTCGAGATGATCCATTGCCTCCAGCGGACATACCGCTTCGAACCAAAGTACCCATGAAGGCGATACAATGTCTCTCTCCCAAAGCCTTTCCCCCTCCCTCACCGTGGGTGTCCTCCCCCTCTCCACTCCCACAGATCTCGATACTCTTTCTGGCTGGTCGGGTCTCGCCTGTGAGAGCCGATTCGTCAATTTCGAGCGAGACGGCGGAAATGAGTCGGATGTCGGCGGGAATCCTGTCGCCGACGGAGAAAGTGACGAGGTCGCCAGGTACGAGGGCGTTGGCGAGAGGTGAATGTGTTTGCCCGCCTCTAGTCAAGGTGAGCACTTCTTTGCTTCATAGTGAAACGAATGTATACCTTATCAAGTGACAGTAATGGGGTACTAGCTGCAAGTCAGTGTTTCGTCGCAACATACATATCTATACAAAGTGCGAGTGTTATGCGAGATTAGCTTGTGAAGGATACTCACTTTGTTCAACGCCTCTAGTGATTTTTCCGACCTCTGCTCTTGCACATAACCCACTAATGTGTCAGATAGAGATGTATCTGAGAGGAAGATGACATACCAGTAAGGACGATGAACACTGCCAAGACGACACAGACGGCATCATCATAACTCCCAAGGAAAGCACTTATGATACTGCTCCCCAAAAGCATAAGTATGAGGGGATTCTCGTATACCTGTTTAGCGAATTTGATGAAGAGAGGGTCGGAAGGGGGAAGTTCGAATTCATTCGGACCGTATCTTGCAAGAAGATTCGGTACTGCAAGTGCTGATAAACCTTGTTGGGGATGTGTCATGAATGCTGCTATCGTTTCCTATGCAGTGAGCTTGAAAGACTTATTCCCACTCCCTCGTTCCATTACCTCCGTTGAGTCCACAGATCTCTGTGAATGACACTTTGGTCAGACTACTCTGGACCATCGTGCTTTTACGAAGATTGAACAAGAACGGGTAGTTGATGGATACACGACTTGAGATAAGTGAGAAGAGGTAAGAGAGTCGGAAGACAAGGCAGAGCAGGGAGTGACAGATCTCTGAGGAGCAGAAGGGAAGTAGCGAGACATTAAACCTGTCACTCACATCAATACTCTTATGAGCGTAAATTGCACTAGGCGTTTCTTTCGTTCTCCTTCTCTCTTCCTCATCATCTTGGACTTGTACCAACTCATATCCATCTCTACCTACTAACTTCCTCCCCATTCTCACCAACGTTTCCCACCATCCCATCCTCCCAGTCCCAGCCTGAGTTCCATTCTGTTGAGAATACGTATACATCCCTCCTTCACCTCCTGATCCCGTTCGTTTCCTGAAAGGGGAAGCCAAATTTGTTGTCTGCATATTACTGAGAGCTGCAATACCAACATGATCGAAACTCTGCTGTCTACGTAATGTGGTGGAATAAGCGAAAGGTCCGTGTGTTTCATCTGTCAAGTCGGGGGTCATCATACCAGGTGAATCTAAAACAGATCTTCCATTTGGAGTGTAAGCACTACTAGTGTTCATAGTTGTGACGAGTGGATTGGAAGGTGTTGAAGTGGTAGTTTGACGGGAAGTGGCTCCACGAGATGCGTACTTGGTTGAAGAAGCCATAGATGTCGGAGGGATATATGTGGGTTGTATGGAAGGTGATTGAAAAGTAGGAGAAGAAGGTCTGACGGTGGAAAGAGGAGGAGGAGATCTTCTTTTGTATGGTGCTGAAGAGGGACGAAGGATGGGATCCATATTTGATAAGACAGACTTTTTATTGTAAAGGATCTAAATTCCTCTCAACGATATTGTCGGATTGTACATCCGTCCGTCGTCGGAAAGCGCTAAGTCACTTACGATGAGTGACAGATGACAGATAATGAGATAGGTCGGTGGGGATGGTGACACGTGTATTAAAGTGATACGGTGTGAGCTGACGAGGGACGCAGTGGAGGAATGTTGGACATGGTTGTAAAGTATAGAGAGATGTACAAAACGTGGTGCAACCGGTGTATGGTGCATTGGTGGAGAAGGAAGCAATGTAGCACGTCGGTGTTACCCGCCTAAGACATCCCCTGTCTGGCCTGCTCTTGGCCTTCTGCAATCTGGATGACTGACACCGAGAAGACGTATGAGGGCAGCGTGGCAGCATGCAGCAAGACGACACGATATACACTTTTGAAGAGGGTTGCATAATAGGTATTTCTAATTAGACCCCCCTCACCAGTCCCTTTTGCTGAAGTACCAAAAGACCGTCCGTCCCGTTTCCATCTGTCCAACTTATAATCCCACTCTGTATCTTTTCGACCGCGCTATCCTTTCTCCCTTCTGACCAAGCAGCTACCCTAATCTTCTTCTACTCGCGTATGTGCAATCTCCCTATTTCTGAGATTCCGTCCATTCTTTGTACTTCTTCACCTGGGCGTCTGATCGATCCTTGTAGACCTGTCAATCAGCATCTATCCTATCCATGAGATTTCATCTCTAAGGCTATGGCACATATCCTCGCAGCATTTCTGAACATGACCCAATAACATCACCAGGTCGTACATGATAACCACTTCTCTCAATTCGTCCGGATTCCTTCTTACAAATTTCAAGTCACCTGTGGTTGAATGAATTATATGATGGTGGTTTATTCAAAATGAGAAATGAAAGACACAACTCACCTGTTTCTCACTATCACTCATAGCTTTCCACCTCAAACCCGCCTCTTTTGCCAATCTCACAGTCGAACTTTTTTTATCCCCATCAGAACCATCAAACTCCCCACTTTGTCGAACTTCCGACAAATAAACGAAAAAAGGAGTTAAAGGAGGACCAGGATAACCAGGTTTCGAAGCTAATTCAGCTTTAGCACGAGATTTCCCTCCTGGAACTGGAAGTTTTTTTCCTCTAGCTTTTTCGATAGCTTTCTTAGTTGTCGTATCGAGTGAATCGTAGAATGCTTTGTATGCTACTTCGTATGTCTTTTTCGATTCGGCAGCACCGGCTGCATATTCTTGTTTAGCACTATCGGCAAGGGCGTGCCAAGCTTCACCGACCGCTACACCTAATTTGGATACGGAAAGTTTGGTAGGTGATTCTTCTAGTTTAGATTTATTGTTTGTATACCAATCACGAGTGAAGAGTGCGAATGCGCTAGATGCACCTTTTGGTACGACGGGTAGTTCGGGGTCTGCAGAGGTTAGTAATGATAAGATCAAGTGTTTGGGGAAACAAAGTCAACAGTCCCGGGTCGTCATGCGTTTCTTCAAGTATCACATCTGTACACTACTAACACATGGCTTGGAGTAGAGACGCAAGGACGTCGGAGGGGAATGAAGGGAGACGGGAGGTTCATATATGGATTGGAAGAGGGAGGGGCTGATGAGAGGATACAAATTTAACTCACCGACTTTTGTCTTTTTCAACAAAGCTCCAGTGGCGGAAAACGACCTGACGCCTTGTCTGAGACAAACACCGATGGGTCGATAGAGTGATGAGAAACTCATTATGCACGTGTTGATGGGATGATGGAGTTGTGGATTATAAAGAGGATGGATGTGCAGAGAGAAGGGTTGGTTGTGTGTGGGTTTTGGTGGATAGGGTGATGAAGTCTTGTGAGGGGTAGGTGGGATGGCGGGTGGCGCTAAACTCTCCGGCAAATTCAAAAGACCAAAAGTGGTAAGTTCTACCAAATTTCAGATCTGAGACGCGAAGTATGGACGCGTCTCCTTGATCCTTGACCCCTGCATGTCCTGCACAAGGTCTTTCTGTCCATGTCGAGTTATAAAGATACATGTCATCCTATTCCTGCCCCATAACAGCCCGAGAACTCTTCACCCCCGTCCCAACATCCTCTGTTTTGTTTCTTCTCCAAGGCGCACGATAATCGGGTGATCTCCATGCGTCTCCGTACACTGTGGATCAGCTCGAAATTCTCACCGCTGACTGCTGATAATCTCCACTCGTTCGATTCCCTCCACCCTGTGCACAGCTGATCAACAGATCAACATTGCTGCGTTGTTTTGATTGTGAAGAAAATGAAGAGTGACCACAGAGACATAATAAAGACGAAGAAGAGGAAATGCCAGAAGGAGATGTGTGACTCACTGCCAACAGCGAACAACCCTGCACAACTGAGCGCCAATAATCCCGCAAACATTGTATACAGTCCACCGTCCCCTATAGCGTTTCGAAGTGGTACAGCACATTGACTCCATATACATGCCATACCTCCACGCATGACAGAATTGATCGATACTGCTGGAGAAGATCGACCTGGGTTGGCATCGACTATATAGGCTAGAGTTGAGGAGTAAACGATCCTGCCTGTCAGCTAATCTCCTCCGGCTGGTGTATCAATATTCAAGATAGGGGTTGTCCTCACACGAATGAGTAGACGGGTGACATCTGAGTAATGGTAGGAGTCGCGAATGACTCACATGAGGGAGAAACCACTAATGAATAAAGCTACGGCAATGCCTGCAACGCTGGAATGTGTCCCCGCCACCCAGGCATAGATGAGATAACCCCCGATGGTAGTTGGCATCCCTATGAACGTACTTTTCAGACGCATCTATTGACTATCAGCCTCGGTCGTTCTTGAACATCTCACCAAAGAAGGGTGGGCATGAAAATCAATAGGAGGAACGGACGTAGGACGTAGAAGAATAAATAAGGAACTCACTTCCGGATTAGATACACCGCCATTGGCTCGTTTCAATCTCTTGAGGATCATATCTGACCATCTACCACCAATTAATGATCCGCACATACTTCCTACTCCAAAAGAGAGGATGACCAAACCGACATATAACGGATTGTAGTTGTAGGGTGCGCTAATCTGTCAGTCCCCTCACCAATCTCTCTTGACGCCATAATCAATCGGTATCCTTACACTCGAAACCCGTGATACCAACCATTTCCCCTGCTCGAAAGTGGTGAAACAAGAAATGACGAGGAACAAAAAGTTTCAGAGAGGACGACACTTACGCAGCAAGAGTTATACTAGCCGTATAGGTGATAGTGTAAAACGAAGCGAATTGCAATCCCGAGCTTAACAATACCACAGCCATAGGAGGACTCTTTATGATTCCCCACATTGTCGGAAAAGGGTTTACGTCCCTCAGAGAAGGTCGGATTCCCGATTCACCCGTGGAGTCAACTCGACCCCAGGGTCTATACCATTTCCTCTTGACTTTGACGGTATTCTTTCGAGTATCGACTTGAGCCTCAACGTCAACGCTATCGGCCAGGGCTGGATTGGACACGGTGGGTTGCCCTGATGATTGGGCTGGATTTTCGGATGGTGAAAGTGCGTGGCGGTCGGGTTTTGTAGGAATAGAAAGAGTTACATTAGTCAAAGGTATTGGGAAGGGTGAGGATTGTCCGTTTTTCTCGGCCTTGTGCAAAGCTCGCTTGTGGGCTTTCTTCAAAGCTTGTTGGTAAACTCGGGAGCGCTGTCTTTCAGCATCGCTCACTCAGCAGGCCCGAAAGCATTCAATCAGTATATATTGTATCATACTGCAGGGTAGGGCAGGAGAACAAGCTCGGATCAAACTCACCTCCTTCCTATACGTATCAGGGAAGAAACAAAACATGACCAAAGCAACTCCCCCAAAAGCGGTCAAGAAATACAAAACACTCCTCCATCCGAATGCCTATTCGTCAGAGTTCTGTTTGCCTATCGCAATAGTGTCAAACTCACTTTCCCCAATCCTCCACCAATTAACGGGCCCACCGCTGGACCCATGAGAGGTAAACCGTAGAATAGACCGAGCTATGACGGTTAGTTTCGACCACCTTCACGTATATTGATCTTTCCGGATGTCACTCTCGTTTCATGGATTAAGTTAGGGGGAAGTGATTAAGTGCTTGGGAAAGGGCGAGGAAGGAAGATCAACTTACCTTACTTCCCCTCTCATGCGTCTCGTACATATCCGCCAGACTGCCCGCCCCCACTGCAGTCACAGCTGAACTTCCAACAGCTTGCAAACATCTCATCCCGATCAAAACTTCTATAGTCTTCGCTCTTCCCCCAACCAGACATCCGATGGTGTAGATCTCATGTATCAGCTCTGATTCTGCCAACAATAGCGTCTTGTGGCGAAATAGGACAACAAAGCGACTCACACCATACGACATAAGATAAACAGTCTGAACATCAGATGTCTTCTCGATGACTACAACAGATGAAAGCTCACTTTACGTCCTGTGAACTGCAAGTCAGCTGTCAACTCATTAAACTTCGGAGAAACAGCAGGTAAGGGAGCAGGAGAAGAGAAGGGAGAAGGACAATGAAGAAGACGAGGTAAGACTTACTTCAGCCACGATAGCCCAGAACATCGGCATGAGACCTTGAAGTCTGACAATTAGTACTTTCAATCCTATCACAGATAAGAGAGATGAAATGTGTCGACTTACAAAATGTACATCGATATACTCAATGCTATCTGAGTATCCGAAGCGTGTAGCTCCGCCTTGATCTCGTCGATGACCGGGTTGTAGATGAATGGAGCTATGAGTGGACCAAGCTGAGATATCAGTACGTATTCAACGTTTTAACACTCATTTCACTTTGACAGAATTGTCCGGCGAATTTGAAATTGGCAATCATTCCGGAGCAGAAGGCAGGATGGGTGTATGACAGTAGAAGTGGAGTTACAGAACAATATGCGACGGCTCAGTTATTCAGCAAGGCGAGCAAGGTGACCGAGACGATGATGTGTTGAGATAACAAAGAAATAGAGCAGAGAAAATGATTTGTCTGGTGAAATAAACTTACCACAGCCATAGTCATCAAACCTAATACGAAGTTCTTTTTCCTATCGCTCCATTCCCTCGGATCATCCTCCACTGGTACATGTTCGATATCGATGACTTGAACCACTTCCTTCACTTTTTTCTCCTCTGCCGATTCATCCATTTCCCCTGAAGGAGTTTCCTCATCTTCAGACTTTCCTTGAGGAGGATAAACTTCTGTACTTCTCACATGTGTCAATGCCGCAGTCAAACGAGATGGTCTTCTCTCCAATTGAATAGGACCTTCATCTTTGAAAGTCGTCGTTTTACCTGGTCGACCATCACGAATAGTACCACTAACACCTGTCATATTGGTGCGGTGGGCTATAAGGGGGTCATGAGCCGATGGATTACCAGCTCAACAAAGAAAACAAGGCTTATTGTGAGCGTGGTGAGTGTTCGATAAATGTCTTGGATGGTCCAAGAGAGGATGTCCACAGTGACCAGGTTTAGTATGAAAGACGTCAGTGAGTGAAGAAAGGTCGACCTGATGGGTTAGAGCAATAAGCACTACACATCCTGACTCGCAAGACCTAGCGGCTCACATGCCGGCGAATTGACACGATCGGCGCGAAGAGAGAAGAAAGTTCACCCCCAAGTCGGGCAAGTCCGGTTCGGCCGATCATATTTCGGCCGGACCAATAAGAACTTTCCTATTCCGGGTCGCGTGACTGCATTCCAGGTGTTCCAGACTCAACCTAGAACCCATTCTATATGAAGTCTGTAATTCTTCTCTAGATCAGCATAATGCTCAATCCTCTTCTTTCTAGCAAGTTTCGCTTCCTGCTTTATCAATTTAGAAATTAACTTGATAAGACTCACTGACCTCAGACATGATCGTCTCTACGACATCCACTTTTGACCTGCGTTTAGATTCCTTCACGAAACTACCACGATCTTCGTCATGGTCACTATATTGACTTGGTTGGCTTGAAATTGGAGTGAGACGGACATTGAGCATACGTCTCATTGTTCTTGCACCTTTCCAAGCGCCTTTACGTGTCGCAACACGTGTAGAGGACTGCTCGCGTGGTTCAAATTCGGTAAGTTCGGAGATCAAGCTGACAGAGTCACTGTGAACCGAAAGAGTGGGCGAGAAACTGATGTTGGATGCTGTCGGTGGAAAGTCAGGTGATCCGAGCGTGCTGGATGCTGGTGATTGGTCCCGAGGACGAGCTTCGACATCAATACGAGACGTTAATCTTTGACGACTATGACTTACTACGAAGATACATCTCAACACGACCGAAACCATATGGATCGTCCCATCTCGTTGTCAAGCTCGGCGGTGTCGGTTGTGTAGGCGGAAGGCTTTCAAGGTTTCCCAAGTCGACAATCCTCTCAATGTCTCCCGTCTGCGATCTCATTTCTCCCTCCTGAACCATTACGGAAGGGCAGTGTGTCCGACCGTGTTCGACGCTCAAATCCTCCATGTCATTTCCAGGTGTTTCCACTCCAGATTCACTTTTCCCCCCTTTCTCCCCCTTCTGTATGTCATCGTTCCCACACTCATCCGATCTCCTGCAGTCAGGTCCGAGAACTGTATCCATATCTTGTTCCATTTCCCGCCTGCCATCAGCATCCGCAGTTTCGAATGTTGCCAATACGCATGAAGGGGAAGCAGCGACAGAAGACGTCTTCTTGGCTGTCCGATCAAGCAGATTCCTCGACGTCTCTCCGCTTCTCTCATCCGAATGTGGTAAAGCTTCCAACATCCCTGGTAGCCGATAAGGTGTTGAACGTCTCATCTCCAAAAGACTCGTCGGGCGACTCCTCGTTGGATTGGTATCCGTTGATATCGGAGTGATTACGTGTCTGGTAAGATCGTTGAGTGGCACGGTAAGATCCCACGTTGATTTCATATCATCGCGAACGCTTTGTGATCTCCTCTGAGAGTCCCTTGATTTTCCACTAATTTTTGTAATTATCGGACTGTCTACCTGCTTTTCCTTAAGAGGTGCTCCTTTCTCCTCAGAGGCTGACCTCTGGACCAGCTCCCCGGTTTCCATTGTTTCGACATCGTGAAGAGAGGAACCTAGATCGATATCGCTTTGACTCTCGGCAAGTGAAGTCAGGTCGTTCAATGGAACAACTAAATCTTCATGCCCAACAAATAGTCGAGACGCTCTTGAACGTGGTCGATCTCCGGAGATCACTTCGAGATCATTCATTTCCTCCTCTTCACCGTGATTCGCCCGGTCAAGCATCCTTGACCTCATCGTATGAGCTGGAACTTGGGACTGGGTCTCGTTGTATGTGGTATCGATTCCAGAAATGGAGTGACTTTCAGTAATCGACATGATCGATATCGGAATAGACGAAGAAGATCCCGGTAGCGTGAAATGTGTGTTGGGAGTGGAATGAGTTCCTATCGTCTACCCATCAGCTCTGATTCTATCTCACCTACTGACCTTCAATGATATCGGCTGAATGAGAACGAGAGCAGTGTAAAAACGAGTTGTCCAATCACATACCTTAGGACCACTCTTCTTTGGTTTCTTTCTCCTGGCGGGTGTAGCCTCCATCCCCATCCCCAGACTCCCACTCCTCGCTCTGTTGACTGTGTTCAGTGGCCCATTCTCCACAGAACTACTCCTCTTGGGCTTTCTCCGCCAAAGAGCTAACCCTGTTGCGGTGACAAGCCCGGGCCCTTGGCCTCCTACATATAAATCTTCCGTCGATCCAGCTCGTATGCGATTGCGGTGAAGAGAAATCCGTGATGGTTGAGAAGAGGGAATCAGGGATCTCATAGTTCCATGATGAGGTGTCGGGGATGATGGTGGCATGGTGAGGGGCAAAAGGTTGACTGGTGGTAGGAGGCGTTATTCAGTTACAAACGATTGATGTCTGTGCATTGACCCATGACCATGACGACATCATGCAAGTCTGAGACGATTGTGTCGGGATAGAGGTAATGCATACTCAGATAGCGTACAACAATCATATCCACATACGTCACATATGCATATCCACTACCTCACATCACCATGTTATGCGGCGTACTGCATGTCAGCTGCTTACTCATTGGCCTACCAACAAACGTGAAAATCTCAAACTCACCCTCGTGAATGTCCTCCCGAAAAATTCTGCAGCTCCATTCTTCTTCTCCCCCGCCACTTCCTTCGGTTTGAACATGGACTTGACAGCGTCACTCATCCCTGCCTGTTGAATCAACCTCTTCTTCTCTTGCTCGGCCAGTTTATCCTGGACGGACCTGGGGACAGGTGGGGCACCTCTCGTTCCTTGTCTCCCCATCTCAGGTCCCGGCGTCGGTGATACTGACCCCTTATCATCCACTTTCGTAACTTTTAGTCTCGTATCATCACCATTCATGACGTCCCCGGCCTTCCGTTTCTTGCCTTTGGCAGCTTTAGCAGCTGCACGAGATTGGAGCAGGTGTTCTAACAGAACCTCCCGTACCTCTGGAGTGGGATTAATAGGTAGAATACTGGTGGGCGATGTCGGATTGAAAGAAGCTCCACAATTGGGGCAAGTCACCTGTGACTTATCCTCATTTGAGTTGTCATTGGAAGGGGTTTTGGCAGCTATACCTCGACTCAGAGTCGGGATTACAGCTCGGATGGACGCGTCGGAGAAAACACATCCGCAAGGTCGTAAAGCGATAAAAGGGACAGATCCGGTCATTTCTTTCATGGACAATGGGCAGACAAATGGCGCTCGAGCAGAGGTGAGGGCTGTGGTGATGGATTCCTGAGGGGCGTAAGCGGGGTTGGGAGAGAGATTGAGGGTTAAGAGATCCTTGAAAGTCAGTATGGACACATCTATGAACGGTATATAGAAAAAGAGATACCTTGAGACTTTTTAGGTAACCGCATATTTTATCTCCATCTCCGTACTTTGTTTTATCGATGAAATACTCGAGTATAGCGTCTTTATTATATAGTCTACCCAGTGGATCCAGCACTACGGGACGTGAGAGCGGTCTCTATATAGTCAGCTTGGTTTTACATTCTGACTGCCTCCGCGATGGACTTAACAGGCAGAGTTGGGTTGGACAGGGAAAGAAGGCAGAACTCACCTTACTTAACGAGCAGAGGAAGAACTGTTCTCTCAACACCGCCTTATCAGTCTGCGCTGCCGACGCCTTTGTCTTTACGAGATCTCTACGATCCGGAATGGATCCCCCGTCGGCGCCCATGTCGATAGAGTCAGGAGTAGGATTGTGAAGGATGTTGCAGGGCTTTTAGTCAAGATGTTCACAGTGATCCCTGGCCACTTGCCACCCACCTTGAACCTATTCGACCCCCCCAAGTTAGTTAACCCCGACAAAACTGTCTCCCACTTCTTCTTTCGTTTCTCTTTCAACTTTACAACATGATTTCATATCGACTCGCATCCAGTAGATGATAGTGCTCATACAAGGCGATAGAAGCCCAGCTGGTGCTACTGTTAGTCGTACTGGCAGAGGTGAGTCGTTGTCTCCGTCGAAACTGTCACTTCACGTATCCTTCAACCTCACAGTGATGAATCAAATTTTCAGTTCTGCTACCGAATGTGCATGAGCGATAAACGAATATACCAATAAACTCTCTGATTCTTTTTATATCTGTTGTCTATCTTTCACCGTGCTGAGAGATGACGCTGACATGGGTCCTTTAGTTCGGACAAGATAGTGCACTCGGTCGACGTTTTTCACCATCCCGTGAGGACCTTTCCCCTGTTTTCTGCCATTCCCCATCCTCGCGTCTGTCAACATGATTCAACTTCAGCTCAATCCATTCTCTGACTCGCTTCATCTCCATCACTCTTCTTCGTTCCCCTGACGCTGTCAAGCGTCCCGACTACCTTCACAGGGAAAGGGGCGTATGATAGTTTTGGTTGGGGCCTTCGGGACTTTCATACATATCTGTCTTGCGTTCTGTAAGCAGACTTCTGTGCAAGGGTACGTAAGCGGTGTGATGTGAGATTTTGCGCGGTATGCTTAACTGGCTTCTATGATTATCGATACCAACCCTGATTTTTTAAATTTGAAAATTTGACAGGGCCCGTGCTGATGACCTGACAGCCATCATGTCCAACTTCAGCAACAACCCCCAACAAGGCTATTTCGGTGGTTCGCGCCCGATGCCCCCCAACATGCAAACTTTGCAGAACATGTCCAACACGTCCAACGTCCAAGGGGCGCAGGGTGTCCCCAATCTGCAGAACATGCAGGGTCTGCCGTTCCAATCATCTTCTCCCCAACCTCAGATCCCTAACCCAGGTTTCGACTCGGCTCATCTCGCTCGACTCACAAATTTCCACAATCGTCAAGCCAACACGGTCCAGCAGGGTCAAAACCCATCGCCTCTCGCTGGGCTCTCTCCTCAAATACAGCAAATTGCGAGACAGCACAATCTCACTCGTGAACAGATACTGCAGTTCATACAGATGCAGCATCGTGCCCAGTTGCAAAAACAGCAGCAACAACAACAGCAACAGCAACTGTTGCAGCTGCAAAACCAACGAGCAGGTCTGGCCCCGCCATTGATAAGAACACAGTCGCCTATGCCAGCTACGGTCCAGCCACAAGTGCTGCAAAGCTTACACCCCGCCCCACGACCGATGTACCAGCACTCGCCGCTACCGCAAGCCCAAGCACTACATTCCATTTTGCGGTCCAGTCCTCTCGCGGCTTCCTCCCCCCTACCGGCGACTCACTCTCAGTCCCCGCAGACTAATTCCATTGCTCGTATCCCCACTCCTGCACACTCCCAGGGAGCTCTGTCACCTGCTGCTTCTGTCGTCGGTGTATCTGCTCCATCCCCTGCGCCCTCAGCTCGTCCCATGTCTGCTCAGACATCCTCTTCCTCGACCAAAAAAGGTGCCGGTTCAGCGGTGTCGTCGACTGCTACCGTGGGTTCCTCGCATCCGCCGACCAAGAAAGCCGCAAAGCCTAAAGCTGCTTCGAAGAAAACCCCGCTCCCAGCGGTCACATTTGGGGGCCTGGAGAGAAGCACGAGGACGGCCTCACCTGCTCCACCACCTCCATCAGCTGCTTCCGTACCAGCCCCTACTCCAGCTCCCGCACCCACATCGACAACAGCGCCGGCATCTACCTCTGCACCTTTAACTGCTCCCTTCGCTTCGGTCCAGGTGATGACACCTCGTCTGGTGCCAACCTTCGATGCGCCTCGACCTACACCTACCTCCATCTCGGTCCCGACCCCGACACCGATGACGGCTCCGTCGGCTGAGCGCCGTAAGAGAGATGACGGGATGAGAGGCACAATGCGAAACGAGAGTGCGTCTTTGTCACGGCTGTCGTATATTTAAGATTATGCTGACATTTAGTAACCCGACTGATGTACGGAGCTGGGGATGTGGAAGAGCCGGACATGGATTCGGTGGAATATATGGAAGATCTTCTCGTGGATTTCTTCTCCGATCTGGTATGTGTTTCTGCTGCATTCACTTCATGCGTCATGCTGTGGTGAAAAGGGGAATTGGAGTAAAATGACGTGTTCATGCGAAGCTGACCCTTCAGTGTCGTCCCCTCCACCCCATCCGTTCCACCACTGCGACTCTGCACCAAGCAGTCCCACTCACTTCTGGGATCATCCGACATCGTCTCTCCTCCTCTTCATCGACCAACATGCGCAAGTATCTCAACCGCTTCGACGAGATGCTCTATATGTCCGGAGAGATAGCACGCAGCAAACGTATCCTCCAGCCATCCAACGCTGACCTCATCGCAACGGTCGGAAATGGATTTCTCGAGCTCGAAGACGATGGTGATCGTCCTCGAAAACGTATGGGACGGCCACCGAAGGGCAAGGACGAACACGGGAACAAGATTGAGAAGAAGAAAAAAGATTGGCGTGAAGGTGAACGTAAGAAACCGGGACCGGCAAAGGGATGGAAGGCGAATTTGAGTCAAGAGCAACAACAACGGCTCAAAGTCTTGGGGTATAAGAAGGGGTATCGTCGTAAGCCTTAGTCGTCTCCCGAGTTAATCTCACGATTCTTGTAGAAACACGTTGTATCGTCATGAATTGTATGCATGTATGTATGTAGTGATGATGCAGATGTGATCGTGAGAGCTCAAGGATAAATGTTCATTCCCGTATATTTGACCCAGATGGCAATGACGACCAAAGAGAGTAGACCACGGGATAGAGGTAATTGTATGATTGTCAATATCCATATTGTGCCCATTGCCGGGGCCTAACTATCAGCGTGTCCTCACCCCCTCTCGCGACGTGCACTGCACTGCACTTGAGCACCTGTTGCCTATTGCTCCCCTCTTCATACTCTTTTTCAGCATGGTCAATCTTCTTGCTCGTGGGAGAGGGAAGGGGAAGAGTGAAGAGGGAGTTTCTTATTTGCCTTCTTTCAGTAGAGGAAAGGAGACATTTTTTGAGGGAAGGAATAGAGAGAAGGTGATCATTCACTTGTTCAGTCGTCAAACTCCATCCAGCTTTATTGACCAACCAAATAAGACGACATCCGCTAGCTATACAACTTGCTATAAGACCACCACGAGTAAGCCAATGATCTGCGTGTCTAGATGCTAAATTATCAACATCTTCACCTTATCTTTTTGTTTCTTTCCAAAACACAGAGGAATGACATGAGAGATGTCGCTAATCCCTCACTGAGATATAACAAACATTGTAATGTGATTCAGCTGTGGCATAACAGGAGTAGTGATGGTCAAGATTGAGAGGATAAACAGGATGAAACGAAGAATTTAAGAAAAGGTGAAAGAACGTACTGTAAAAGGTTATGACCCCAATAGCTTGAATCAGCACTTTCCCCCTACAATTCTATGTGAACCTTCTTGCTAGTCTGAACGTTTATAGAGTTTTGTTTCTTCCACATCGGCATTTGGCAGATATCGAAGATTCAACAAGATTATGAGGTTATAAAATTGAGGGATATAGATATGAAGAATGGACGAGAGCTTACTAGGGACAGCAGTGAACATATGTTCAGTCAAAGTTTGTAATTTAGGTCTATGATTATATTGAAGGTGTACCAATCTATCGTCAACATGATCCCTCCAAACATCTCATCCATTACTTTCTCTACGATCTAAGAACAATGACCTTTCTTTGAGCTTGGTATGATATAGGTAGGTGAAGGTAAAGTGATTGTTCTTTCTGTTTGTGCAATGAGATCGAAGGGGAATAGTCAGAGAAACGAGTACGTGATATGAATGATAGTCAAAGTGTATACTTATCAAATACATAAAGACTGTCTAGGCGAGAATGTATGGTAGACAGATTATAGATTGTTGAGATGTGTTGATGGATATACCGGATGACTTGACTTACATGTCCAATAAAAGATACAAAAAGCTAAATGGGACGGTTAACATGAACGAATCGAATATTTCGTCCCAAAACGCAGATAATTTCTCATCGTCTTTCTCTTCTATCTCTTCTTGTCCTTCAATTTGAGGTGATGGGGGAGGTGAAAGGTTTATCAAAGGTTTGGTAGAGGAAGAACGGATTGTGGAAGGTGGTATGAGTGGGATATCATCAGGGGAGGTTGGAAGTTGAGGACGATGTCTTATAGAGGAGCTGGAGGAGGGGATGTCAGTTAGGATTGCCATGATGTTCTTGAGAATGATCTAGCTGTCGTGATTCGAGGTATTTGACTGCGGGGGACTTCGAGGTATTGGATCGAGTCAGAAAGTGAAGAAGTCGGCTTGAGGGGGAGAACCCATTGTGGGGAGGAATGGACGGCGGTACGGCGGACATCGTGACGAAGACGACTTCCGACGGAAGAAAATGACCTCTAGCTGCAAAGTATGACGGTATCATCGTTCTAGGTCCTAGGTCTTGATGGCGGGGTTATTGGCCTCACCAGTTGATCCTTCCGCACAACGGTGAATTGAAGAACGTGTGCATTGTCAGCGAAATAGCAACGAACATAGAGTACAGCCAGGTTTGCATCTCATTGTACTATCAACTAACAACCGGTCTAATGGTGGTCATGCCCCCCTTCGAGCAAAGCAGGGTCGCCTTTGAAGTCAAGAGTGTACACTATGAGTCAGTCACACTTTCGGTCACTTGACGTCACTACACACACGGCGAGAACATAGTTCGATGGAGCAACAAGGATTGAGAACCGCTGACATTGGATGTGGGACAGTCTGGTTGAGAGGAACATAGAAGAAGATAACGACGACAAATGATCAACTCACCACATCCACACTCTGGACAACGAGCATTCTTGCGTTTATTATTCACTGTGAGCCAGAGAGTGTCGTGTGAATCGGCAGGATAACCAGTGCATCCAACATGTCGTTCTGGGAACTATGTGTCAGAAGTCATGTTCCGTATTACTATCGCCATCCCCTTTGTTTTCAAGTCGACCATCTTGTTGTCCTCCGCTTGCGCACAAAGCACATGTTCTCTCAAAGTGAGGTGAAGTCGAGATAGGATGGATGAAAAAAAGTGGAGACGAAGAAGAACGTACGAGAGAGTAAATGGGAATAGGACTTTCAACAGTTCCCAACCTAGTCATCTCCAAAGGTTTCATATCGAACACATCTACACCTTCGAGTTTTCCAAGCAGCTGGAATCGCTCCAAACCGGTAGATTGCTCTTCACTTGTTATCAGCTTCTACCTCCTTATCCCTCACTTCTTGACGTTCCGTGTTTCTCAAACGGAATGATCCATCCTGCTTATCACACAAACGGGACGTATTCGTGCTATCCAGTGAAAGGGGCCCATAGAAGTACGATGAGACCGACGGATGACGAAGTGAGGACAAAATGAGACCTACTCAGTTGGCACTTCACCGGGCTTTCCACCTGGTCCGATAAGCTGTGGAGGTCCAGAATGTCCTCCTGCCTTCCTAAGCGAAGTCACAGAGAACGACCTCAGTCCCACTGATCGAGCTACAGGTCTGGAAAGAAGTGCAAGTCGCCCAATAGGACGTAGGGTTCGTAATGCTGAAGCCATGTTGAGTTTGTGTATAGAGGTGTGAAAACTGACCTATGAGAGACGGAGCAACTCGCTGCTACTTCCCTGGACGGTCTCTCAACGGTAATCCCGACGGCATTAGCAAATGTGGCACATAACGTGACTGACTTTAGGTGTCGCGTGTCCGGTCCCCACATATGAAAGTGATTTGAAAGTTCCATGTTCCATCGTCACTCTATGTACTTCTATTTCTCGCTTCTTTGTAATATCATCGTCATTCGGTAGTAATGATGGCGGAGAATACTCCTACTACACGAGTAAGTGAACAAGACATGCCGAGGCGCGAAGTGTTGGCTGACGATCAGCCCAGACTGGCAGTTAATGCCTTCCGTCCCGATCCAACCAAATGGATTCAGACGTCCACAACGAAGAAGTCCATCCAACGTCCACTGGTGGCATTCAAAAATACCTTTGCCACACCTCCCAGCACTCTCAGAAGACAAGATATAACAAAACTCAACGCCAAATCGAGTTCAACGAATATCGCAGCTGGGATAGGGTCAAGCAGTGGCAAACGTGCTTTGACCGAGAGGGAAGATCGGGGGAAGAGATTCCGAGTCCTCGAAGACAGACAAGGCACTTTAAGCGGATTTTTGACCCCTCCAAAAACCGATAGCTCAAAGAAGAGCAAGACACGCAAGGTGGATACGAGGGCTGGGGTACGGCCTCGAAGGCCAGAACATGGTGCGAGAGAGGGAGGACAAAAGCCGCCCCAGGAGGAAAGACACATTCGAGATCACAACAAAGATCGAAGTGAAGTTAAAAAGGTGGACAGGGGAAATGACGTGTACATGCTTCCACCTGCATCTCAAATCCGGGATCCTCCTGTCAAAGTGACACCGAGAATCAAGGCCACAGAGCCGAGACATCATTCCTCTCCTCACCAAGCTCCATCATCAGACATACCCATCACCCCTGTACCTTCCGACGTTTTGGAGCTACATAAGAAACTCTGCGGACAGGACACAGGGTATCTCAATCGTATGCGATCCCCTTGGGCGACGGAAAATGATCACAAGCGGAAGATTGCGGAGATTGACGATGAGAGGCAAAGGAAAAAACGAAAGGTCGACCCTAGGGAAGTGGTCACAGAGAGGGTTGTCAATATCGGTAAACCGTCCAGAGGTAAATTAGTCGATCTTGTCGACTTGAGTCCCTCGTTGAAGGAAGTGAAGACAAAGTCACGAGGCAAGGTATCGAAAGTATCACCTCCGGTCCGAACTTCACCCAGAATTGCTCATCGAGGGACGGAACGTCCCACTACTCCGTCAAAGGGATCGCGTCCGAACCGATCCCTCATGATTTCCCCACTACCACGTACTTGTGTGCCGTCTCCGCAACGAAACCACATGGACCATCGTCATGATCCGCCCCAATCTTCCCCCACTACACCACTTCCTCAAGTCGATCCTGGTCTTTCCAGTCACAGAACTTCCTCCGCTGGACCTTCGATCCCCACATCCCCACTGGCCGGCATGACTCCTCGTAAACGTCACTCTCCACATCACAAAGTGACTCCTCCAAAATCTCGTCCTTCCCTCAAGCGCGGAAAACAAGAAACCCTTTTCGTCCTTCCTGCTCCCCCAGCCCAACCCATCTTCTTGATTGATCCACCTCTGCGTCGGAAAGAAAGAACATTCGAAGCAGTAGATATTGAGGCAGAAACGCTCATGACATGGTCTCTTGGTGCCGCCCCTCCTCCACCATCGTCCTCGCCCATGTCGGATCAACCTCATGCGACACGTCCTGGACCTTGTCCAGTACAGCGTGCTAGTCCCGGACCGACTTCTAGTCCCATACGACTCGACGTTGAGAAACGAAGTTCTCAAAGCGTGTGTGATGCTCTCATTCCCCTGAACAAGTCACTGACCTGCAGATGCCCGGTTCAGACCTATCCCAACCTTTTCCTATCTTGCTCTCCACGCCAGACTTCCCACCAGACCCACCTCAGGGTCGTATCCGCCATTCTCCCACATGCCTCCCCCTGGCCAAGTTCTATGATGCAGGCGATTTCAATAATGGTCAGCAAGCTCCCCTCGTCTCCGATGTGCCCATGATGCTCGCGCCGGACAAGATCCCTCAGAGACATACTGGGGCGGTAAATCCAGCGGCCAAATGGGATAAACTTCGTTCAGGTATACTCTCTGTCCCCATTGAGCCTTCGGTTTCAGATCCAGCCATCCATCCTCTTCCGAGCCAGTCAAAAGACCACAAAACGTCGAGAAAGAACAAGTGCTCGCAAGAAGGACAAGCTAAACTCGCATCGTACGGTTTCTTCGAAACGCGCAAGAAGAGGCCGAGCAAAGGCTTCGATCTTCAATGGGAGGAAGAGGATAATCTAGCATTCGATATTGATTCTCCGGAGGGGGAAGGGCCTACGATCTTTCAGTCCGATGGATCAAGGACGGACACATTCTCAAGAGTTCCAGACCCACCACCGCATCCTTCCCTTCGACCAGCAGGCCTCAAACAACTTCGGAAGTTAGAAGCTCTAGCTCGAATGACGTCAACGGGTGATCCTGGCTTCACGGAAGCGGAAGGGCGTGATGAAGAGAGGGCGGGAGAGGAGGCAATGCCAAGCAGCTCAGCTACCAAGTCGTCTGAGGTGACTTCGTCGGGGAGTTTGACATCGTCCGCTTTGAACATTACAAAGTCAGCTAGGGATTGGTGGGATCGATTAGGAGGCAGTAGTCAGGATGTTTAGGATATATATTTATTGTTGTATCTCACTCAAGCAATGCATAGGATTTCGTGCACTTGACCAACATGCACCATGGCACCACCATGCACCACGTGGGACGGATCCCCAAAACCGGGGACCCGGTAAAGTCGGTGGAAAAGGCGATCACCCCTTCCCCCATTGGCACTTGAATTCTCTCGTGTGACCATCTCTTCACTTGTTCAATTCACTATCTACTCGCAATATCCGTATCATGTCATCTATCTCTGTCAATGGTCATGCTTCCAAACAAGAGGTCAAAGCTGGTGAACCCAAGTACACAACACAAGATGTCATGAAATTGGAACATGAATATTCTGCGTGAGTCACCGATCCACATCCCTTTTGTTGCCACTGGAGTCGTCGCCAGGCTTCGTAGACTGACACATGTGCAATCCTAGAGTCCGCTTCACATGTCAGGAATTCATAGAGTACGCGTATGTCATGGGAGTGGGCATATTCAATCTATTAAATTTATGAGAAATCTGAGATCGCGTAACTTGTACGGAAAGATGCTGATGAAGTAGACATAATTACCACCCTCTACCTGTGTGAGACTCCCGTTCCTTTGTATCGAGGAAGTCGCTGACCCCTGAAAGATGTTTTGAGAGAGGACTTGGTGCTCATGTTTGGGATCCGGAGGGGAATGAATACCTCGATTTCCTAAGTGCATATTCGTATGTCCTTCTTTTTCTCTTCATGATCCGTGTTTCAGCCCTTTCAGCTCGACGCCATCCCGAAGATCATGCGCCACTTCAATGAGCTCAATCATCACATCCCATACCAAGGATATGAAACTCAGAAAAGGAGGTGACACAAACCGTACCGACGCTCACTCCTCAGTGCTGTCAATCAAGGTCATTGTCATCCTCGTATCCTCTCCACTCTTATTTCTCAAGCTTCCAAAATGACTCTCTCCTCTAGAGCTTTTTACTCATCAAACTTGGGTCCCTTCGCAGAGAAAATCACAAATATGTTCGGATACGAAATGGTTTTACCTATGAATACCGGAGCAGAAGCTGTCGAAACGGCCATCAAGCTCGCTCGGAAGTGGGGTTACGTCCGGAAAGGTATACCGGACGGTAGGGCGAAAGTATTGAGTGTAGAGGGGAATTTTCACGGGAGGACAATAGGGATCATCAGTATGAGTACGGATCCTGAAAGTAGGGATGGTTTTGGACCGTTTTTAGAAAATGTCGGACCCAGATGGAACGAGGTGAAAGGGTTGAAGGAAGGGGAAGCGAAGGGTGTGATTAGGTATAATCATCCGGAAGATCTGGAGATGGTTTTGGAGAAATATGGGGAAGAGGTGGCGGCTTTCTTGGTTGAGCCCATACAGGGTGAAGCTGGGTGAGTTTCGACTTTCGGTCTTGTCTCTTTCCATAAGCTTGAACAATTATTGACCGACCTTACCTCTTGGTTCACGTTCCGGTGGAACAATCTGAGCTTCGTGAGGAATTGTCGCCTTGGAGAGGAACGATGTCATAGAGGACTTATTGTTATTTGGTCCCCAGAGGAAGGGTAAAGTCTGGAAATCGTCAATCCTGAGAAAGTAAACAGGGAACGATTTAATGGGCACAGCTGATTCACAGCATCTACGTGCCAGATGATGGATACCTTGCTAAATGTGCGGAAATATGTAAACGTCATAATGTGCTTTTGATCTGTGACGAGATACAAACTGGTTTATGTAGGACAGGCAAGATGTTCGTCGCTCCCTCGTTTTATTACTCGAGGCATGAGAAGCTGACCTATAGGTTGTGTTATGAGTGGGACGATATCAAACCGGATATGGTGATTCTTGGTAAAGCTTTGTCTGGAGGGAGTGAGTCATGTTTCGTGTTCAACAATTCAGGTCGGTGTTAGAATTACCGTGCTGAGACGATTCCAGTGTACCCTGTTTCTTGCGTTTTAGCGAATAAAGATATCATGTTGTGTATCAAGCCAGGAGAACATGGATCGACTTATGGAGGGTACGTTTTGGTACTTTCTACTCTTTCATAACGATGTTTTTACACCCAGACAAAGCTGATCAAATTATCTTCCACAAACTTGTCCTCAACTGGACCTATGGTCTGGTCCAACTCTGTAGACCTGATTGTGCGCTTGGTCGAAACCGAAATCGAAAAAACGCTGACTTTCAGAAACCCTTTGGGTTGCGCTATAGCCATGACCGCCCTCGACGTGTTGGTAGATGAACAATTAGCCGAGAGATCGCTCCGTCTAGGAGAAATCTTCCGTCAAGGTCTTCGAGACCTCGAATCGCCAATGATCAAGGTCATTCGAGGGAGAGGTTTATTCAACGGTGTGGTCATTGATGAAACGGCGTCGAAGAAAGGTCGGACGGCATGGCAATTATGTTTATTGATGAAAAGTAAAGGTTTATTGGCTAAACCTACTCATGTAAACATGTGGGTTGTTGTCTTGAATCTTCTTCCCCTCTCCTCCTTCTCTTTTCCTTTCAAGTCACTTTCTTGCTTTCCGTTTAGTGCGACCGGATGTGGATAATCCTCTATATATTTCGGCCCCTCTTCTCACCCTTCTCCCCTCCCCTCGTCGATTCTGATCATCGATCCGGCTCGGTTCTTCCAGTTTCGCTAAAATACATTCCGCACTTGCATCATCATCTCGGACAGGCTAGTGTCGAGAGATTTTAGAAGACATACTCATGACAGAATCCGATTCGCCCCTCCGCTCGTGATAAGCGAAGAAGACATCAATCGAGCTGTTGGGATAATCGGTGAGAGCTTGTCTGAATTAGACAAGGTCAGTTGCCTTTCCATCTTGGTTGCTCAGCTGATGCGATAGCTCGAGCACATCCCTGGAGATGAGAATGAGGATCATGATACAAAGATTGAGTTGGAGGATTGAGACTTTGTTCTTCATTTTACTCTTACTCAGTCTAGCAATAATAAATGTAACAGCATGCATTGCACTTGGTCTTGGGATCATTATCTTTCTGTTTCAATACGAGTACATTGAACACGAGCCTCTGGCCATTGCCCACTGCCTACTGGTGTCTTAGATACGTAAATATCCAATCTGTTGTATAGATGATCGAAGGAGTCATAAACGACACGTCTAAATTCAACCATTCATTGATGCATCCCATTGATACTTGCCATACAAGCCCTCCAATTCATCAATCATCGATCTTAACGAGTCATTACCACCGCCCCTTTCGGCGTAATCGGTAAGACCTCCTTGGGTATTTTCTGAAGAGCAGTATCAATACTCCTCGACGTGATCCAAGGTGGTAATGATTTTTCATTCTTATTTTCTCTTTCTCTTTCTCTTTCCTCTATCTTTCTTTTCTCTTCACTACACGACATCGATGGGTTCATCCCATATACACTTCCATCTGAGATCCCTCCATTAGCCCTGACCGGTCGTTCGTCCGTCTTGATGGAATTGCCAGGTAAAGAAGGTTGAATGTTCGAAGTGAATGATTGGATGGTAGGGGTTATAGCATGTGATTCTCTGGAAGAACGGATGGAAGATATTGATTCGAGTGAACAAGTTCGATCATGTTTGGTTGATGTGTCCGTTATGAGAGCAGGGATGGGAGGTATTGGAAGATAATATTTCGGTGCACCTCGAGCTGATCGATTAGTGAAATTCTCTCTCTTTCATACTTCTCAATCACTCAGCCAATCATCCGTTTTAATCAAGAGCTTCTCTCGTCCCTTTGGTGAGTAAATAGGATACAAGTGTTATAACAGATTCTCCATGCAAGCCATCCATCAGACCTTGATGGAGAACTACTCTCGTCCCTTCATCACACAAGTAGGATACACGTGTGATACTAATAACTTCTTCTGACCATCCATCCACCTCGATGAGAAAGTTCGCTTCTTCCTTCGGTAAAGGTAAAGATATACGAGTGTGATAGGGTGTATATGGGAACGGGAGAGCGAGAGAACTCAGTGAGTATAAGGAATGTTTCAAGTGAATGGATATATAACCAAGACGACTCACGAGGTGTGGGGATATGAGAAGGGAGTATATGTATATGAGATGGAGGTGAACGACGCATGATCGTGTTTCCTATTGTGTCCGAATACCAATCAAGGCTTTCAAGTTTGGGATCAACCACGAGTCTAGAGGAGTTGAGGATGTCGTAGAAAGACTATGAGATGAGAAGAGTTGGTTATTCAGAAGACTTCGACCAGCGATTGAAAGAAATGTCGATTTTGAAGATTTCAGAGAAATGCGTCCAGCGCCAAGAGGATATACCAAGATGTAAACAAGGTGAAGGAATGAAGAAGAGCTTTGGAGTGATTGTATAAGTATTTCTCAGGAAAGGTCAGGACGACAGGTCGTCGTCAAGAAACAACAGTCAGTCGTCAGCTTCATACATGTGTCAGTGGCCAAGTGGGACACTCGGAGAACTTATCGTCAAGGATACTTGACGACTATCGTCCTCGTGCTGATAGGGCTGTGTTAACCCCCTCATCTTCAACCCTCGTCTATATCCTATATCCGGCTTGGTAGTTATTGTCTTGGCTTTACACTGATACAAGATAAAGATGTTCTAGTCAGCTAGTTAGGCTACTTAGTAGTATACATGACTATCGACAGCTGGAATACTTAACTTACTCGGTAGAGTAATCGCAGAGATGACGACGCACTACACGGCCCATGGACCAGGCGTGACGGACGGAAGCAAATTTTGATGCTAAACGACGCGACTGATTACTTGAATAGCGGCCGCGGACGAAACAAAAGTCACCGTAAGATTAACTTACCTCGTACACACACCACCACCATCACTCATCTCTTTCACATCTTTTCACTTACCCTCTATACAATCTTTCCTTCCCTCAACGTCTCACTCTTTCCTTTCTTCTGTCAGTATCTGTACCCAATCCACGACCCAACTCACGAATCCCCACATCATCGACATAGGGTAGAAACGACACAGACCCCTGCCGCGTTCGGACGCTGCGTACGCTGGATTGGGTGTAGCACAGGACTTTAAAGACCAGCCCCCGACCAAGTCGCGTCTTTTCCATTAGACCATTACGATTCCTCATACATGACCCCCTGACACGACCCATTTCATTTTTCACATCCATTCTATCCATCTGTTCATCATCTAATCATGTCGCAACCATTGGCTCCTAATAGAATTCACTCGCTTCCCGGTAAGTTTTTTGAATGTGGGGGGATGTGTTTCATAACTGATCCCCAGTTCAAGTCAATTATCATTTACCATCTTCAACTCAAACATTTACGACAGTATTTGAAGCTCCTCAACCCGTTTATGTTCATCCCAACGCCGCCAGTACTTCCGATGATGAAGTATGGGGATCTATATATCTCAAAACTGTAATTCATGGTGTTGTTCTCGCCAGGCACGTCCTTTCCTTTTCTACACATACCTCTCCTCCCGCCTCTACTCGTGACTGACCATTCCAACGCATTCGAAGAATTCCTCTGACAAATCAGTCCAGAAACCCATCCATCTTATCCCGGCACACCAGATCTTTCCGTATACATCCTTGACGCTCGCGAAACATATCTAAGACGTTCTCGAGCTTCTTCACCATTCCCATCCCACCTTCGCCCGTCTTCTCCGGCAGAATCATCTGTTCACATACCCCAAGTATGGACAGGCAAGGGACTCATCTCCTGGGCACTTGATGAACCTGGCCAAGGGAAAAATCTCATTACTGGTCGTCTCATTCGATCTAGAGAATTCACGAGAATCATCAAAACTCAAGGGATGAATCCCATGGAAGCTTTGATGATCTTCGAAGAATGGGAAGAAGAAAGTTGGGGGATCGAAATTTCCTTGGGGTTGAAAAGTGGGACAAGTGGAAGTTTTGGAATTCATCCTCAAATCAGAGAGGTTATGGCTATGGATAACGATCTCCGACGATCTTCAAGTTCACCATCATCGGAAGCGGAACCTATAGTGGTCTCCCATTCTTCAACGAGGAAATCATATGACACATCCTCGACACATGAACGGGTACGAGAACCATCGCCAGAGAAAGAACGAAAGTCGGAAAGTCCAGATGCCACACCAAGAGCTTCTGCATTAGTCAAGAGACAATCAAGTGTGAAAAGGAAAAGTGAACCACGCAAACGTTTAGCTTCGGTCGATGTTAATCGATCCTCATCTAGATCTGGGGTGGAAGGACAATCATCGGATAGCGAATCATTTCCCAAAGATCTTCCAGCTGAGGCTTATACAAAACCTGAACATCTGACAAAAGAACAAGCTCAGAGATTATTGGAATCACCTGCTTTCTTAGGCTTATTGGAGAAACTGACCGGAGAACCAGTGGGAGGGAAACGTAAAGCGGAAGGACACGTAGGGGGAAGTTCAAAGAAAGTAAAGCCGAATCCGAAATCAGAAGGAAAGAAAGATGAAAACACATTGAAATGTTATAATTGTGGTAGAACAAAGAGTGCCGTTTGGAGACAAAAAACTATGGAAGATGGGAAAAGTGTTAGAGTATGTAACGGTAAGTCAGCTTTCAGGGCGTTACGATAGATACAATAAAGCTAATGATTAGCATGCGGGTTATATTGGAATAAACTTGGTCAAATGCGACCACCAACTTTATGGCAAGGAGTAGACGAAGATGTTCGAGCCTTTTCAAAGAAAAAAGAAACTCAAACTCCTCCTGCACCAAGAATGGATGCTCATTCCGCTCCTTCAACCTCACATCAATTACACAATCATCACAACCGTCATTCCACCTCTTCAACTTCATCTTTGAATGTAAGCGGTTTCAAACGTACTTTATCAGTGGTAGCGGAGAAAGAAGCACAAAGAATAGCTTCTTTACGTACGAAACCACGTCAAACTTCAAACTTACACTTATCGACTAAACCAACAATGACATCTCCTATTCGTGGTCCTACACCTTCTCGATCCCTCAGAAATTCTAGATGGAACCCAGACGCTCATGGTGCTTCTTCCCCTGGCGGTTGGGCACAATCGATGGATGTTCAAATCCCGAATAACGAAGGTTTCAATCCTGTCGACTATACTGAGTCTAGGGGCATTCTGGAGACTATAGAAGACGAAAGTCCCAACGCTGCGATCAGACGGATATTAGGAACAGATATGGCTTTACAAGCCCTCCAAATGCCTTTGAGCGACGATACGAAACATTCTTCTTCGTGGGAAACAGATTTATCACATTTTTTTCAAATCCCAACAGATGCGAACACTTCTTCCGATCAACTTAGACCACATGAAAGTTCCGACGATGACGCTTTATCTCTATTATTCCATCGGACAAGTAGTCATGATGTTTTTCGATCCAGTTCCCCACCATTCGATTTTTCACAATTACCTCCATCTTCCCCACCTGCCATGCCTAGCAGTTTATCACATTCCGCATTGTTAGATAGCAGTCCTGAGTATTCACCTGCTGAACCGAGTCCCGACATCTCTAAAACACCGAGGAAGAACAATCCGAAAATGTCTTTAACCCCTCGGTCAGCTAGAAAAGCAGCTAGAGATGCAAAACAGGCTCAGGCTTATATACAGTCTCACCATCAGATTCAGTCGGGGTCCAGTCAAACCATGGAAACGTCGGACGACCCGTTTGATATCACTTCTCTGTTTCATGCGGAAGATGGCGGGGCGATGGATGCGCTAACTCAGATATTGAGCGGGTTGAGCAATGGTGTCACAGGACAGGGGAATGAGCAGGATATTTGGGGAACGTTACAGGGGTTTACTACTTAGATGGGAGGAAAATACGTCATCAGTAAATTTGAATGGGTCATTCATGCAAGTTATTGAAGAGACGGATGATGCTCATATGTTTGCTTTGATGCATTTGCCTTGACAGTGAAGTATTTCTTCTAGTGAACGAGAGGAGACATGATCAATTCTTTCATGGTCAACTTGCTCACAGACGTCGGAGTTGATGGAGAGAAGTAGTAGAGGAGACAAGGTCAAGCTGGCAATTCGAATTTTTGTCCTCGCAGAACTCTGATATGTCAGCATATCATTCTCTGCGCGCTGACTGTAGTTGGAACAGACAAGTGAATGCCGTATGTTCTGGTGTCCATTAATGGTATGAACGATGGGAGTTAGAAGTGGGGTAGAAGGTGATTCGTACTTTGTGACATACTGCCTCGTCAGCTTTGTCCAAGACATTGAGATAGTAACTGACGATATAACCAAAGTCGGCATAGATGGCTGTTTGAATCAAACCTGCTATCACTGCGATAGGGTCGAAAGCACCTTCGGTGAAGTATCTGATGAATCAGTACTGTCCCCTTGTATCTTGTAAAGTCTCATGAGACACATTGAAAGAAGAGGCCAAGGGATAAGGGGTTCACTCACCGATACATCCAATTTGGGATATACAAACCTCTGTACAAACCCAAAGCGGCCAAATAATGCGTGGTGATGGTCTCCGCCTCACCTGTTCGTTGGAGCATGAAGAGCTGAGGGAGGATAGCGACGGATTCGAGCCAGATGCTGAATGCCCATGCGAGCTCGGTAGGGTCGTAAGCGTATGTGAAGACGAGAGAGAGGATCGCGACTGGGGGAAGGAGATATTCCAGGCGGAATGTATCTAATGAGGCGTCTTGTGTAGGGCTGAAGCCGTGATTCGTAATATCAATAGAAGACAGAAGTGATATGTAGGACCACGACGCAGATATATGTGAGACAGTGGTAGAGGTTTCAGATTGGGGAGGAATGTCCGATGAAGGGGAGGAAGGTGCGATGTTGATTGGATCGAGAGGATGGTGAGGTATGCGAATATGACAGGAGAATCACATGGACACAGAGTAGAGGAGAAGGATATCAAGCATCAGCATGAGAGTCTTACATACATAGAAGACAAATCGCTCACCGGAAACGAACTCGCATAAGATACAAAGTATACGCCGAACTTCCAATGAAGAACAATTTCATCATTGTATTATACAAAGAGACATGAGGTCGTGTGACGAGATCAACATATCGAGTGACAAAAACCACCAAATATAAAGTTTGAGTTTTTAGACTGATTCCTCTACATGACCGGGATGTTTGAATCTTGTGTAAGAGGATGAATATTGAGGCTAGATGAGAGAGGTCGCCTAAAAAACGAAAGATGTTCATCGTATCGACCTTCTCAGAGGATTTTAGATGATGGATGGGGGGAACAAGGATGTTCTAAGCAAGCTACGAGCTTCACTTGCTAGGATACAAGAAATGTCAAATTCGGTATGGGTGGTGGAATGGAGAATTTAATAGGAGAAAGGAGCATCATACAGCGACAACGAGTGGAACACGTCCACCATAACTGCGGGGCCTAGTCCACGTGGCAAGTGGAAACTCCGAATGTGGCGGTTTGTTCCCACCTCCACGCCAGCGCTCACGGCTCACCCTAGACAACTTTCTCCCCATCGCATATCTGTCATCGTCAAAGTACCGAGTCGCCACCACAAGTGGCGTGCTCGAGGTATCATGTGAGTTACATAGACATCTCGAGAATATTTTGAAGCTGACTTACAGGCCGCCTCCAAATATCGTCTCGCAAGAGATCGAGAAAATCTCTCTTCATAACCCCATTCCTCTGAAATATCGTCTTTATGGACTTCCCTTCCTCTGTGAGCTAGTTTCCTCTCGACTCGTGTCAAGCTGACCATGGACCAGCATTATATCCCGTCTTGTACTACGCATATTACCATAAATACGACACATGGGTCGTTTCGGAAGAATGGACGTTCATCTATTGCGTGCTTCTCTTCGCTGGACATGCCCTCAGTTTCTTAGCCACACGATGGAGTAGTGGTATACGAGCCAGGCTCAGCTATACTACAGTATGTCGGCTTTTATTTTCTTCTTGATAGTACCAGCTGATTATCTAGGCCCGGGGTCTGAAAGATGCCTCGAAAGTCCGCATTATACCTCAAAAAGGAAAGGGAAAAGGGGAAATCATACCTCTCGATTCACAAATTCCGCCAGGAGCATCAGAACCTACATACTCATTCATCTACCAACGAGATACTTATGTTTATTCACGTCTGTCTCTTTTCCATTGTCCCTTGCCAAGTCTGATAAGCAGCTTTAGATGATACCTTCACTCCTATACCATATCCCTGTGACAGTTCACCATCTCTCGAAATGTTCCAAACCTCCCGAGGATTGAGCACCACAAATTCTACGAAAGGAGATAAGGTGTCTTTGGAAAGTCTCAAAGCCACATATGGTCCAAACGAATGCCATATACCCATCCCCAAATTCACAGAGCTGTTCGCGGAACATGCCGTTGCTCCCTTTTTTGTCTTTCAGATGTTCTGTGTCGCTCTGTGGTGTCTGGACGAATACTGGTATTATAGCTTGTTCACAGCTTTCATGCTGGTGGTCTTCGAGTGCACTGTAGTCTTTCAGGTCAGTGAAATCTTTGTGTTTCCCTGCCCCTACTCTTTGAGACGAGAATTCTCCTGTAGAACTGAGGCATGGCTGACGAACAGCGAGTCAAAACTCTCACCGAATTCAGAACTATGAGCATTACCCCATACCACGTGAAAGCATTTCGTGATGGTAAATGGGTCGACGTCATGAGCTCTGAGCTCGTCCCGGGTGATTTGGTCAGCATACGTTGGTTTCTCGATTGTCTCTATCTCACAAGAGCGTTCATGCTGACGGGATTAGTGCGGACCAAACCAGACTCTGGCATTCCTTGTGATCTCCTCTTACTGCGAGGGACCTGTATCGTCAACGAAGCTATGCTGTCCGGCGAGTCCACTCCTTTGCTGAAAGAAAGCATCGAGCTTCGATCCTCCACCGATCTGCTGGACATGAATGGGGCAGATCGGAATTCTGTCCTCTTTTCTGGCACGAAAGCTCTACAAGTTCAAGCCACTGGTGAAGGCCCCACGTCGGGTCCAGAGACTCCCGACGGCGGGTGTCTAGCTGTCGTCCTCCGTACCGGTTTTGGCACCACCCAGGGTCAACTGGTCAGGACCATGCTTTTCTCCACTGAGCGAGTATCGGCCAACAACGTCGAGAGCTTCCTCTTCATCGGCTTCCTGCTCATATTTGCCATCGCTGCCAGCGCCTACGTCTGGACTAAGGGTCTGGAGAGGGGGATGGCCAAGGGCAAGCTCCTGCTGGACTGTATCTTGATCATTACCAGTGTTGTCCCTCCAGAATTGCCTATGGAGCTATCGTTAGCTGTCAATGCGTCATTGGTGGCTCTGCAGAAGTATGGTGAGTCTGCCCTGCTGGTGGTTGTCCAAGGAGCTGAACAGTAGCCATTTTTTGCACTGAACCTTTCCGCATCCCTTTCGCAGGGAGAGTGGAAGTGTGCTGTTTCGACAAAACCGGAACGATCACCGGAGAGGATTTAGTTGTAGAGGGCGTATGTGGAATTGAGTGAGTAACGCGCTGCTTGAATCGTACTGCAGCTTATTACCAGCTCGTCAGATCTCCGACGCCTTGTGCCAGTGACCGAAACGGGAAGAGAAACAACGCTCACTCTTGCTGCCGCCCACGCTCTGGTCCTACTCGAAGATGGAACCCTAGTGGGGGATCCCATGGAGAAGACTACCCTCGGTGCTCTTGACTGGAAACTTTCGAAGGGAGATACGCTTTCTCCAAACAACAAATCCTCCCCACACAAATATCAAGTAAATATCCGACGACGGTTCCAATTCTCTTCCGCTTTGAAACGCATGTCAACGCTCTCTGCAGTGTCTGATGCTCATGGACGGAAATGGGTTGCTGCTGTCAAAGGAGCACCTGAGACGCTCAAAAGCATGTTTTCCACTGTTCCGGAGGGATATGACGAGACGTACAGGTGGTACACTAGGAGAGGCAGTCGAGTGCTAGCCTTAGGCATGAAGGAGATGCAGCTGAAGGGAGAGGCCAACAAGGTGATCAGGGACGAAGTGGAAGGAGGATTAACGTTTGCGGGGTTCTTGGTGTTCCACTGTCCGCTGAAGCCGGACGCTGTTGAGACCCTCAAGATGCTGGCGGATAGTTCACATCGGGTGAGAGTTTCATCCTTCTCTCTCTTTACCCCCTTCTGCATACCCTCTGATTCTCTCCATCTGTTGGCTCTTGGAGACTTCACTCACAATAAAGATGTATGAGGATCCTAGATAGTGAACTGAATATCAGTGCATCATGATCACCGGTGACAACCCCCTCACGGCTGTTCACGTTGCGCGCGATGTGGAAATAGTCGATAGGGACGTGATGATTCTTGATCTTAAGGAGGGTACTACCACGGACGAGCTGGCGTGGCGAAATGTGGAAGAGACCAAAGTCATTCCATGTTCCCCGACCCTCCCTCTAGACCAGGACATCTTAAGCAATTACGACATTTGCATAACTGGCGCTGCACTCAAGCAGTTCGCCACTTCTCCTTCCTGGCACGTCCTCGCTTCCCATACGTGGGTTTACGCCCGTGTGTCTCCTAATCAGAAACAATTCATCCTTCAAACACTACGCGATTTGGGGTATGTGACCCTCATGGCAGGAGACGGAACGAATGATGTCGGTGCACTGAAACAAGCTCACATCGGCGTGGCATTGTTAGACGGTACACCGGAAGATCTCAAAGCTATTGCCGAACATCGCAAGTTGGAGAACATGAAGAAAGTGTATGAATCGCAATGCAAGATTTCGGCTAGGTTCAATCAGCCTCCACCCCCACCCCCACCTATATTGAGAGACGCATATCCGGAGCTGGTGAAAATTCAAGAAGAGGCGAAGAAGGATATGCTCAACAAACGCAAGCAGAACCCGATGGAGAAGTTTGATTTGACCAGCATCACGAGTAAATTAGCGGAGATGGACGAGGATCAGGAGGTACCCCAGATCAAATTGGGTGATGCGTCTTGCGCAGCGCCTTTCACTTCGAAATTATCAAACGTGGCTGCTAGTGAGTTTATCTGACTTTCCGATCGCTCCCTCTCTCATTTCACGTCGTGGTCCTCATCCTCATACCTTTCCCCCGTATCAAAACTGTATAGTGACGCTGCACCCCGCACTGTACCTGATTGAATGAAAACTTAAAAATGTGTCCATATGAAGAGTGACGCTGATCGGCCCAACAGTCTCCAACATCATCCGACAAGGTCGGTGCACCCTTGTAGCTACCATACAGATGTACAAAATCCTGGCTCTCAATTGTCTCATCACGGCTTATTCACTATCTGTGCAATACCTCGATGGGATCAAATTCGGAGATTATCAAGTTACAATCACGGGTATGCTCATGAGTGTATGCTTCTTGTGTATCTCTCGGGCGAAGGTGAGTGTGGCCTCTCGTCCTCTTCTGTCTCCTCACAAGGCTAGCTTTCAGCCAGTCCTCGGCATCCTGGGGACAGAATCCTCATGGAAGGCGCACGCTGATGATCTCAGCCAGTGGAAAAGCTCTCGAAAGAACGCCCTCTCGGGAACATCTTCAACTTTTACGTCCTCCTCAGCGTATTGTCGCAGTTTGCCATCCATATCGCTGCTTTGGTATACATCACGGGTCTCTCCAAGTCACTGGAAGAGTGAGTGTTCCTTATATCACCGCTCTATCCTGCATCAATGCCTTCCTGCCATCCACTCGTTCTTACTCGTCCAATGTTGAGATCAATTCTGACAGCGGAATAAACTGATGTACAGCCGGGGTGTCATCGATTTAGAGAAAAAGTTCGAGCCCACATTACTCAACACGGCCATTTATCTCCTCGGTCTCTCCCAGCAAGTTTCGACCTTTGTGCTCAACTTCCAAGGTCGACCCTTCCGGGAAGGCATCCGGGAGAACCCGCCTCTATATTACGGGCTATTGGGTGTCAGCGCGGTTGCATATAGTGGTGCTACGGACTTTATACCAGAGCTGAATCGATGGTTGCAGCTGGTGGAGATGACTTCAAGTGTGAGTTTTGAGCTCGTCAATTTCCACTGGTCGTAATACGCTTCTCACTGACACGTGCCACTCACGACTCACGAATCTCCTCCTGAATCGCATTCATTGGCCATGCTTCGTATGTCCTTTGCTGACTGGACAGTTCCGCATTAAGCTCACATTATCCATGATCATCGACTTTGCCGGATGTTTTGTCGTGGAGAAGGTTTGTAAAGCTTTGTTCGCCGATTTAGAACCTGCAGAAATTGTCACGAGAGGTAGAGAGCGGAGAGAAAGCCGAAGATTACTGGAGGAGAAAGAAAAATCATCTCAATTGCCTGCCTCCAATGGGTCAACATTGATGGAGAAGAAAGTTCAATGAGAGACTTTTTGTTGAGGACATGCATAGAACACCGTGTCGCACTTTCGTACACGCACATTGAAAGTCCTTGCTTCTCTGACCCTTCCAGCCCTTCACATGCCATGACCCTAGTTCGTGGACCAGTTGATCTCGTTGGGGACGGAACTCCGTCGGTTAAAAGTTTCAAAATGACGCGGCATCCCTCTACATATTCCCTATTTCACAGCCGGCGGGCCGAGAGGGGTAAAGTCTGTCACCTTGACTCTTCCTTAACCCTGAATGAGCTCAGACGCAGAGCTCCCATAAATCAGTAAGACGTGCCTGAAACACATTCCCCCACAGCGAATCCCGATCGATCGCGATCACATTTAATCAATCTCAGGACTGGTCTGGAATTTTTTTCTCATTCATTCGAAACAGACGCGAACCGAGCAAACTGCAAATTGCAAAGCTGCAAGACAAAGAGACAAAACACGGTTGAACGGAAGTATGGGATACGGGATACCGTTCGAGACTTTAGAACCGAGAAACCGATGATCGCCGAGTTTTTGAGTCGTGTCGAAATAAAAAGATTTCAAGTTTTGATATTTCTACAAAAACTTAGTGATTGAACAATCATCAACATAACGTTACATTCCACCCCATATCATTCCAACACCCCACATTCCATCTTCACAATCCACTCACATCAGTCCCCACTGTCATCCATCATCCATCACACTTTCCGCTTATCGGGATCATCCAATCGTCCAATCGTTTCACCGTCAAATAAATAGTCCAATCCTTATCGTCAGATTGTCAAATCTTCAGATCGACCATCATTCATCCACCAATCCATCATCGTCCGATCCAGATTTTTGTCCTAGCCGTTTCGTCCAAACTAGTCTCAGTCGTCAAGACAACAAAGTGACCCCACTCGTCCCCCCGCGCCTATCGCGCTTACGCATCCATCACCTAGTACACGGTGTGATCATGTCTACGTACATCAACTCGAGGCCAATGTCTAATCGTACTCCAAGCGGTAGTGGTACTAGAGATCCCTTTCACTTTACATATCCATCTTTCCCTGCTCCACTACCTATTCCTTCATCTAAATCTTCTTCTTTCTTATCTCAACAACAACCACAATCATCTCAATCTCTTTCTTCTACAAACGATTCTTTTCTTGAAGAATTAATAGACGATATGACACTTTCAGTTTCTGTACCCATTCCACCTTCTTCACCAGCGGTACATACCCCTGCGGAATATCGTAATCCTTTAGACTTTCCCGTTACGCCTAAACCTGCTCCGGAGATTGTCAAGAGGGAACCTATGTCCCGTTGGCCAGAATTGGACGCTTTGATGTGGAGTAATTTGAAATGGGCAGAAAGGGTTAACGAGGCTGAACCAAAGTTTTTCGAGGCTACCACCGAAGGTCAAGTGAGTGATCTTTTTGTCATTCATTCGTTCTCCTCTTCTCCTCCACTGACCACTCTCTCCACTCACCATTTTATTGGATGAAGGGACTTTTGTTTCCTCCATTCTCCACAGCTGGAGAATCCTCATGAGCGTCTCATTCTTCCACGAACACGGTGTATTCGAGTGAGGTCAGATATGACATCATACCTCATGTCCCATCTGCCTTTGCACACCCTTTCGCCTTCAGGCGTGAAGTCGACGCTAACTTCCAGGCCCCTAAAATACTTTGGATGGGATGTGCGGATTCCCGAGTGCCCGAGACGGTGTTACTCGGTCGCAAGCCCGGAGACGTTTTTGTACAGGTGAGTAGAAGCTCTTCCCCAACCTTTTGTCGCATTCGGTCCATCTCTTCTATCTCCCAGTCTGACGAGATCAAAGACTCCCTTCGTCACTCCTTTTGTTGGCGGGGAAATGGGAGCAAGGTGCCAACCCAGTCCCAAGTCTCGTGGACCTTGTTTAAACGTGGTGTAAATATGGCGCAACCATAGCTAAACCACAGCGCAATGTCGCGAATCAGTTCCAACCTGATGACACTTCGTCCAATGCCCTTCTAAACTATGCTGTCATGTTCGTCGGCTGCACGCACAGTAAGCCCCCCGATCTCCTGCTCTTTCCCCATCAGACTGTCCCTTGATCTGCTCCAATCGTCTCAGCTCTTCGTAGTCACAATTCTGATCGACATCTTGCTACAGGCTTTGATCACGGACAAGTACACATCTTCGCCGTTTCCGTTTGAACACTGCTGATCCTTAGTCATTGTCGCCGGTCACACATGCTGTGGAGGTTGCATAGCAGCTTACGAATCACCTCGCACCGGTAACCCCGACACTCACCTTCACAACTTCCTCGCGCCCATCATCAAGCTTCGTCACGAGCTACCGGAAGAATCTTCGGTGGATGATTTGATAGAGGCGAACGTCAAGCTCAATGTGGAGAACGTTGCCAACTCTCAGGTGAGTGTGGTCTTTGTGACTTAGCTGTGAACCTGTATGGCGTTGGTTATGACGTTGCGCTCTGATATGACTTGCATTTGAGGCTGAGCAGACAAACTGACTCTCAGACGATGCAGGAAGCATGGGGTAAGGGAATGCAGGTCTACGTTCATGGCTGGGTGAGTGATTCTCTTCCGTGATCCCATCGCATTACCATCCTTCTCCCTTCCATTATCACATTCATGACCGATGGCTCATCCTGCCCGCATCTCACATACCGACTCCATCATCAACACTGTTGATCATGACCATTGCTGACGATACAGATGTACGACCTTGGGTCTGGTCGAGTTCGAGATCTTGGCTGTACCATGGGCCCTCCGCCCAAAGAGCCATCTGCACAAATCTCAACCCCCGCCATACCAACGAAATTGTAAATGAGTTCAAGAATAACAAAACAACAACATGTCAACAAGTACAAGTCCCATCACGGTATATCACAAAGTAGAGTTTCACCCCCGGTTCATGCATTTCATGTCATCAGTGTCAACGAAGAGCGGCTCTTTCACCTCGACATCGAAAGACACGGGAAATGAGCTCCACAAGACTGATTTGAGTCGTGAGGGAATGATGTGGTTGCCTTGGCTAGGCAAGATCCGATACTGTCTCTGGGGCTATGTGGAGAGAGATATTTTGTGAAAGGATCATATTCTATCTCTGATATCTAGCTCACCTCACACCCACCCATCGTCGATCACACGTTCCCCACTGATCCACTCTCCTCCCGGCTCTCGGAGATGGTGAGTTTCAACTTGACAAACAACACAGCAATATCTTGTCCGCTCTACGAATTCTCACGCAGTTCACATATCTTCCTCCGCGGCCGTATCGGTCGATCTCCGATCTCGGCGGGGCGATGTATACACCTTTATCGTTATCTTTCGACTCCGCCTGTAGAACTAGCGAATTCTAACAACGTTCGTGCTAGAAAAGCTCGCTTATCAAGTCAACATCATCGGATTTTCTTATACATATACGTATCAAACCCCGAATCTTCTTCTTCGCCATCCAACCAAGTCAATTGATCTAGAAATGACATCGCAAGTAGACCCGACTGATCTTCGTTTGCAACAAATTAGTGAACTGAACGAGGTAATCAGCCATTTGCGCCCCGAGGGAGCGGAGGAGCCCTCATCCGACGACCCATTTGTAGATTATCCTGCAAAAAACGTCCGAGATACCCTGGATCAGTGGAGAACAGTTCTCTCTCAGATGTCACCAATCAATCCAAGGTTACCTAGTCTTGCGCAACAAGTTAGTGATCTGAACAAGGTCATCAGTGAACTTGGCCAGTCAGAACCAGTGGAGCCCTCATCCACAAGTCAAACCATTGAAGACTTTTACGAGACTAGAATGAAGTGCCTGCAGGCCACTCGGAGACTAGTTGCTTTGATGATCGAAAATGTAGAGGCCTTCTACGGGCCTGAGTCTGACGACAATGTCCCCGCTACACAACCAAAGAACAACAGACTGACTGTCACGGCCGTCGAACAACTATTTCTTAATAGACCGACGGTCGACGAACCTCGGCTAACTTCACGCTCTGGGTCGATGTCTCACCCAACCAGGAGGGCGCAGACGTCGAAAGGGGTGTAACTACGGCGTACTTCGGCGTAGTTACTCTAACTAGGGTTTTGTTCTACTGATGGCGATGTATCTTGATTTATAGCTATCTCTATCTGTCTTTCACTACTGACAACAATCAAGGATCGCTGAAGAACTTCAGCGATCTTCTCAGCTAATATTATCTACTCCTCCTAGACGTTCATCCAACCCTCTCGCGCTTTGACGTACTTCAACGCACTTCGTCCAACTTCCCCGAGCCCTCGGCCATCCTCTTCCTCCTTCGACTAACTCCGCCTAACATCGCCGCACTTCTGCTCCCATTGTCCCTACTTAGCCTAACTCCGTCTAACTTCGCCGTACTTCTGCTCCCATTGTCCCTACTTAGACTAACTCCGCCTAACATCGCCGCACTTCTGCTCCCATTGTCCCTACTTAGCCTAACTCCGTCTAACTTCGCCGTACTTCTGCTCCCATTGTTCCTACTTAGCCTAACTCCGTCTAACTTCGCCGTACTTGGTGTCAGAAGTCCTGAGTTACGTGTAGAGTAAAGAGGTTAAGGCGTGATGGGGTTTTGATGGCCAAAGGAGGGTCATTGTTGGTGGAGTAATCGAGGTGTCGCGACGTAGTTCGTGACACTGACATCACCAAGTCTAAGGACACCCAGAGAGGAGAAGTGAAAGTGTGGATAAGAAACCATCATCTGAAGACACTGAGGTGTCGAAATTTTAGACGATGAATTGACCGCATCTCCATATCCAAGCTGCTACGAGATAGAACCAGACATGCAGAGTAGAGTCATTCAGGTAGATGCACCGAAATGATAGTTTGTTCTGGATGCTTAGATTTCTTTTGTGCCTTTGTTAGACAGATGTTTCAATAAGACCCTCTCTCTGGCTCCGCCGTTATGTGATGGTCTCAACCACTCCATATGGCCGAATTGTCAACCATTTCTCCGGACCTAAGGTTTTGTACAGGATGTACATATGATGATCCGTGCGCCACGCCACCGACCTAGATACCCTGAAAGTACACGGCCTCTGAGTCTAGGCCATGCAGGCCCTAGGCCCTTCGGTCGCCCCGAACTTACCTCTTTCGTTCTCCCCTCGATACCATCAGTCCCGATACTCGGAGCATGAGCCTGGGAAGTTGCCCTAGAGTTATTTGGTCCGCCCGTGACCGCGTTCGTGGTGTTCCCAAGCTACCTTTTGTCCTCAAGAGTAGCCCACAGATTTCCCAGGTGGAATTTCGAATTCTCTGCTCTCCCTTATCACGCTATCACGCTTTTCCTACCTCATTGGGAATTAACGCGATGATTACCGCTTATGGGTGGAAATATCCCGTGCCCGTTCGGGAAATTACTGGTAAATATCATCGCCTCGGGGACAATGGTTGATCTCGGTTTCCACTCCACTGCGAGATGATCGGAGATGCGTATCGCCTCTGATCAGGATATAAAAGTGAAGAACGCTCTATTCCCTCCCTAAACGATTCCGTCTATTCCAAACAGCCATATCATGGACTCTCAGCCCAATGGTACTTCTGCCAACACTGCCCATTCCTCAGCATCTGCATCTGGTGCACATAACAGTAGCCAGAGCGGTACCAGCAATAGTAATTCTCTCTCTGGGGAGAAATTAGATGAAGCAGTTACTTACATGGCAGGTTATCTGGGGAAGGGAGACCAAGTTGTCCCGTCAGATATAGAGTATCAGATGGAGTTGGCACTAGCTGCGGCAGGGCCAGAAAGTGAAGCGAAGACACATAGTATTCAGTCCAATATATCCCCCTCAACCGGGAACCCTGGAAGTCAAAGTAGCAAGCAGGGTCATTAAGCAACCTTGCCAGTCTGTCACGGCCCTCGAACAACTATTTCTTAATAGACCGACGGTCGACGAACCTCGGCTAACTTCACGCTCTGAGTCGATGTCTCACCCAACCAGGAGGGCGCAGACGTCGAAAGGGGTGTAACTACGGCGTACTTCGGCGTAGTTACTCTAACTAGGGTTTTGTTCTACTGATGGCGATGTATCTTGATTTATAGCTATCTCTATCGGTCTTTCACTACTGACAACAATCAAGGATCGCTGAAGAACTTCAGCGATCTTCTCAGCTAATATTATCTACTCCTCCTAGACGTTCATCCAACCCTCTCGCGCTTTGAAGTACTTCAACGCATTTCGTCCAACTTCCCCGAGCCCTCGGCCATCCTCTTCCTCCTTCGACTAACTCCGCCTAACATCGCCGCACTTCTGCTCCCATTGTCCCTACTTAGCCTAACTCCGCCTAACATCGCCGCACTTCTGCTCCCATTGTCCCTACTTAGCCTAACTCCGCCTAACATCGCCGCACTTCTGCTCCCATTGTCCCTACTTAGCCTAACCCCGTCTAACTTCGCCGTACTTCTGCTCCCATTGTTCCTACTTAGCCTAACTCCGCCTAACATCGCCGCACTTCTGCTCCCATTGTCCCTACTTAGCCTAACTCCGTCTAACTTCGCCGTACTTGGTGTCAGAAGTCCTGAGTTACGTGTAGAGTAAAGAGGTTAAGGCGTGATGGGGTTTTGATGGCCAAAGGAGGGTCATTGTTGGTGGAGTAATCGAGGTGTCACGACGTAGTTCGTGACAATCACGTCTCCCGGCTGCTCCTCCGTCGGCCTCCCGTCGCCCTTCGGCCCCTCGTCCCTCGGCCTCTCGTCCCTCGGCCCCTCGTCCGTCCTCTCCCGTGGCGCCTTCTCCTCCGGCCCACGGCACCCAAAGTCGTCGTCCTTCTGCTGCTCCTGCCACCCCAGCAGCAGCTCCTGTTACTCCTCCCTCTGCTCCCCAGAAGACTCCAAAGTCTTCTTTAAAGAAATCAAAAGGGAGAAGTAAAGAGAAAGAGGTTGTCTTTAATGATGATGACATGGAAGGTGAAGATACTCAGCGTGCTGGTCCCTCTGCTCCCCGAGCGTCCTTCGTCCACCCTCGTATTTCTCTGGATGTTCTTATCCCCGAGGACGAAAAAGAATTTGCCACTTATCGTTCCCTCGTCCTTGGTCTCACCTGTCACGCCTGCGGGTAGACTGCGGTAGCAAAGGACTGCCTTGGGAACTGAGAGGTTTAGTCTCTGGCTCGTGGACCTTGGTGACTGCCTTAGGTACTGAGGGTTTGAGAGGTTGGGTTAGAACCAACTGAGTGACTTATCAAACGAGGGAAAGGGAATTGAAAAGATACATTGCTGAAGAAGAAACTACAGTACTAGATAGGGTTTAAATACTAAAATCAGCCTTTTCCAAGAGGCTCGTGCAGACCTGCGGAATATGAGCGCTCTGAACCGTCCTGCACCGTCCTGCATGCATTGCCATGCATCCCACCGATTACCACTGATATCCTACGATGCCATGTCTGCGTTTACCTACGTCCTACTATGATATCCTACGTGATGCGCTGTGAGTCGGTGACTTTGTCGAAGGTGGTCGATGAGAAACTATGAGGAACTATGCAGAACATAGAAGAGCTGCGAGAACAAGAGACTGAGAGATTATGCCTTACAAGGCATCAGAACAGAGGAAAGAGAAACTAGAGAAGTACTTGGAGCTTATGCCTGTCAGGCATGAGAGCAGAGGAAAGATAGTCTTGGGGTTGATGCCTGATAGGCTTGAGAGCAGAGGAAAGATAGACTTGGAGTTTATGCCTGATAGGCTTGAGAGCAGAGGAAGATATGAGAGTGGAGGTTTGAACTTGTGATTATGACAAGTCATTATTTGATAGTGTCATTCATGACATCACCACTCAGCTCGAGGCCGCCCGACACGATACATCTCTCTTGCTTGACTTCTCTTCTCGTCAAGCTAACGCTTTAAATAATCTTACTGCAGCGTTAGTAGATGTAGTCAACACTGGGGCTCTGGATGAGGAAGCAAGGACGAGGTTAGCGGACGTTTCTCGCCGAAGCCTTACTGAGGTAGCCGATGTTTGCCGAAGGCTTTACGACACCCCCTTCCTTGTTACTCCCATGGCGTATGAGCCACCACCGGCCATCGACTGGTTAGGACGCCGCAGTAGTTCTCGTGTCCCCGCCGCCGCCCAGACTGCTCTCGACCTCCTCAGTCTTCCCTTTGAGTGTCTTTGGACCATACGTTCTCTGTGGCGGACTCCGAGCATGCAAGCTGCTCGCGATGTCCAGGACTTCGGTGATTTCTTTGGGGCTATGAACAGGGCCTGGAATGCTTCCCTCTCTTCTGCCTTCCCCCCTGACAGTCTCGATCTACCTTCGGCCATCGGTAGTCTCCACACCAACCCCGCGGGACCGAGTAGAGCGAAGGAGAAGGGAAAAGGGAAGGGTAAGGGTAAGGACAATTGAGCGGTACGTAGCTGTAATCCTATGTTGTATGCAGTACGGTTCTACCTCCTAGCCCTTCGCACTCGCCCTTCCTTCGGCTTAGTAGGATGAAGTTCGTGGAACTTCGCCAGCATGTCATCAGCTCCATCAACGTTCTCTACTGGTTCCCACAATACTGAGTCGTCTGTTCCTTCGTAACCTAACCATTCCACCAGGTACTCCAGCTTCCCTGATCTTTTATTTATCCTAGAGTCCACAATGTCCTTTACTTCCCACGATTCTCCTACGTTATCTACCTCTACTGGCCCAGGTGGTTCAGCTTGCTGACCAGGGAATATTGGAGGATGATAGGGGCGAAGCAATGAAACATGGAATACATCATGGATACCTGCCATCGTTCCTGGTAACTCCAATTTACAAGCGTGAGAACCTACCTGCCGTACTACCTTGTACGGCCCACTTTGCTTCACATCCAATTTCTTCATTGGTCTCTTAGTCTTAATATTCTCTAAGGACAGCATAACTAGGTCACCTTCCACGAAGTTAGGCGTAGTTCGATGTTTCCTATTGTATCCTTCGGCGTACTTCTCGTTAGCTCTCTCAATCCCCTCGATACACTCCCTATGTATTTTGGTTAGGTCTTTTACCACTACTGTAGCAGCAGGTACCTCGACTTCGCTGGCCTTAATCCCTTCAGCCCACCGAGGGTGGTACCCATAGTTCGCATAGAATGGGGTTTTGTTTATCGTGGAATGATGGGTGTTGTTATAAGCGAAGCTGGCTCGAGCGAGTAGCTTCGACCAGTCGTTCTGCTGATAGGAAGTGAAGATTCTAAGGTATAGCTCGAGAGATTGGTTGGTTCGTTCGGTCTGCCCGTCAGTCTGTGGGTGATACGCGGTAGAGAGATGTAGTCTTATCCCGAGACTATCGGTCAAGTTCTTCCAAAACTTCGAGGTAAACTTCGAGCCTCTGTCCGATACTATACTCTCTGGTAACCCATGCTGGGCCACCACATAGTCCATTATCAGCTCCGATAGTCCAGCTGCGGTTAACTTCGTCGTGGTTGGGATAAAAATGGCCCATTTTGTCACCCGATCCACGACCACTAAGATAGAGTTATATCCATGGGAACTTGGGAGTTCTTCGATAAAATCCATCGAGATACTTGACCAAGGTTTTGTAGCCACTTGCAGGGGTTTAAGTTCTCCATGAGGCTTCTGTCTGTTAGTCTTCGCTCTTTGACATACCGCACAACCAGCGACATAGTCTTCTACATCCTTCCTTACTCCAACCCAAACATAATCTCTCAGGACTAGTTCAAGGGTCTTTGCCGAACCCGGGTGACCAGCTAAGGCCGAGTCATGTCGCATCTTCATAATCTTTAGTCGAGCGTCGGCGTAGTTCGGCACATAAGTCCGATCGTCGAAAACAAGGAAACCCCTTGGAGTCCACCCCCCACAAAGTATTAGAGGGGACCGCGAACTACGGCGTAGTTCGGTGATGGATCCTGGTTCCTGTACGTCATCGTGACACGTTGGATGAGAACACTCAGCGCAAATGACTCCTAATAGCTCCTTCCTAACCTCCTCCACTTCTTCATCTTCCTGTATACCAACAATCAGATCCATGGGATCAATAAGGTCACTCTCTCTTACTTCCTTTGTCCCTTGCAAAGCACGAAGTAGGTGTTGTAACCCAGAGCTAGTGCCGTCGAGTTCGTCGAACTTCGGCAACCCTTGAATAAGGTTACTCTCTTGCACCATAGTACTTCCCTTTCCAGAATGGTAGTCTGCTCTTCTCGATAGTCCATCCGGAAGTGTAGCTTGTTTCCCAGGTCGATACACCATCTTAAACCTAAAGTTAGAGAGCTCTTCGACCCACCTGCCCTGCCTTGGGCTTAACTGTTTCGGTTCCATCCAGTATGTCAAGTTCAAGTGGTCCGTGAGTACTGTAGTCTCTACCTGTAACAGTAAGTGTCTCCTTCTTCTAAAAGCCTCAACAATAGCTAGTAGTTCCTTCTCGCCTACCGTATAGTTTAACTGCGCCGCTTGGAACGCTCCTGACTCGATAGCTACCGGATGTTCTTGCCCTAACTCGTTCACCTGCGATATTATGAAGCCCCACCCGAAGAACGAGGCATCTGTCTGTAGTAATGTCTTCAACGAAGGATCAAAGTGGGCTAATACCGGAGCCCTACACATTCTATCCTTCAGTTCTTTAAAAGCTCTTTCCTGCTCCATACCCCAGACAAACGGTACATCCTTCCTTGTGAGATCATTGATCGGTTTAGCAATCCTGGAGAAGTTGGGGACAAAACGCCGATAATAACTAACGACTCCCATAAATCCTCTGCTCTCTCTTAGGTTCTTGGGACGGGGAAAAGACACAACAGCGTCGATGTACTCTGGATTACTAGAAACTCCCTCCCGTGAGACCACAAAACCCAAGAAGACTACCGAATCTTTTTCAAACTCGCACTTACTAGCCTTGACGAACAGATTCAACCTCCGAAGAACTTCGAACACCTTCACCGTAGTTCCTCTCAATTCTTCCAACGTTTGACCATAGATGAGTATATCATCTATGCAGACAACCACTCCCTTCCCCAACAGTTCTCTAAAACTTTCATTTAGAAAATGCTGGAATACAGCAGGAGCATTTCGCAGACCATCTCGAACGACAAGAGACTCGAACATACCGTACTGAGTTCTGAACGCCGTCAAGTGCTCGTGTCCTTCCTTTACTCGTAGGAGTTGATAAGCTCCAATCAGATCTAACTTACTGAAATACCTGGCCTTTCCCAGCTCTTCGGTTATCTGACCGATCAGAGGCAGTGGATAGGCATCGGGTATCGTTGCTTCGTTTAACTTTCGGTAGTCAATGACCATTCGCCATTGACCCTTTGCTTTCTTCGGTACCAAGAACATCGGTGATCCGTAGGGCGAATTACTGGGTCGAATTCTTCCGGCCGATATTTCGCGATCTAGGATGTCTCTCAGCGCACTTCTCTGATCTTCTCCGAGTGAGTAGAGTGGAGCAACCTTCAGGTTTGCCCCCTCCTTAAGCTCAAATTCCAGATCATACTCCCTTGAGGGAGGTAATTCTTCACCTCCCTTCCTCGGGTTAAACACATCGATGAACGGGTGATATTGTTCAGGAACCACCTGATACAATTCCTCCTGTTCCTCCGGACTCAGTTCATCTTGGTCATCTTTGTCTCGGAGATCTATCGCGTCCGTCGGAGTTGGCAGCCCTATGGCTGCTAACTTCGCCGCACTTGGTGGGGTTGGGATGGGGAATTTCACCGAGTTGTCTCTTCCATCTAGAACAACCCCTTCCTTCCTCATCCAGTCCCACCCTATCACAACATCCGCATTGCAGAGCGTTGTTACATCCAGACGAACAGATCGCACTTTGGCGTCCTTCGTCAAACTAAAACCAACTTCGTCAAACTCGGTGATAGGTCCAGCAACACTAAACGAGCCATCAAACATGTGTGTCACGCCCGTCGAGCAACTACTTCCTAATAGACCGACGGTCGACGAACCTCGGCTAACTTGATCCTTCTTGATCGATGTCTCACCCAACCGGGAGGGCGCAGACGTCGAAAGGGGTGTAACTACGGCGTACTTCGCCGTGGTTACTCTAACGGGGGTTTTGTTCTTCTGATAGCGATGTATCTCGATTGGTAAATAGCTATCTCTATCTATCTTTCACTACTGACAACAATCAAGGATCGCTGAAGAACTTCAGCGATCTTCTCAGCTAATATTGTTTATTCCTCCTAGACGTTCATCCAACCCTCTCGCGCTTTGGCGTACTTCGACGCACTTCGTCCAACTTCCCCGAGCCCCGGCTATCCTCTTCCTCCTCCGACTAACTCCGCCTAACGTCGCCGTACTTCTGCTCCCATTGTCCCTATTTAGCCTAACTCCGTCTAACTTCGCCGTACTTCTGCTCCCATTGTCCCTACGTAGCCTAACTTCGTCTAACTTCGCCGTACTTGGTCTCAGATGTCCTGGGTTACGTGTAGAGTAAAAAGGTTAAGCCGTGATGGGGGTTTTGATGGTCAAAGGAGGGTCATTGTTGGTGGGATAATAGAGGTGTCACGACGTAGTTCGTGACAGTCGCCCCCTTCTTTAGCCGCGAACGTCCTCGTGAGCGATTACACCTCTACAGTGGCAAGAGAACTTAGCAGCGTAGTAACCCCACTCCCCGTTGCCCATAGCTATCCTTCGTCCGTATGCTCATTGCGCCGCACTTCGTAGTCGGGCCTCCTTTCACTTCAAAACCCGACAATGAGACTTCCCTAACTTCGTCGAGGTTTGCCGTAAGAAGCCCTGTGTATTTTGTAGGTGAGACACGCTTCCCGAATGGTAGCCGAACAACATCGTTGTTTGTCGAAGTAACCCTCGTTTATATTGGGATAAGACACTATAGCGTGGGAATTTTGATCGTCCCTGGCTTGCCTTTTGTTGATGAAACGCGAAGTTTACTGCGTGTTGACGACGAGGGGGGGTAGGTCTGGTTCTACTAAATACTGAGCAGTTCGTCGAGCTTCTCTCTTTTCCCCATCTGCTTTCAAAACTTTCTATCTCCCTTACCTAGAAAACAGATTTAACCATCGTTTCAAGTTTAATTTTTCTTTTAAGTATCTTAACGTCATGGCCCCCTCTACTCCCACTACCAACCCTTTCGCCGCCATGAGGAACTTTGGTGGTATGATGTCGTCTGCTCGTGGGTTTTCATCGTTATTCCCCTTACCTCGCCGAACTTGGCTGATGTTCAGTTTCCTTCGGCGATAGGTCTCGCCAAGTCTCCTCCCTTGGGCTCGGCACTCTCTCTTTGGGGGAACCGTCCGGCGCTGCCTCGCCTCCTCGCTCCGCTTCTCCTCCCGCTGCTTCTCCGCCCGCTTCTCCTCGCGCTGGTTCTCTCTCTCTGGAGTCAGAGTCTTCCGTCGTCGAAACTGGTCCTCCCGGTGGGTATCCTCCTGCCACCTCCCCTCGCCGCAGGACGCCCGCCTTCCGTCGTGGTGAGTCCCCATCCTCCTCCGACCTGGAAGTTAGTGGAAGCTCGGAGTCGGGTGATCGACCCGACGTCGAAGAAAGTGAGGATGACGAAGAAGATGAGGATGACGAAGAAGATGAGGATGACGAAGAAGATGAGGATGAGGATGATTTGGAGGGTAGTGTTGATCGTGAAGGTGAAACCGAGTTAGAAGAATACTCGGGAGATGATATGGAGGTGGGTAGAGTAGAGGACAACGACGTAGATAGTCCTGAGCGTGAGTCCTTCGTCCATCTTCTCACACCTTCGCCGAACTTGGCGTTGTTTATCTGTTCTTTAGTTCTGTAAGGCACTGCTAACTCGCAGCCACTCCTGTCCCCCCCCCTGCCCAACTCGCGGGCCAGAAACGACGCCGTTCCCTCTCCTCTTCTTCTTCTTCTTCCTCCTCCTCCTCTTCCGAAGATCTCCCCCCGCCCGACGCCATTGCCGCTGCCGCCGCTGCTGCTGCTGCCCGCCGTGCCGCCGCCGTCTCCCGCCCTGCCGCCGCCGACCCCGTCGCTGCTACCCTTCCTTCTCCCAGAGGGGAGCCTTCGCCCAAACGGGTGAAGAGATCATTGCGGGAAGAAGAGTACTTGTGGGAGAAGATGAAGTCTGAGCCTGGGCGTTGGGTCGCGGTGGGTGTTGATGAAGCGTGTGATCGTTGTCGGTGAGTCCACCCATCGGTCCTACGCCGAAGTTACTCCTGCTAATTAGTAGACGTGAGATGATCACGTATAATCGTCCAAACTGGCCCTGCCTCAAGGCAGTCAGGCCACACAACAAAGCCCTCCGCTGTGCTTCATGCACATCTGGTCCCTGCTCCTTCTGTCCCGTCTCGTCTGCTCGAGACATCCCGCCCCGTCTCTCCGACGCCTCTCCTTTCCCCCCTCCCCAGACTCCAGCGTCTGTTCCCCGTTCGCGGGTGCCAACTTCGTCTCTCCGGTCGGTTCGCCGAACTTCGCCGTCCTCCCGCTCGTCGCCTCCCTCGCCGTCGCCCTTCGCCCCTGTGGCCGGCCCATCACGTCTCCCGGCTGCTACTCCATCGGCCTCTCGTCGCCCTTCGGCCTCTCGTCCTTCGGCCCCTCGTCCGTCCTCTCCTGTGGTGCCTTCTCCTCCGGCCCACGGCACCCGAAGTCGTCGTCCTTCTGCTGCTCCTGCCACCCCAGCAGCAGCTCCTGTTACTCCTCCCTCTTTTCCCCAGAAGACTCCAAAGTCTTCTTTAAAGAAATCGAAAGGGAAAGGTAAAGAGAAAGAGGTTGTCTTTAATGATGATGACATGGAAGGTGAAGATACTCAGCGTGCTGGTCCCTCTGTCCCCCGAACGTCCTTCGTCCACCCTCGTATTTCTCTGGACGTTCGTATCCCCGAGGACGAAAAGGAATTCGCCACTTATCGTTCTCTCGTTCTTGGTCTCACCACTCAGCTCGAGGCCGCTCGCCACGATACATCTCGCTTGCTTGACTTCTCTTCTCGTCAAGCTAACGCTTTAAACAATCTTACTGTGGCGTTAGTAGATGTAGTCAACACTGGGGCTCTGGATGAGGAAGCAAGGACGAGGTTAGCGGACGTTTCTCGCCGTAGCCTTACTGAGATAGCCGATGTTCGCCGAAGGCTTTACGACACCCCCTTCCTCGTCACTCCCATGGCGTATGAGCCACCGCCGGCCATCGACTGGTTAGGTCGCCGCAGTAGTTCTCGTGTCCCCGCCGCCGCCCAGACTGCTCTCGACCTCCTCAGTCTTCCCTTTGAGTGTCTTCGGACCATACGTTCTCTGTGGCGGACTCCGAGCATGCAAGCTGCTCGTGATGTCCAGGACTTCGGTGATTTCTTTGGGGCTATGAACAGGGCCTGGAATGCTTCTCTCTCTTCTGCCTTCCCCCCTGACACTCTCGATCTACCTTCAGCCATCGGTAGTCTCCACACCAACCCCGCGGGACCAAGTAGAGCGAAGGAGAAAGGAAAAGGAAAGGGTAAGGGTAAAGACAAGTGAGCGGTACGTAGCTGTAATCCTATGTTGTATGCAGTACGGTTCTACCTCCTAGCCCTTCGCACTCGCCCTTCCTTCGGTTTAGTAGGATGAAGTTCGTGGAACTTCGCCAGCATGTCATCAGCTCCATCAACGTTCTCTACTGGTTCCCACAATACTGAGTCGTCTGTTCCTTCGTAACCTAACCATTCCACCAGGTACTCCAGCTTCCCTGATCTTTTATTTATCCTAGAGTCCACAATGTCCTTTACTTCCCACGATTCTCCGACGTTATCTACCTCTACTGGGCCAGGTGGTTCAGCTTGCTGACCAGGGAATATTGGAGGATGATAGGGGCGAAGCAATGAAACATGGAATACATCATGGATACCTGCCATCGTTCCTGGTAACTCCAATTTACAAGCATGAGAGCCTACCTGCCGTACCACCTTGTACGGCCCACTTTGCTTCACATCCAGTTTCTTCATAGGTCTCTTAGTCTTAATATTCTCTAAGGACAGCATAACTAGGTCACCTTCCACGAAGTTCGGCGTAGTTCGATGTTTCCTATTGTATCCTTCGGCGTACTTCTCGTTAGCTCTCTCGATCCCCTCGATACATTCCTTATGTATTTCGGTTAGGTCCTTTACTGTCACAATCGTTGTTTCTTCTTCTCTACTGACCGACGGTCGACAAACCTCGGCTAACTACGGTGTAGTGGGGCGTCGTTGTCTCACTAATACAGGGTACTCGACGAGGAACTACGGCTAACTTCGCCGTAGTGATGTGTCGAGTGGTAAGTGATAAGATGATCGTCGATGAACTGCGGCTAACTTCGCCGTAGTACGTTGAACTGCTAAGTGGTAGCTCTCCCTAACTCGAAGGTTGTAGCTAATGAATATATCTCTCGCTACTGACAACAATCAAGGATCGCTGAAGAAGTTCAGCGATCTGTAAACTATCTATACTACTCCTCTCTTCTCATAGAACGTCTCTCAACTCCTGCACTGCCTCACGCTCAGTCCCCTTCGTCCAACTTCGCCGTACCTCGCCATATCCCCGATATCCTACTCCGCTCACTTCGACTAACTTCGCCTAACTTCCCCTGTTCTGCTCTCCCTCGGTTCCCTTCCCCTAACTTTGCCGTAGTTCTCCGCTAGGCGGGGTTATCGTGACAAATCCCCCCTTGGTTCTCGTAACTTCGTCGTAGTTGGTCTCAGTGGTTCGAGTGGAGGTTGGTGGTGGTGAAAGGAAAGGTCGGTGATGGTGAAAGGAGGGTCGGTGATGGTGGTTGTCAGGGATGTTACGACGTAATTCGTGACATTTACCACTACTGTAGCAGCAGGTACCTCGACTTCACTGGCCTTAATCTCTTCAGCCCACCGAGGGTGGTACCCATAGTTCGCATAGAATGGGGTCTTGTTTATCGCAGAATGATGGGTGTTGTTATAGGCGAAGCTGGCTCGAGCGAGTAGCTTCGACCAGTCGTTCTGTTGATAGGACGTGAAAATCCTAAGGTACAGCTCGAGAGATTGGTTGGTTCGTTCAGTCTGTCCATCAGTCTGTGGATGATACGCCGTAGAGAGATGTAGTCTTATCCCGAGACTATCGGTCAAGTTCTTCCAAAACTTCGAGGTAAATTTCGAGCCCCTGTCTGATACTATACTCTCTGGTAACCCATGCTGGGACACCACGTAATCCATTATCAGCTCCGATAGCCCAGCTGCGGTCAACTTCGTCGTGGTTGGGATAAAAACGGCCCATTTTGTCAGCCGATCCACGACCACCAAGATGGAGTTATATCCATGGGAACTTGGGAGTTCTTCGATAAAATCCATCGAGATACTTGACCAAGGTTTTGTGGCCACTTGCAGGGGTTTAAGTTCTCCATGAGGCTTCTGTCTGTTAGTCTTCGCTCTTTGACATACCGCACAACCAGCGACATAGTCTTCTACATCCTTCCTTACTCCAACCCAAACATAATCTCTCAGGACTAGTTCAAGGGTCTTTGCCGAACCCGGGTGACCAGCTAAGGCCGAGTCATGTCGCATCTTCATAATCTTTAGTCGAGCGTCGGCGTAGTTCGGCACATAAGTCCGATCGTCGAAAACAAGGAAACCCCTTGGAGTCCACCCCCCACGAAGTATTAGAGGGGACCGCGAACTACGGCGTAGTTCGGTGATGGATCCTGGTTCCTGTACGTCATCGTGACACGTTGGATGAGAACACTCAGCGCAAATGACTCCTAATAGCTCCTTCCTAACCTCCTCCACTTCTTCATCTTCCTGTATACCAACAACCAGATCCATGGGATCAATAAGGTCACTCTCTCTTACTTCCTTTGTCCCTTGCAAAGCACGAAGTAGGTGTTGTAACCCAGAGCTAGTGCCGTCGAGTTCGTCGAACTTCGGCAGCCCTTGGATCAGGTTACTCTCTTGCACCATCGTACTTCCCTTTCCCGAGTGGTAGTCTGCTCTTCTCGATAATCCATCCGGAAGTGTAGCTTGTTTCCCAGGTCGATACACCATCTTAAACCTAAAGTTAGAGAGCTCTTAGACCCACCTGCCCTGTCTCGGGCTTAACTGTTTCGGTTCCATCCAGTATGTCAGGTTCAAGTGGTCCGTGAGTACTGTAGTCTCTACCTGTAATAGTAAGTGTCTCCTTCTCCTAAAAGCCTCAACAATAGCTAGTAGTTCCTTCTCGCCTACCGTATAGTTTAACTGCGCCGCTTGAAACGCTCCCGACTCGATAGCTACCGGATGTTCTTGCCCTAACTCGTTCACCTGCGATATTATGAAGCCCCACCCGAAGAACGAGGCATCTGTCTGTAGTAATGTCTTCAACGAAGGATCAAAGTGAGCTAATACCGGAGCCCTACACATTCTATCCTTCAGTTCTTTAAAAGCTCCTTCCTGCTCCATACCCCAAACAAAGGGTACGTCCTTCCTTGTGAGATCATTGATCGGTTTAGCAATCCTGGAGAAGTTGGGAACAAAGCGCCGATAATAACTAACGACTCCCATAAACCCTCTGCTCTCTCTTAGGTTCTTGGGACGGGGAAAAGACACAACAGCGTCGATGTACTCTGGATTACTAGACACTCCCTCCCGTGAGACCACAAAACCCAAGAAGACTACCGAATCTTTTTCAAACTCGCACTTACTAGCCTTAATGAACAGATTCGACCTCCGAAGAACTTCGAACACCTTCGCCGTAGTTCCTCTCAATTCTTCCAACGTTTGACCATAGATGAGTATATCATCTATGTAGACAACCACTCCTTTCCCTAACAGTTCTCTAAAACTTTCATTCAGAAAATGCTGGAATACAGCAGGAGCGTTTCGCAGACCATCTCGAACGACAAGAGACTCGAACATACCGTACTGGGTTCTGAACGCCGTCAAGTGCTCGTGTCCTTCCTTTACTCGTAGGAGTTGATAAGCTCCAATCAAATCTAACTTACTGAAGTACCTCGCCTTTCCCAGTTCTTCGGTTATCTGACCGATCAGGGGCAGTGGATAGGCATCGGGTATCATTGCTTCGTTTAACTTTCGGTAGTCAATGACCATTCGCCATTGACCCTTTGCTTTCTTCGGTACCAGGAACATCGGTGATCCGTAGGGCGAATTACTGGGTCGAATTCTTCCGGCCGATATTTCGCGATCTAGGATGTCTCTCAGCGCACTTCTCTGATCTTCTCCGAGTGAGTAGAGTGGAGCAACCTTCAGGTTCGCCCCCTCCTTACGCTCAAACTCCAGATCATACTCCCTTGAGGGAGGTAATTCTTCACCTCCCTTTCTCGGGTTAAACACATCGATGAACCGGTGGTATTGTTCTGGAACCACCTGATACAATTCCTCCTGTTCCTCCGGACTCAGTTCATCTTGGTCATCTTTGTCTCGGAGACCTATCGCGTCCGTCGGAGTTGGCAGCCCTATGGCTGCTAACTTCGCCGCACTTGGTGGGGTTGGGATGGGGAATTTCACCGAGTTGTCTCTTCCATCAAGAACAACCCCTTCCTTCCTCATCCAGTCCCACCCTATCACAACATCCGCATCGCAGAGCGTTGTTACATCTAGACGAACAGACCGCACTTCGGCGTCCTTCGTCAAACTAAAACCAACTTCGACGAACTCGGTGATAGGTCCAGCGACACTAACCGAGCCATCAAACATGTGAACGGGTACGCTCACCTGGTATCATCTCCTTCCTACACCTATCTTTGCCGCTGCCCTAGGGCTTATATACGAACAAGTAGCCCCAGTGTCCCAGAGCGTAGTTAGCTTGATTCCATTAATAAAAATGTCCGATTTAGGTTGATCTCTAGAAGTGGAAGAGATGAGTAGATGATTATCGACATTGCATGAACAAGGGGTACTGAGTGGTGTATTTTTGTATGCACAATCCTCTGACTCCATCAGCTGTGTCTCTTTTATAGGTTTGGGAATAGTGGCCGAGAGAATATGGCGGACCCGCCGAGCCTCGCCTACTGCAACAGGTCCTCTTCTTTTCCCTGGTCCTCTTCTATCTCCCCGTCTCCCCCAACTGCGTTCAAGTTCCTCCTCCGACCCAGAGGTACTGCGTTACCCCCCGATCCCCCGCCACGTTCGCCGAACTTCTCCCCCCACGGAGGCAACCATCCGACTTTTACCTTCGCTGCCCTCACCGGGCAATCCCTCAACCAATGTCCCCTCTCCCCGCACTCAGTACACTTCGCTTCCTTCTTCCTTGCCTCCCACAGTTCGGGAGGTGGCCTAGGCCATTGTCGGCGAAGTTCGTCGGCATTCGACGGAATGTTCTTGACCTGCGTCGACGTAATATTCGCTTGCACCGCAGACTGCGCCGAAGTTTGCCTCCCCTCCCCTCTTTTCTCCTCTCTCCTCTCCACTCTCTGACTATCCACCACTAACACTTCCTTCACCCCCGTCTCCCTCTTCTTTTCCGCATCCTTCTCCACTTTCCTTCTCCACAACCTGTTGTCCATGGGAATAACAAACTCCAATAACTCCTTGACAGTCCCAAAAGATTTACCATGTCTAGCAATTTCATCTAGGAGGTGTGGTTTCAACCCTTTCTTGGCTCGGTCAACCAGGTTTCCGTCATCAGACCACTTGAGTATCGCCACATGTCGTTGAAAGGCGGAGAAGTACTCCGAAGCTGACCCAGTCTGCTTTAGATCGTTAAGCAGTCGAGCTGCGGTTCCCTCTTCATCCGGGTCACCAAAGTTTGTCTTGAGATATTTAACGAATTGATCGTACTCCCTAAGGTAGTCAGGAAGAGGTCGTTTAGCAAGGTCGGGTTGGACGGCGAGAAGAGGTGTTTCGCGTAAATGAGAGATCATGAAGAAGACTTTCTTGGTGTCGTTGGGGAAAAGATGAGAGTTCAGTTCGTAATGGATTTCACATTCCGACAGAAATGCGGTCAACTTGTTCCTCTCTCCTCTCCAGAAATCCGGATTAGGCAGTTTAATCCCCTTCCGTTGTTCGCCAACTACGCTTGGGGTCGCCGAAGCTTGCCGCCCCATGGCGTACCTCACCCCTTCTGATATCCCTTCTGCAATACCGCCCACCGTCTCCCTTTCTCTTCTCTGCTCCCACTCCTCCCTACGCCTTCTCTCTTCCATCATGTCTTTGTTCATATTCGCCACCATCTGCATCAAGGCCAATATCACCCCTTGTGTACCTTCTTCTCCCAAGTTCCCCGTACTTCCAGTGTTTTCTGGCCGCGGGGTTTGATCCGATCCAACTGGGGATCCTACAGGTGGGAGAGCATTACCGGAAGGGGCAGGAGGATTAGAAAGCACTGGTGGAACGAACTCATCTCCTTGAATTGATCCCCCTACACTATCCTCCACTCCAAGCTGCTGCCCCATCGCTCTGCTAAGCTCCTCCAGTGCCCTCCTCTCATTCTCCTCCATCCTGTCTCCGTCCCTACTCATACCTCGCGTAACTCTCCTATCTGGTTCCATAGAATCTTCGTACTTCTCCGAGGTTCGCACGGGTCGTCGGTAAGAGCGATCCTTGATACTGTCACGCCCGTCGAGCAACTACTTCCTAATAGACCGATGGTCGACGAACCTCGGCTAACTTGATCCTTCTTGATCGATGTCTCACCCAACCGGGAGGGCACAGGCGTCGAAAGGGGTGTAACTACGGCGTACTTCGGCATAGTTACTCTAACGGGGGTTTTGTTCTTCTGATAGCGATGTATCTCGATTGGTAAATAGCTATCTCTATCTATCTTTCACTACTGACAACAATCAAGGATCGCTGAAGAACTTCAGCGATCTTCTCAGCTAATATTGTTTATTCCTCCTAGACGTTCATCCAACCCTCTCGCGCTTTGGCGTACTTCGACGCACTTCGTCCAACTTCCCCGAGCCCCGGCTGTCCTCTTCCTCCTCCGACTAACTCCGCCTAACGTCGCCGTACTTCTGCTCCCATTGTCCCTATTTAGCCTAACTCCGTCTAACTTCGCCGTACTTCTGCTCCCATTGTCCCTATGTAGCCTAACTTCGTCTAACTTCGCCGTACTTGGTCTCAGATGTCCTGGGTTATGTGTAGAGTAAAAAGGTTAAGCCGTGATGGGGGTTTTGATGGTCAAAGGAGGGTCATTGTTGGTGGGATAATGGAGGTGTCACGACATAGTTCGTGACAATGTGAACGGGTACGCTCACCTGGTATCGTCTCCTTCCCACACCTATCTTTGCCGCTGCCCTAGGGCTTATATACGAACAAGTAGCCCCAGTGTCCCAGAACGTAGTTAGCTTAATTCCATTAATAAAAATGTCCGATTTTGGTTGATCTCTAGAAGTGGAAGAGATGAGTAGATGATTATCGACATTGCATGAACAGGGGGTACTGAGTGGTGTATTTTTGTATGCACAATCCTCTGGCTCCATCATCTGTGTCTCTTTTATAGGTTTGGGAATAGTGGCCGAGAGAATATGGCGGACCCGCCGAGCCTCGCCTACTGCGACAGGTCCTCCTCTTCCATCTCTCCATCTCCCCCTACTGCGTTCAAGTTCCTCCTCTGTCCCAGAGGTACTGCGTTACCCCCCGATCCTCCACCACGTTCGCCAAACTTCTCCCCCCATGGAGGCAACCATCCGACCTTTACCTTCGCTGCCCTCACCGGGCAATCCCTCAACCAATGTCCCTTCTCCCCACACTCAGTGCACTTCCCTTCCTTCTTCCTTGCCTCCCACAGTTCGGGAGGTGGCCTAGGCCATTGTCGGCGAAGTTCGTCGGCATTTGACGGAATGTTCTTGACCTGTGTCGACGTAATATTCGCTTGCACAACAGACTGCGCCGAAGTTTGCCTCCCTTCCCCTCTTTTCTCCTCTCTCCTCTCCGCTCTCTGACTATCCACCACTAACACTTCCTTCACCCCCGTCTCCTTCTTCTTCTCCGCATCCTTCTCCACTTTCCTTCTCCACAACCTGTTATCCAGGGGAATAACAAACTCCAATAACTCCTTGACAGTCCCAAAAGATTTACCATGTCTAGCAATTTCATTTAGGAGGTGTGGTTTCAACCCTTTCTTGGCTTGGTCAACCAGGTTTCCGTCATCAGACCACTTGAGTCTTGCTACACGTTCTTGAAAGGCGGAGAAGTACTCCGAAGCTGACCCAGTCTGCCTTAGATCGTTAAGCAGTTGAGCTGCGGTTCCTTCTTCATCCAGGTCACCAAAGTTTGTCTTGAGATATTTAATGAATTGATCATACTCCCTAAGGTAGTCAGGAAGAGGTCGTTTAGCAAGATCGGGTTGGACGGCAAGAAGCGGTGTTTCGCGTAAATGAGAGATCATGAAGAAGACTTTCTTGGTGTCGTTGAAGAAAAGATGAGAGTTCAGTTCGTAATGGATTTCACATTCCGACAGAAATGCGGTCAACTTGTTCCTCTCTCCTCTCCAGAAGTCCGGATTAGGCAGTTTTATCCCCTGCCGTTGTTTGCCAACTACGCTTGGGGTCGCCGAAGTTTGCCGCCCCATGGCGTACCTCACCCCTTCTGATATCCCTTCTGCAATACCGCCCACCGTCTCCCTTTCTCTTCTCTGCTCCCACTCCTCCCTACGCCTTCTCTCTTCCATCATGTCTTTGTTCATATTCGTCACCATCTGCATCAAGGCCAATATCACCCCTTGTGTACCTTCTTCTCCCAAGTTCCCCGTACTTCCAGTGTTTTCTGGCCGCGGGGTTTGATCCGATCCAACTGGGGATCCTATAGGTGGGAGAGCATTACCCGAAGGGGTAGGAGGATTAGAAAGCACTGGTGGAACGAACTCATCTCCTTGAATTGATCCCCCCACAGTATCCTCCACTCCAAGCTGCTGCCCCATCGCTCTGCTAAGCTCCTCCAGTGCCCTCCTCTCGTTCTCCTCCATCCTGTCTCCGTCCCTACTCATACCTCGCATAACTCTCCTATCTGGTTCCATAGAATCTTCGTACTTCTCCGAGGTTCACACGGGTCGTCGGTAAGAGCGATCCTTGATACTGTCAGGCCCGTCGAACAACTACTTCCTAATAGACCGACGGTCGACAAACCTCGGCTAACTTGATCCTTCTAAATCGATGTCTCACCCAACCGGGAGGGCACAGGCGTCAAAAGGGGTGTAACTACGGCGTACTTCGGCGTAGTTACTCCAACTGGGGTTTTGTTCTACTGATGGCGATGTATCTCGATGGCGATGTATCTCGATTTGTAAATAGCTGTCTCTATCTATCTTTCACTACTGACAACAATCAAGGATCGCTGAAGAACTTCAGCGATCTTCTCAGCTAATATTATCTATTCCTCCTAGACGTTCATCCAACCCTCTCGCGCTTTGACGTACTTCAACGCACTTCGTCCAACTTCCCCAAGTCCCCGGCCATCCTCTTCCTCCTCCGACTAACTCCGCCTAACGTCGCCGTACTTCTGCTCTCATTGTCCCTACCTAGCCTAGCTCCGTCTAACTTCGCCGAACTTCTGCTCCCATTGTCCCTACTTAGCCTAACTCCGTCTAACTTCGCCGTACTTGGTCTCAGATGTCCTGAGTTACGTGTAGAGTAAAGAGGTTAAGGCGTGATGGGGGTTTTGATGGTCAAAGGAGGGTCATTGTTGGTGGAATAATGGAGGTGTCACGACGTAGTTCGTGACAAGCAGCTTCAAGTCATGTGGAGACAGTTGAAATGGAACATGCTTGGATTCAGGAAGCTTTGAGAGGGTACAACAAGGAAGATATTTATAATGAGGATGAAACAGGATTATTCTATGGGTGAGTGACTCAATTAAACAAGTGAACAATACTAACGGGAGAGTCTTGCCCCAGATTGAGGATTATCATCAACCAAACGAGCGGGAACAAAATCAAAGAAAGTTCGTTTGTCCTACATGTTTGCAGTCAATGCAACTGGTACCGATAAACGTGAGCCGCTCATCATTGGGAAAGCTTTCAAGCCAAGGGCTTTCTACAAAAAGACAGGAGAGGAACTTGGGTTCTACTATGGAAATAATGCCAAGGCATGGATGACCGCAGTCATCTACACGGAATGGATCCAAAGATGGGATCGAGAGTTGCGCAGGAATGGTCGGCATATCATCCTTCTCCACAATAATTTCAAGGGCCATGAGGTTCCTGATAACCTGCAGTGTATCAAAGTAGTCAAGTTCTAGCCCAACCTTACGCCACATGTCCAACCACTAGATCAAGGGATCATTTGTGCATTCAAAGCCCATTATCGAGTCGCTTACAATAATCGCGCGATTCAGCTGTATGATAATGGTGTAACACCCAGCCAGATCTACGAGATCAATCAACTTCAGGCCATGCGCCTTGCATCAGAGCTTGGGATGCGGTCAAAGAGGAGACAATTGCAAATTGCTGGCGGAAATCAGGTATTCTTCCAACAAACTTGTCTGGTCTGGCAACTATAGATGAAGGTGCTGAAGCGGAATTAGAACTTGGTTTAACACTGGATCAGCTTGCGGCTCGTGGTGTACTCCATGTCACAAACCGCCTTTCAATAAACGATCTCTTAAACCCGGAAGGTGAACAGGGAGGGGTAGAACACTGTACGGATGAAGAGCTCCTGGAAGCGGTGCATCGGTCTTTGGAAAAAGAAGATGGAGAGGAGGAGACAGAAGAAGTGGTCAAACCACCGCGGACTCTGAAAGAAGTGTTATTTGCTGCACAAGTCCTGGAAGAATCACTTGACCTGGTTGGAGATCCGTACGCTTCTAAACTTGTCACCTTACTAAACCAACATTGTAGGGAAATGCGGTTGGAAGCTTCCTCTTCCTTGCGTGATCAGACTCTCCATCAATTCTTTGGTCCTCGAGTTGAGAATGCTACAATTACCACTCTAGCCAAACCTGGACCATCTTCAAGTTTCGTGATTGATCTATCCCATGAACCCACGGTTCTGTGGAACCAGAGGATGCGCTGTGAAAGTCGATATCACCGTCAAATTGATCTCGGAGATGGTGGAAAAGTCTATCAGGTATGGGGTATGACAGATTATCGGTTATGCATTGTGTTGTGTATGGGAACCAATGTTGTTCTCTAAAAATCCATCAAGTATTGGAAGGTATCAGCTTTGATAGCCATCAAGTTTGACAGCTTCGACTGTACCATGACTCATATTTTCCTTCAATCCTTATCACAGTTCCTAGCATGAGTCATATTTCCTTATCACTATTCTGAGCATGAGTCAGAATTCCTTATCACTATTCATGACAAGTTGGTACTTTGCTGATTGTACTATATACTGTCTACAGGTATCCATGTCCTCTTCTCAGTCCTACTGCAAGCGTCTATGTACATACTCGGACAGGTGAAAAACCGCTTTTGAGCAAACCCAGTGGGGAAATCTTGAAAAGGGAAAACCCGTCCCTATCTACTGCAGCACTGCCTCCAACTCCCGCTGTTCTCTTTCCTAATCTGTCAAACTTGATGGAGTTCTCTCAATTCATTGTTACTCCGTAACAGATATCCTACTCTGCTCACTTCGACTAACTTTGCCTAACTTTCCCTGCTCTGCTCTCCCTCGGTTTCCTTCCTCTAAGTTCGCCGTAGTTCTCCGCTAGTCGGGGTTATCGTGACAAATACCCTCTTGGTTCTTGTAACTTCGCCGTAGTCGGTCTCAGTGGTTCGGGTGGTGGTTGGTGATGGTGAAAGGAGGGTTGGTGATGGTGGTTGTCAGGGATTTCACAACGTAGTTCCTGACAGAGGAGTTATGTGGTGAGTAGCACCACTATCCACTACTCAGGTGGGGGTTACACAAGTGTGGCTAACATCATTAGACTCTGTAGCTAGTCCCACCCACTCATTATCCTCAACCCACGGGTCTTCAATTTCTTTGGGCCATATGATGTTACTCGTGTACCCTTCGTCATCATCGAACCATGATTCTGTTGACATGGCCATCCCCGCCCACGCCTCATGTTCACCATCCAATGACAAATACATCAAGGAGGTTTTGGAGTTATCCTTGGACTGGTTCTCATCTTTTTGAGACTGTATGTCCTTTCTTATTATTCTTATTATTATTATTATTCTTATTATTCTTATTATTCTTATTATTCTTATTATTCTTATTATTCTTATTATTCTTATTATTCTTATTATTCTTATTATTCTTATTATTCTTATTATTCTTATTATTCTTATTATTCTTATTATTCTTATCATTCTTATTATTCTTATTATTCTTATCATTCTTATTATTCTTATCATTCTTATCATTCTTATTGTTCTTATTATTCTCATTATTCTCATCATTCTTATCATTCTTGTCATTCTTATTATTCTTATTATTCCTCCATTTCTTTTTACCTCCATCCTTTCCATCTGTGTTTTCTTTCCTGTTTGTATCCTCTCTTTTAGGTTTACGACAGTACTTTGCTAGACGTCCTACAGTATCACAGTGATAACACTTTCTAGTTTCTTTTCTGGGCTGACCATCAGAGATATTATCTCTGTTCACCCTCACTCCTTTATCCTTTTTGGCGAACATCGCAAATCCCTTTCTATTGGTCCTACCAACAGGGCGCACCTTACGTCTCGCCGTCTCTGCATTGAAGATCGTTAAGACCTTATCCCGGGTTCTATCCCTTTTGGGTTCAGTCAACAGTTCCATGTGGACATTCCTGTAGGACTGCGCTAGGATGGTATTGAGGGATAGACCTGCTCGTTCCTGTGAGTCAAAGTTCAGGCCAACCAACTTTGCTTCAGCCATCATCTTTGAGAACTCCTCCACATGCTTAGCCATTTCTTCAGCCGTCACATCTTCCCTCAAGTCATAGCTAAAAAATGCTTGACGGATGTTTCTCTGGTTCTTGTTTGTGGCCGTCACATGCATATTCAAGCAGTAACTCCACAATTCTCTAGCTGACATCTTCTCAGATAAATCAAGCATTACAGCATCCGACACTGTCCCCTTGATCATCCCCTGCGCTTTATTCTCCCTCGCTTGCCACTTTTCCCATTCCTTCAACTCTTCTCCAGTGATCCTCCTACCAACCACTTGCCCTTCAACGGGTGTTGTAGGAGGTACTGATCCCGCCCTCTCAGCTGCCGGCCTAACCCCTACGCAACCAGCTTTGGTATCATTACCTGTGACAACATTCCAGACGTCACCTATCTGTAGATACACCTCAATCAACTTCCTCCACAAAGCATACATTGATGGATTGTAGGATAACTTGGGGAGATTCTCAAACGAGATCTTAGACTGCACAGAGGTCATTATGAGGAGAGTAGAAACAGGAACTTGCCTTAGTTATACACAGAGGTATGTGGACTTCCGACTGTTAATCTGTTTGCTGATAATTAGATGATAATACAGAGGAGAAAAAGAGCATGCATCAATTCTACATGTCTCTATACTTATCACATTCCACTCACACGCAGTAAACCAGAGACAATCAAATAAAGTTCAGAGGATAAGTTGAACGGAGAAATATTTGACGGAAGGGGTAATTATGTAACGGCGGTTCGGCCGTCCTGGCCCAATTCTATTGGCTAACAGATGGTCGGTAGCAGGGTGACCACAGGGTCAAAGCGACGGTGAGAAACCATCGGTTCAAGCAGCTGAATGAAAGGCTTTTTCACTGTCCAAGCTGCTACAAGTACATACAAGATTGAATGAGACAGGACAAACCAGATACAAGTAGATTATTTCAAGTAGATGCAGTGAGATAAGACTGTCATTGACTGATGCTCTTCATTCTTTTGTGCGCTTTGTATTCCAAGTACCGGGCGTGCATAGTGGGATTGATGCATCAATGAGACCTTCTTGTCACGACCGTCGAACAACTATTTCTTAATAGACCGACGGTCGACGAACCTCGGCTAACTTCACGCTCTGAGTCGATGTCTCACCCAACCAGGAGGGCGCAGACGTCGAAAGGGGTGTAACTACGGCGTACTTCGGCGTAGTTACTCTAACTAGGGTTTTGTTCTACTGATGGCGATGTATCTTGATTTATAGCTATCTCTATCTGTCTTTCACTACTGACAACAATCAAGGATCGCTGAAGAACTTCAGCGATCTTCTCAGCTAATATTATCTACTCCTCCTAGACGTTCATCCAACCCTCTCGCGCTTTGACGTACTTCAACGCACTTCGTCCAACTTCCCCGAGCCCTCGGCCATCCTCTTCCTCCTTCGACTAACTCCGCCTAACATCGCCGCACTTCTGCTCCCATTGTCCCTACTTAGACTAACTCCGCCTAACATCGCCGCACTTCTGCTCCCATTGTCCCTACTTAGCCTAACTCCGTCTAACTTCGCCGTACTTCTGCTCCCATTGTTCCTACTTAGCCTAACTCCGTCTAACTTCGCCGTACTTGGTGTCAGAAGTCCTGAGTTACGTGTAGAGTAAAGAGGTTAAGGCGTGATGGGGTTTTGATGGCCAAAGGAGGGTCATTGTTGGTGGAGTAATCGAGGTGTCGCGACGTAGTTCGTGACAGTCGCCCCCTTCTTTAGCCGCGAACGTCCTCGTGAGCGATTACACCTCTGTCGTGTCAAGAGAACTTAGCAGCGTAGTACCCCCATTCTCTCCCTCCCCATGACCATCCTTCACCCTTCTGCTCTTTGCGCCGCACTTCGTAGTTGGGCCTCCTTTCACTCCAAAACCCGACAATGAGACTCCCCTAACTTCGTCGAGGCTTGCCGTAAGAAGCCCTGTGTCTTTTGTAGGTGAGACACGCTTCCTGAATGGCAGCCGAACAACACCGTTGTTTGTCGAAGTAACCCTCGCTTATATTGAGATGAGACACTATAGCGTGGGAATTTTGATCGTCCCTGCGATGCCTTTTGTTGATGAAACGCGAAGTTTGCTGCATGTTGACGACGAGGGTTTAGGTTTGATTATACTAAATACTGAGCAGTTCGTCGAGCTTCTCTCTTTTTCCCATCTGCTTTCAAAACTTTCTATCTCTCTTACCTAGAAAACAGATTTGTTACCTTGAATCATCTTTTATTTCTTTAAGTATTTTTAACGTCATGGCCCCTCCTACTCCCACCTCTAACCCTTTCGCCGCCATGAGGAACTTTGGTGGTATGGTGTCGTCTGCTCGTGAGTTATTCCTCGACACTTACCTTACTTCGCCGGACTTGGCTGATGTTCAGTTTCCTTCGGCGACAGATCTCGCCAAGTCTCCTCCCTCGGCCTCGGCACCCTCTCTTTGGGGGAGCCGTCTGGCGATGTCCCGCCTCCTCGCTCCGCTTCTCCTCCCGCCGGTCCTCCCGCTGGTTCTCCCTCTGCTTCTCCTCCTCCTGGTTCTCGCTCTGCTTCCCCTCCTGCCGCCAGCCCTCGCCGCAGGACGCCCGCCTTTCGTCCTGGTGAGTCTCCGTCCTCCTCCGACCAGGAGTCGCTCAGTGGTTCGGAGTCGGACGATCAGTCAGACTTCGAAGGAAAAGGGGGTGATTATAGTGATGAGGATGATAGAATCGTGTCGGAGGGTGAAACCGAGTTAGAGGAACACTCGGATGATGATATGGTGGCGGTTAGTGTAGAGGACAACAACGTCGCCGAACTTGGCCTTGTTTATCTGCTCTTTAGCTCTCCAAGACATTGCTAACTCGCAGCCGCTCCTGCCCCTCCCCCTGCTCACATTGCTAACTCGCAGCCGCTCCTGCCCCTCCCCCTGCTCAAATTGTGGGCCAGAAACGACGCCGTTCCCTCTCCTCTTCTTCTTCTTCCTCTTCTTCTTCCTCTTCCGGGGTTCTCCCCCCCCCCAACGCCATCGCCGCTGCCGCCGCTGCTGCCGCCGCCCCCGCTGCTGCCGCCGCCCGCCCTGCCGCCGCCATCGCTCCTGCTGCCGCCGCCCCCGTCGCTGCTCCCCCCCCTTCTCCCAGAGGGGAGCCTTCGCCCAAACGGGTGAAGAGATCACTGCGGGAAGAAGAGTACTTGTGGGAGAAGATGAAGTCCGAGCCTGGTCGTTGGATCGCGGTTGGTGTTGACGAAGCGTGTGATCGTTGCCGGTGAGTCCACCTATTCGTACTACGCCGAAGTTACTCCTGCTAATTAGTAGACGTGAGATTATCACGTATAATCGTCCAAACTGGCCCTGCCTCAAGGCAGTCAGGCCACACAACAAGGCCCTCCGTTGTGCTTCATGCACGTCTGGCCCCTGCTCCTTCTGTCCCGTTTCCTCTGCCCGGGACATCCCGCCCCGTCCCTTCGACGCTTCTCCTCTCCCCCCTCCCCAGACTCCAGCGTCTGTCCCCCGTTCGCGGGTACCGCCTTCGTCTCTCCGGTCGGTTCGCCGTACTTCGCCGGACCTCCGCCCGTCGCCTCCGTCGCCGTCGCCCTTCTCGCCGTCCTTCGGCCTCTGCTCCTTCGGCCTCCCGTCCTTCGGCCTCTCGTCCTTCGGCCTCTCGTCCTTCGGCGCCACGTCCGTCCTCTCCAGTGGTAGCTTCTCCTCCGGCTCACAGCACCCGAAGTCGGCGTCCTTCTGTTCCTCCGGCCACTTCGGCAGCCCCTCCCGTCACCCCTCCCTCTGCTTCCCAGAAGACACCGAAGTCTTCTTTAAAGAAATCAAAAGGGAAATCTAAAGAGAAGGAGGTTGCCTTCAATGATGGTGATGTGGAAGGTGAAGATACTCAGCGTGCTGGTCCCTCTGCTCCCCGGTTGTCCCTCGTCCACCCTCGTATCTCCCTGGACGTCCGTATTCCTGAGGACGAAAAGGAATTCGCCACTTATCGTTCTCTCGTCCTCGGTCTCACTACTCAGCTCGAGGCCGCCCGAAATGATACATCTCTCCTGCTTGACTTCTCTTCTCGTCAAGCTAACGCTTTAAACAATCTCACTGCGGCGTTAGTAGATGTAGTCAACACTGAGGCTCTGGACGACGAAGCAAGGACAAGGTTAGCGGACGTCTCTCGCCGAAGCCTTACTGAGATAGCCGATGTTCGCCGAAGACTGTTCGACACCCCCTTCCTAGTCACTCCTATGGCGTATGAGCCACCACCGTCCCTTGACTGGTTAGGTCGCCGTAGTAGTTCTCGTGTCCCAGCTTCCGCCCAGACTGCTCTCGACCTCCTCAGTCTTCCCTTCGAGTGTCTACGGACCATACGTTCTCTGTGGAGGACTCCGAGCATGCAAGCTGCTCGAGATGTCCAGGACTTCGGTGACTTCTTCGGGGCTATGAATCGGGCATGGAATGCTTCTCTCTCTACTGCGTTCCCGTCTGAGACTCTCGATCTACCTTCGGTCATCGGTAGCCTCCATACCAATCCCGCGGGACCGAGTAGATCGAAGGAGAAAGGAAAAGGAAAAGGTAAGGGTAAGAGTAAGGACAAGTGAGCGGTACGTAGCTGTAATCCTATGTTGTATGCAGTACGTTCTATCTCCTAGCCCTTCGCAGTCGCCCTTCTTTCGGCTTAGTAGGGTGAAGTTCGTGGAACTTCGCCAATATGTCATCAGCTCCATCGACGTTCTCCACTGGTTCCCATGATACTGAATCGTCTGTTCCTTCGTAACCTAACCACTCCACCAAGTACTCTAACTTTCCTGACCTCTTATTTACTCTAGAGTCCACAATATCCTTTACCTCCCAAGACTCTCCCACATTGTCTACTTCTACTGGCCCAGGTGGCTCAGCTTGCTGACCAGGAAATATTGGAGGGTGATAAGGACGGAGCAAGGAGACATGGAATACATCATGGATACCTGCCATCGTTCCTGGTAATTCCAATTTACAAGCATGAGAACCTACCTGCCGTACTACCTTGTACGGCCCACTTTGCTTAACATCTAACTTCTTCATTGGTCTCTTCGTCTTAATATTCTCTAACGACAGCATCACTAGGTCTCCTTCCGCGAAGTTCGGCGTAGTCCGGTGTTTCCTATTGTATCCTTCGGCGTACTTCTCATTAGCTTTCTCAATTCCTTCGATACAATCTTTGTGTATTTCAGTCAAGTCTTTTACCACCACCGTAGCAGCGGGCACTTCGACCTCGCTAGCCTTTATCTCTTCAGCCCAACGAGGGTGATATCCATAGTTCGCATAGAATGGGGTTTTGTTTATCGCAGAGTGCTGGGTGTTGTTGTAAGCAAAGCTAGCTCGAGCGAGTAGCTTTGACCAGTCGTTCTGCTGATAGGAGGTGAAGATTCGAAGATACAGTTCCAAAGACTGGTTGGTTCGTTCGGTCTGTCCGTCAGTCTGTGGATGATATGCAGTAGAGAGATGTAGTCTTATTCCGAGACTATCGGTCAAATTCTTCCAGAACTTGGAGGTAAACTTCGATCCCCTGTCCGATACTATATTCTCTGGCAACCCATGCTGGGCCACCACATAGTCCAATATCAACTCTGATAGGCCGGCTGCGGTTAACTTCGTCGTAGTCGGGATAAAAATGGCCCATTTGGTCAACCGATCCACCACTACCAGGATGGAGTTATATCCATGGGAATTTGGCAGCTCCTCGATAAAATCCATCGAGATGCTAGACCAAGGTTTCGTAGCTACCTCCAGTGGTTTAAGCTCTCCATGGGGTTTCTGTCTGTTAGTCTTTGCCCTCTGACATACCGCGCATCCAGCGATGTAGTCCTCAACATCCTTCCTTACTCCAATCCAGACATAGTCCCTTAGAACTAGCTCAAGGGTCTTCGCTGAACCTGGGTGACCAGCTAAGGCCGAGTCATGTCGCATTTTCATGATCTTCAGCCGAGCATCGGCGTAGTTCGGCACATAAATGCGATCGTCGAATGTGAGGAAACCTCTTGAGTTCCACCCCCCACGAAGGATTAGAGGAGACCGCGAACTACGGCGTAGTTCGGTGATTGATCCTGGTTCCTGCACGTTATCGTTACACGTAGGATGAGAACACTCAGCGCAAACGACTCCTAATAATTCTTCTCTGACCCCTTCTATGTCTTCGTCCTCCTGAACTCCAAGTACTAGATCCATAGGGTCCACAAGATCATTTTCCTTTACCTCCCTTGTCCCTTGCAATGCTCGAAGGAGGTGACGCAACTCCGACGTGGTGGCGTCAACTTCGTCGAACTTCGGCAGACCTTGGATAAGGTTGCTCTCTTGTACCATGGTACTTCCTTTCCCGGAATGATAGTCCGCCCGTCTAGATAATCCATCTGGAAGACTTGCCTGGGTTCCTGGCCGATAAACCATTTTAAACCTGAAGTTAGCTAGCTCCTCTACCCACCTACCTTGCCGAGGACTGAGTTGTTTCGGCTCCATCCAGTAGGTAAGGTTTAGATGGTCGGTAAGTACTGTGGTTTCTACCTGCAATAATAAGTGTCTCCTTCTTCTGAAACCCTCCACTACAGCGAGGAACTCCTTTTCTCCTACCGTATAATTCAGCTGAGCTGTGTTGAAAGCACCAGACTCAATAGCTACCGGGTGTTCTTGACCAGCCGTGTTGATCTGCGAAATTATGAACCCCCAGCCGAAGAACGACGCATCTGTCTGTAATATCGTCTTCAATGTAGGGTCAAAATGGGCTAATACCGGCGCAGTACACATCCTAGCCTTCAACTCTTTGAAGGCTGACTCCTGTTCGACTCCCCATACAAATGGTACCTCCTTCCTTGTCAAGTCATTGATAGGTCTAGCAATCTTCGAGAAGTTGGGGACAAAGCGCCTGTAATAGCTTACAACTCCAATGAATCCCCTTGACTCTCGTAGATTCTTAGGACGTGGGAAGGAAGTGATGGCATCAATGTATTCTGGGTTCACTGATACACCTTTAGAGGATACCACGAAACCCAGAAACACCACCGAATCTCTTTCGAACTCGCACTTACTAGCTTTCACGTACAGGCTCGCCTTCCGCAGTACCTTAAAGACCTTCGCCGTAGTTCCTCGTAATTCCTCCAATGTATTCCCATAAATGAGGATATCGTCAATGTAGACCACGACTCCATTCCCTAGTAGCTCTCTAAACACCTCATTTAGGAAGTGTTGGAAGACCGCGGGGGCGTTTCGCAGCCCATCACGAACAACCAGAGATTCAAACATACCATACTGTGTCCTGAACGCCGTCAGGTGTTCATGTCCCTCTGTCACCCTCAACAATTGGTATGCTCCAATTAGATCTAGTTTGCTGAAATACCTTGCTTTTCCAAGTTCTTCGGTAATTTGACCTATTAGAGGGAGAGGGTAGGCATCTGGTATGGTCGCTTCGTTCAGTTTTCGATAGTCGATGACCATTCGCCATTGTCCTTCGGCTTTCTTCGGTATCATAAACATTGGTGAGCCGTATGGCGAGTTACTTGCCCGAATTCGGCCAGCGGCGATTTCGCGATCTAGTATGTCTCTCAGCGCGCGTCTCTGATCTTCTCCTTGAGCATAGAGGGAGGCGACCTTAAGGTTCGCCCCCTCCTTAAGCTCAAACTTCAAATCGTAGGACCTTGAAGGGGGAAGGGTCTCTCCTCCCTTCTTCGGATTAAAAACGTCAATGTACTGGTGGTATTGTTCAGGAACTACCTGGAACAACTCGTCTTGTTCCTCCGGGCTCAGCTCTTCAAGCTCATCTTCGCCGCGGAGGTCTATCGCGTCCGTCAGAGTCGGCAGCCCTATGGCCGCTAACTTCGCCGCACTTGGTGGGGTTGGGATGGGAAATTTCACCGAGTTGTCTCTTCCATCAAGGACAACCCCTTCCTTCCTCATCCAATCCCACCCTATCACAACATCTGCGTCGCAGAGCGTTGTTACATCGAGACAAACAGATCGCACTTCGGCGTCCTTCGTCAAACTAAATCCGACTTCGACAAACTCGGTGATGGGTCCAGCGACACTCACCGAGCCGTCGAACATGTGAACGGGTACGCTCACCTGATATCGCCTCTTTTCTACACCTATCTTCGCTGCTGCCTTAGGGCTTATATATGAACAAGTAGCTCCAGTGTCCCAGAGCGTAGTTAGCTTTATTCCATTAATGAAAATGTCCGATTTAGGTTGATCTCTGGAAACGGAAGGGATGAGGAGATGATTATCGACATTGCATGAACAAGGGGTACTGAGTGGTGTATTTTTGTATTCACAATCCTCTGGCTCCATCAGCTGTGTTTCTTTTATGGGTTTGGGAATGGTGGCCGAGAGAATATGGCGGACCCGCCGAGCCTCGCCTACTGCGACAGGTCCTCTTCTTTTCCCTGGTCCTCTTCCAAATCTACTTCTCCTCCAACCGCATTCAAGTTCCTCCTCTGTCCGAGAGGTACTGCGTTCCCTCCCGATCCTCCACCACGTTCTCCGAACTTCTCCCCCCATGGAGGCAACAGTCCAACCTTAACCTTAGCCTCCCTTACAGGGCATTCCTTCAGCCAATGTCCTGCTTCACCACACTCGGTACACTTCCCCTCCTTCCTCCTTGTCTCCCTCAGATCGGAGCTCGGCCTAGGCCATCTTCGGCGAACTTCGTCGATGTTTGACGGTGTACTCTTTACCACCGTCGACATCATAGCCGCCTGGACACCACCCTGCGCCGAAGGTTGCCCCTTTTCCCATTTCTTCTCTTCTTTCTTCTCCGTCCTCTGACTTTCCACCACTGTCGTTGTCCTTATCCCTCCTTCCCTTTTCCTCTCTGCCTCCTTCTCCACTTGTCTCCTCCACAGGCGGTTGTCCAAGGGAATCACAAACTCCAATAGCTCTTTCACAGTCCCAAACGATCTACCGTGTCTTGCAATTTCATCTAGAAGGTGCGATTTTAGTCCTTTCTTGGCTCGGTCAACTAGGTTTCCATCATCAGACCACTTAAGAATCGCAACATGTCGCTGGAAGGCGGAGAAGTAGTCCGAAGCAGACCCGGTTTGCTTGAGGTCGTTAAGTTGTCGGGCCGCAGTTCCTTCTTCGTCTGGATCACCAAAGTTAGTCTTGAGGTACTTAACGAACTGATCGTGTGTCGTGAGGTACTCAGGAAGAGGTCTTTTGGATAGATCGGGCTGCACTGCAAGAAGAGGTGTTTCGCGTAGATGAGAGATCATGAAAAAGACTTTCTTAGTGTCGTCGGGGAAAAGATGAGAGTTCAATTCGAAATGTACGTCGCACTCAGACAGAAAGGCGGTTAACTTGTTCCGATCTCCTCTCCAGAGGTCTGGGTTAGGTAGCTTTATCCCCTTCCGTTGTTCGCCCACTACGCTTGGGGTCGCCGAAGTTTGCCGTCCCATGGCGTACCTCACTCCTTCTGATATCCCGTCTGCAATCCCGCCCACTGTATCCCTTTCTCTTCTCTGTTCCCATTCCTCCCTACGCCTTCTCTCCTCCATCATGTCTTTGTTCATATTCGCCACCATCTGCATCAAGGCCAACACCACCCCTTGTGTTCCTTCTTCTCCCAAGTTCGCCGTACTTCCAGTGTTTTCTCTTGGGCGTGGGGTTTGGTCTGATCCAAGTGGGGATCCCGCAGGTGGGAGAGCATTAGACGGAGGAGAAGGAGGGTTAGAAGGCACCGGTGGAACGAACTCATCTCCTTGAATTGATCCCCCCACACTATCCTCCACTCCAATGTCCTGCCCCATTGCTCTGCTAAGCTCCTCCAATGCTCTCCTCTCGTTCTCCTCCATCCTGTCTCCATCCCTACTCATCCCTCGTGTAATTCTTCTTTCTGGTTCCATATTATCTTTGTACTTCTCCGAGGTTCGCACGGGTCGTCGGTAAGAGCGATCCTTGATACTGTCACGACCGTCGAACAACTATTTCTTAATAGACCGACGGTCGACGAACCTCGGCTAACTTCACGCTCTGAGTCGATGTCTCACCCAACCAGGAGGGCGCAGACGTCGAAAGGGGTGTAACTACGGCGTACTTCGGCGTAGTTACTCTAACTAGGGTTTTGTTCTACTGATGGCGATGTATCTTGATTTATAGCTATCTCTATCTGTCTTTCACTACTGACAACAATCAAGGATCGCTGAAGAACTTCAGCGATCTTCTCAGCTAATATTATCTACTCCTCCTAGACGTTCATCCAACCCTCTCGCGCTTTGACGTACTTCAACGCACTTCGTCCAACTTCCCCGAGCCCTCGGCCATCCTCTTCCTCCTTCGACTAACTCCGCCTAACATCGCCGCACTTCTGCTCCCATTGTCCCTACTTAGACTAACTCCGCCTAACATCGCCGCACTTCTGCTCCCATTGTCCCTACTTAGCCTAACTCCGTCTAACTTCGCCGTACTTCTGCTCCCATTGTTCCTACTTAGCCTAACTCCGTCTAACTTCGCCGTACTTGGTGTCAGAAGTCCTGAGTTACGTGTAGAGTAAAGAGGTTAAGGCGTGATGGGGTTTTGATGGCCAAAGGAGGGTCATTGTTGGTGGAGTAATCGAGGTGTCGCGACGTAGTTCGTGACACTTCTAGACGCTTCTTGCCTTGATTAGCCATTATGTAACACTCTCTCTCATCCACTTCATATGGCCGGATTGTCAACAATTTCTCCACCGGTCCTGAAATTTTGTACAGGATGTACATTTGATGATCCGTGCGCCACGCCACCGACCTAGATACCCTGAAAGTACACGGCCTTTGAGTCTAGGCCATGCAGGCCCTTCGGCCCTCGATACCATCAGTCCGATACTCGGAGCATGAGCCTGGGAAGTCTCCAAATCATTACAAGTTTGTCCGTGACCCGGCTTCACGTGTCCTCAGTTTTCACTATACAATCGGTGAGTACAAGTGATGTACTCTTCATATTCATAGTGTTGTTTTGTTTGACTTCGGGGTCAGATCTCTTCCCCAATCCCACTTGGGTAGCGACTGCGTCCTGGAGGGGTCTAGAACCCTTACGCGCCAAACGTATTCATCAATAGGCCTATCCTCCGTGCGGGGTCGGAGTGGGAAAATGAACGAACAGGTTTTTGGAAGAAAGGAGGACTCACCATGATTTCCCCCATTTCTACCCTTCATTTGAGGCTGTGTTTTCTGAGATTGAAACAAGCTACTCTTCTCATACTCATCAGTCAGAAAACATCACCCACCTTCTAAAACATTTGTTCCTACTAGACAACAAGACTTTACACAAAGATGGCCTCTCTCCATGATACACATGTGTGCGCACCCAACTTTTTCCTGCAACGGCACTCACCTACTATGACCGGATATTTGGAACAGCTATGTACTACTTTCAGGCAAAATTTACTCACTCAGGTCAAGTCAGGATTGCGGCAATCAAAGAATGACAACTCGCTTTGTAGGAGTTTGTCTTATCCCGACGGACAGTTATCCCACATGTACCGCTTGATTGAACAAAGGGTATTTTACACCGACAGTCATCAAGCTTATCGTAAATCACTAAGAGACGCCCAGAAGTCCATGAATACCTTGCCACCTTCACTTGCTACGGATGAAGGGGTGGATAGTTTGGAGATGTATGAAAGACATCATTCCAAGGAACTTCTTCAGGAATGTTGGGACTGGGCAGAGTCTCTGTTGGATACCTTGAAAGAGTGCAATAGAGCGGGAAGAGAGTTAGAGAGGAGACGTAAAGAGTTAGTCAAGTCCGGGATCCTCAAGGAACGTCCTTTCATAGGTTTGGATGAGAAGATCAGCAACCCGTTTGTGTTTGAAACCATTCTGCGCTATGATAGAGATAGCAATGGAGTGGGAGCTCCTCCTACTTCCTCTATTCAATCTAGCAAGCCGGAAGACGGTCCATCAGCAGTAGAATCAACTCGTCGTCACACGGCTTCTTTTTGAGTCTGTTTGAGTCCATATATTGATATCACTATGATGAGGTAGAGGAATATCAACACGTAGGAATGGGGGAGAGAGCAATCTGATGTCTTGTCACAGTCAGGTGTCACTTTTATTTGATACTAGCTATGATCCACAATGAGAACAGGCATTTCTCTATTAACTTCCTGGGAATTTAAACTCTGTGTTGCATGATTCAGACTATTGATCTAGCCATATGGAGGTGTTCATGTAAGGGTCTGGTATGTCAAGACATGAGTGTTCATCTGTCAGGATTTGGCGTGGTCAATAGGCTGAGTAGGACCTGCCATGATCAAGTGGTGAGTGTGTCAATCATACACCGGCTTTAAACGCTCGATAGCAACTCGGCGACTGGGAACTGATCTTCCTATAGGCACCGGTAGTAATAATACGGGAGAACCCAGATGAACCTTTTGGTTGACGATTCCGCCCAGACCAATGAGTATGGTGATCACAGGGATGTTCTCACAATATGCTGACCCCCAAAATTTCCACCGAGAAGGACTCACTTTTGATAGTCAGATGAACAATCATCGTGAGAAGCTGGAGACTGCACGGGAGACAACGGTTGAGATTCCTACAATTGCTTAAGTCGAAGATGAGAGGTATTAATTACAATTCTAACTCTCCTGACTCCGTGCGATTGCTACATCAAATGAGGTTCCAGGGATCATTGCCCTATCACATCTCCATCGGTGAGAGTCCCTAGTTGTAGAGATCCTATGTTAGGAACTAGTTCTAGTCGGGTCTAGACGCTCGATCTCACTAGGTGAGAAGAGAACGCTAATCACCCCAAAGTGGTGCTTCACGATGAACGGAAGGTACTTACCGCTTCCGGGTGGTTTTGGCAATACTTGAAGATCGATCTCGGGGGCAGTGCGGTCTGAAATCCATTTTCCACGACCGGAGTGACCGGAGGGACCATCGAGACCCCGTTAGAAAAATATGAAATACTGATCATCTTGCCACTCGTTGGTCGTTCATACTATCAACACTATCTCAGACATCATGAGCTCCACTTTGTCAAGGGATCATGATGATCTTCGCAGACAAAACGAGGAAAGCCCGCGGATATTGAAGCTAGTATGTGCAGCCCATGAATTTCAATCCAGGTTGTTCTCCGCCATACGAGATGAAATAAGCCGTACTGAGGATGAAGGATGGCGGAGTTCTCAAGTCTTCATGAAATCTCTCAAGTCACATGAACCATGGCCAGTCGAACAATACGAAGAGTACGATGCTCAGAGGAGGGTTTTACTGAGTCAACTGAAGATTGCTAGGACTACTGTTGACACTCTGCCCGCTCCGATTGCCATAGCTGATTGGAAGGGTGACCTGCCTGATTGTTCAGCGGTAGATCTACGATATGATTGTTCCGCCTGGGCCGAAGCTGTGTGTACTGAGTTTAATCTTTGCAGGAGCTTGATACATGCGCGGAATTCAAAGTACTACAGTTTGGATGTCATGGACAGAACGGTCCACCCAGAATGGGCCAAGCGGGCTATTGACCTGTTTGAGTATTTCTGGTTGCATCCAAGCAGCAACAGTGAGGAACAATTGCCTTCTTCTACATCAATGAGTATAGCTGATTTTCCAACCCACTTTGATTCAAACTCTGGGATGATGAAAGCAGTGGCGGCGCTGGGGGATTCTCGTTCAGACTTGAGATCAGATGTGTCTGATGACGGGATGGGTGCAGCAGTGGCGCAGCTGAGTAGGTCCGACCCGGAGCTCCCAAGAGGTAGTACACAACTGTCATTTCCTCATGTGTTGAGGAGGATATGGACCTGGGTCAGCTAGCAGTCCATATCATGAAGTAGAGGAATCCGTATGAATAGGAATACAGAGAGAGTCAGCTCATCCCGCCTTATCATAAGTTGTGTTTTGCGATCATCATGACCTCAGTCATGTGTCAGAAATCAGCTTCCGGCTCATGGCCGATCGAGACGGATAAGGAGCATTCGGACTTGACTTGCGAAACACATGTGCAGCACAAAGGGATGAAAGGACTTCTTCCTGACGAGGTATCAAATTCGTTCTCCGATATTAGTTGATAGAAGCGATCATCTCAAGTCCGCTCCTCTTCTATTCTACTCTTAATGAGAGATATGAACGCCTTCTTTCGTTCATCTTATAACACTTCTTCTTTCACCTTTACATCAGTCATCTACCCATCAGCCCATCACAATTCGTTCCTTCACCCTTCAACCGCTCCCTCAAATAGACAAAACTCCTTCTCATTCAAACACCAACCACTTGGACAACACTCACGGCTTTTATTAATAGATATTGACATTCATAGGAACCCAATCAATAGATAAACTCCCCGTTTACCTCGTAAGAACAAATCAAAATGGCCTGGCCTAGCTTCTTCACCTTTGCGTCAGCTGGGACGACCCGAACCACCGCTAAGACAATTACGAAAACCAAGTCCACTATCAAACCCACCTCAACAACCAAACAGGAAGAAGCAATACCGACCAAAGTCCAACGATATGATAGTGGGATAGATATGGATTATGACCACGAGACAGATGAGGGTGATATCAAATGGACGGATAAACCGTATGAATCTTTACTCCGATTGAGGAATTTCACTTTGGCTTGGCAAGTTATGCGTTATGATATGATTACTAATCCTACTTGTGAGCTGATTTCTCTCATCTTTCAACCTTCTTCTCTTGTTCATGACACACTCTCAACGTACCAGTAATTTGACAAGTAATACGGTGGGTCAAGAGGAAAGAATCGGTTCTCACTAGAGCTCTTAGGAAGATGAGGAATGGAGAGAAATGATGATAGAATGTTACTGATACTTACAGTTGATAAGGAATGTAAAGAAATTTGGCCATCCGATATTGTATTGGAAGCCAGAAACACATACGAGACTCAACTTTCTTTCCTCTCCACATCCCTTGATCAAGCCATCGAAAAATATAGATCAGATCCTATTGGTTTGAATAGTATTCAAACTCCCAACATTCATCTCTTAGAGAGATACGAACTCCAAATCGATAAGAACCCCGAAGAAGATTTCTCCCCAAAATACGTCCTGGGTGTTCCTGATTCCTGTCAGGATATCATTCAGAGGATGGAAGATTGGGAATATGATTGGGCTAAAGTGGAAGAAACTCAGTTTGTCAGGGGTTTACAGAGTTTGGTGAGGTATGTCAAGACTGGTTTCGGGACGGAAGAGATGGGAGATCTGGAATCAGCTGGGATCATATTATCTAATCGCTTGAGATTGTCGAGGAATATGAACACTGAGAGACAGTCAATGTATGGAGAAGAGGAGAATGATGATGAAGGAAAATGGCTTCCTGAGGTGGAAGAGGTCGAGGGGTTGATAGATGGTCTCGAACGTACACTGCGTCCAGACGGAGGAACGAGGGAAGAGGATGAAAAGACGATAGAGACGGCAATGGATTTGGCCAACAAGTTGACAGCTTCGATGACAAATAACATGAGTAGTATGCCATTATTCCGTTGATATGAGTCTGAGAGTGGATGATAGGGATGGAGGTAGACGAGTGAGTATAGAGAAGTGTTAGTAGAAGAAATCAATGCAATGCATTCAACCTATGTGTTGAGACGGTTTCTAGTTGGCATGGACGCCCAGAGTCCGTAGATCAGGTCGACAACCCCAAGAATATGCTGTGGGTATGTGTGCAAGGGTACCGTAGCCGATGGAGCTGTATAAGCCCGTTGAGGACTGAGATGGGCAGAAGAAATGTTGGTGCCCTGGAGAAGATGGAAGACAATCAAAGAAAATGTTGATGATTGAGGGAACGATGATGAGCTCTCGGGGATTTACAAAGATAGAACCAACTACATTGTAGCATTTCACAGGAAGGTCGGAACGTGATCAATGACCATCAAACAACCCGCTAACCCTATCGACAATCGTTGACGCCGTTTGTTTAACCCCATTCAGTGAACCATTCGGCTGATCCAACAAAAACGGTTCGAAAATACTTGCTCCATCCTTGAAATCGTTCGCCACGATGTTGACGAGATACGACGTGTTCATAATGTCATTGATGAGTCGTCTTGAGGGAGAGTCCTCGGGGAACAGTGCCGCCCACTGACAGCCGAGCTCAAATGCTTCATCCTTCCAAGCGATGAAAGAGACAGCTTCGACGATGGTAGGTTGGACGATCTCCTTGCCGGGAAAGACACCCCATGTGACGGCGTTCGGACCTTCAGAATGGGTGTTAGTCCGTAAATCGCCTTGCTTGTTGACGGCATAATAGGTTATGCGAGGGTCACGTTCGATCCGTCGGATCAAAGGTGAGAGGAGAGCCGGTGAGACGAAAAATTCGAGGTAAGCCTGCAGATTAGCGAAGCGTAAAACGATCGGCCGCTACTGTTTGCTCGATGATTATAGCTCTTCAGTAGCCATAGATCCGATGAAGGTTTTGACCGGACTCACTTTTTGATACACATAACCACCGGCAGGGCCCCAGCCATGCACTTTGTCCTCACTTCTGACCCCATCGACGCCCGGCTGGGAGTTGATTGTGAGATAGCCCAGTTCGTTCATCTTGGCTAACCGGTCCGCGATGGTCGTCATCTCGGATGAAGGAGGCTGGGAAGACCAAGGAAGCTTTGCCAATTCTCCACGACAGAATCGGGTGAAAAGCCGGCAGATATCATCGAATGTTGTCGGATGGCCCCAGAGTGAATAAGCTTCAGTTGACTGCATGTTAGCTGATACAAAATGGTAGAGGAAGTAGAGTGGGGCACAAAATAGCATGGATGTGAAAGAAGCAAGTGCAAACTTACAGATATTCCTATCGCCACCGGGTATCCATCCAGATCACCATATGCCGGAGAACGCGAATCTCCCCATCGTCCATTGGGGAACTCATCCCAGTCGTCTGTTCGTGAAAGATATGATTGTACTCGGTTGGCCCTGTGATTTCAGTCTCACTCGTTCACGACATTGCGGAAAGAGACCAACCAGAATATCGGCCGTATAGACTCCGTACGTCGATGAGGAGTCAAAGATGGTCGCCAGGGCAATGGGGCGATCTGCTCTCTGCCACCTTCCAATCCCAACTCCGTCAAAAGCATCTTCGCTCCTTTCTCCAGGTTCAATGTGTATATATGTAATCCCTTGATTCCTGCCTCTTCGTTGGCCAATATCGTCCGGCACATGTCGGCAACGAGTTTTGTTCCCACTTGCCGTACCTTCTCATCATCCCCCTGAATAGGTAGCAGCTGGTCGTAGAAATGAGGAGGTACGACTATTTTCTCCCTCTTGACCCAAGTTTGAAATTTCTCCCAATTCTGTATCGGCATGATACCTGGAATGATAGGCACGTCGATCCCAGCGGCGCGCACTCGTTTAACCCAATCAAAGAAAATGTCCGTATCGTAAAACATTTGAGTGAAAATGAAATCTCCCCCCGCATCAACTTTCTGTTTCAACCACACCATCTCCTGATGTCTACTTTCCGGTGTGTCTGCAGTCTCTGGATGACCTTGAGGAAATCCAGCAACGGCAACGCAGAAATCACCGGGGTATTGGGAGTGTATATACCGAACGAGGTCGACGGCATTGTGAAACCCACCAGGGGTAGGTTTCCAGGTCGATGATCCTGCTACTGGATCGCCTCGAAGAGCCAGGATATTCTGGCACCCATGGGCTTTTGCTTGCTGTCCTCTTAGCTCTCTTCGGTTTCTCGTCTTTCAACTCACCGCTAGAGCCCATTCCACCTTCTCTTTCGGCACTATAATGTCAGCGCTTCTCATGTCGGAGTCAAAGAGTCTCACTTTCTGTACAGCACAAGTGCATGCAACATTCCAGTCCGAGTTGCTCCTGACATGTCTGCACCAGGTTTGATGTCAGATCAGCATTTTTCCCGCCGGCACCCCTACCCCGTCAGCTTGACTATCTTCTGAGACGACAAGACTGACCAAGTGATATCTATAAACTCTGGCCCAAGATTCCGCATGCGCTCTATACGATCGAAAAGATTCTGTAAACCCTACGTGGTCAGCATGAAATGAGTGCACGGCTCGCTGTGACATACCTGAGCCGTACGGGGAGGGAAAAATTCAAAACTCCAAAATGTCCGTCCCTCCCGCTCTGCTTTTTGAAGCTTTTCAGTGATCTTCATTTTGTCTGTGTGAGGGAGGGGGAAAGAGGAGATGAAGAAGGGAAGGGATTAGGACCAAGAGAAAAGGGAGAGAGGAGGGGGTGGAATGGGTCGATTTGGGGGAAAAGTTGAGAGTGGGCAGACAGGGAAACGTGGTGGACCGATCACCCCGATCAAAAGCGGGATCAGAAGTATCATTCTGGGAGGGAAGAATGCCACCTCACGTAAGGTTTCCTCCTCATGAAACGAGATTGCATTGGTGAGTAGAGTACTTGTCACTAGTCACCTACAGTAGGCTTGAGCTTGCATGTACAGAGAGTCTGACCGGCTACCGGCTATATGGAATGGTGAGCCGAAGATATACTAGATGTATCAATTCATTGTACTCGACACCGTTCGGGGAAGGGAGGGGTGGGGGGGAGGGGGAGGTCTCACGCATTGGCCCCTGGCCCCTCCCCCTCCCCCTCGCTCTCCCGATCCCCGATCTCCCTACCACCGCTTGAGACATGCTGTCATCCGACATTGTGCATCATCCACCACCTTCCCACTCCTAGAGCACATCCCTCTACTCGTCCTTACATCTGACATCTTCACAATAAGTCGAAAGAGTACCCCCCTCCACACTGATCGTGAACGTGGCGGCGTGCATAATCAGGCACGCCACGTAGCCAAGGCAAGCAAGCCTCCTTTCCGCAGCAACCCCAAGTACCTAAGTACCTACTACCACACATTTGCATTTCTACCACCCACAGTAAATTACGTAGGACGAGCATCGACTACCCTTCCTTCACACCGTTCGCTCCCTCCTTCTTCATTCCACCCCTTTCTCATTCCTCCCCCCCGCCTCTCCCCCCTCCTCACTTTCCATCCACTCCGCGACCCACAAAGCCACGTGATTCACCCGCTTGGGCTGACCCCTTCTCGCGGGATCGCGGGCCTGGGCGGCGTCGCATCAACGCTAGTCGCCAGTCGAAACCCCCGTAAATCGCGTCGCTCTCTGAATTTCTTAGTCTTGCCATATCAGCCAAAGACATGACACCTCCCGGTCCAAGTGCTCGAAGACCTACGATTGAGCGCAAGGGGTCAGGCTCATCACTCAACAACCCAGCTCGTCGCATTGCCAATGGATTGGAGGACGATCGCGGTTTGGAGATGCGTTCCAAGGACAGGACAGAGGAGGGCAGCGTGGGTAAGGCAGGTGGCGTCGGAGTAGGGGTCACTCGTCCCAAGAGGAGGTTGAGCAGGTAGGTTTTGCTCTTCTTCTCCCCGTTTCTCTCAATACCCTCATACACCTCTTCCATTGTTACACATCCTGATTTGGTCGTATCTCTCATCCTTGTCGGACCTCCTTTGCACTCCTTTGTTCCGCAGTCACCACGTCTGTCAAGCTCCCCTTTCATAGGCTCACCCGTAAAGTCCGTAGATATGGAGTCCCCTGGCATTGCGGACGATCACTCGCTGTTGATCCACGGTACTGTAGAAGTGACCGGTTCGTTCTCACTGACACCAGCCTTCCCTCCTTACCCCACCCGTTTTTGTCGCCTACAACACCCTCTTCCACTTACAGAGCATTATCCGTAACGTCAAATTCCACACCCCCTTCACCCGGCAACGGTCATGCTCATTCTCACCAACCGTTGTCAACCTACCACGCACTATCGACTCAACTGTCAAGTATCGTGAGCCGACCAGAAACCCCCAGTTTCCTGAGCAAACGGGATATGGCCAGAATGGAGGAAAAACCTTACCAGACAAGTACT